TAGATATGTCATTTCTTTCTGATGAGCAATCATTCTGGTGACTGAGGAAACTTTTGCATACAGTAACACCTCTCTAATTCAGACGTCAATGATCCATCATTACAGAGTGTTACGGACCGCCTGGCACCCCGACCGAGTACCTCCATCAATCGCTACTTCTTAGTAATTCTTGAGTACCATAAGCACCGCACCGGACACCATACCCCCCACCGCAGCTTGGTTGGGGTCACGATGTCCTCAACCCACCCTGGACCCAAGACCAGGATCCACCTTCCAGTGGGTAGACCTCTCCTAGTCCAGAGAGCGAAGCAGGCTGCTCTTACAAGTAAATGGAGTATAGTGATTATAGCAATCCCCAGAGTGAATATAGCTCTCCAATGCCCAAACATGCGCCTAGACTTCATGAAGGGTAAAACGAATCTCTTTAATGGCAGCCACAACTGGCCTTATATGCAGGTCCCCATGCAAGGGGCACTCCCCCCTGGACCTGAGAGTAGACTACAGTAAAAACATACACACGATTACATTGTGTCAGGATTACTGTTTGATCCAGCACGTAGAACTGTATAGCACGGATGACAAATAAGTAACGTATTACCGGTCCTTAGAATGGCCAGATTTAACGTACATAGAATAGTAAAAAATACTATCCCCTAGTCACCTGGGGGGAGGGGGGTTAAATTTGTATTTAGGGCCCCCACCCGCTGCTCAGGGGTGGGGCCAGGGAGGAAGACATTAGGTGTCCCCCCAATTTGTATTTAGGGCCCCCACCCACTGCTCAGGGGTGGGGGACAGGGGGGAGGACATTAGGTTCCCCCCCCTTATTCTTGTTTAGGGCCCCCACCCACCGCTCAGGGGTGGGGGCCAGGGGGGAGGACATTAGGTCCCCCCCAATTTGTATTTAGGGCCCCCACCCACTTCTCAGGGGAGAGGACAATAGGTCCCCCCCCTTATTCTTGTTTAGGGCCCCCACCCACTGCTCAGGGGTGGGGGCCAGGGGGAGGACAATAGGTCCCCCCCGACTTGTATTTAGGGCCCCCACCCACCACTCAGGGGTGGGGGCCGGGCGGAGGACATTAGGTCCCCCCCTTATTCTTGTTTAGGGCCCCCACCCACCGCTCAGGGGTGGGTGCCAGGGGGGAGGACAATAGGTCCCCCCCAATTTGTATTTAGGGCCCCCACCTGCCGCAATAGGTCCCCCCTTATTCTTGTTTAGGGCCCCCCAATTTGTATTTAGGGCCCCCACCCGCCACTCAGTGGTGTGGGCCAGGCGGAGGACATTAGGTCCCCCCCTTATTCTTGTTTAGGGCCCCCACCCACCGCTCAGGGGTGGGTGCCAGGGGGGAGGACAATAGGTCCCCCCCAATTTGTATTTAGGGCCCCCACCTGCCGCAATAGGTCCCCCCTTATTCTTGTTTAGGGCCCCCCAATTTGTATTTAGGGCCCCCACCCGCCACTCAGTGGTGTGGGCCAGGCGGAGGACATTAGGTCCCCCCCTTATTCTTGTTTAGGGCCCCCACCCACCGCTCAGGGGTGGGTGCCAGGGGGGAGGACAATAGGTCCCCCCCAATTTGTATTTAGGGCCCCCACCCGCCGCTCAGGGGGGAGGACAATAGGTCCCCCCCTTATTCTTGTTTAGGGCCCCCACCCACCGCTCAGGGGTGGGGGCCAGGGGGGAGGACATTAGGTCCCGTCCCCCCCAATTTTTATTTAGGGCTCAGGGGTGGGGGCCGGTGGGGAGGACAATAGGTCCTCCCCCTTTTTTTACTTTAGGGCCCCCACCCACCGCTTAGGGAGGGGGGACCCTTTTTTTTTTTTTTAAAACAGTGAGCAGCCACTGGCTGCTCACTGTTTAACAGACATGCCCCTACTCGCGGTATAGCGAGTAGGGGCAAAATTTACTAATACTAAGTATTTTTTTACTTAGTATTAGTAAATTTGGCTGAAAGACCAATTTAGGACTTTCAGTCTTTTGGTAGATAACTCCCTAATACTGTGGGAATTAGGGAGTTATGTACCAAGCGGCTGCAAGAAAAGTTCCGAAGTGCCGAAGTTCCAAAGTGTCGAAGTCCCGAATTGACGAAGTCCCGAATTTCGGAATGCCGAACCGAGCCGAATATTTTCCCCATGCAAATGCCTACCAAATAGATCACATCCATTGCAACATCCTGATCTATACTTCTACTTACTTCTTCGTAGAACGCAATCAAGTTAGTTTGACATGACCTGTGCTTTATAAAACAGTGCTGATTTTTGCTGATAACCATGTTCTTCTCAAGGAATTCTTGAATATTATCCCTTAATAACCTTTCAAATATTTTCCCAGCCACAGAAGTTAAGCTCACAGGTCTATAATTTCCAGGCAAGGATTTTGAACCCTTTTTGGATATAGGAACCACAGCTGACTTCCTCCAATCCTCCGGAACACTTCCTGAAAGAAAAGAATCTTGAAAGATTAAAAACCGAGGTTCACTTATTTCTACACTTAGTTCCTTAAGTACTCGTGGATGGATACCATCAGGCCCTGGAGCTTTGTTTATATTAACTTTCTTTAGTTGCTGCAGCACCTTGTCTTGAGTTAACCAATTACAATTATTCTGCAAGTTTTTAGTAGCAATCATTTGCACATCTATTGCCATGGGTTCTTCTTTAATATATACGGAGCAGAAATAGTTATTTAAAATTCCTGCCTTTTCCTGGTCTTCATTAACTAACACCCCTGTTTCAGTTTTTAGTGTACCTACACTTTCATTTGTGGTTTTTTTAGAATTGATGTATAGTGATGTCCCGAACGGTTCGCCATGAACGGTTCGCCACGAACGGTTCGCCGCGGACTCATCATTGAGTAAACTTGGACCCTGTACCTCACAGTCAGCAGACACATTCCAGCCAATCAGCAGCAGACCCTCCCACCTCCTGGACAGCTCACTAAGAATGCAGCTTCACAATGAATGTAAAATGGATGCTGTCCAGGAGGTGGGAGGGAAGGTCTGCTGCTGATTGGCTGGAATGTGTCTGCTGACTGTGAGGTACAGGGTCAAAGTTTACTCAATGATGAGTCCGTGGCGAACCGTTCGTGGCGAACCATTCGTGGCGAACCGTTCGCGAACCGTTCGGCGAACCGTTCGGGACATCACTATTGATGTACTTAAAAAATGCTTTGGGGTTGGTTTTGCTCTCTTTAGATATCATTAAGTGAAAATATCAAACTTGACAAATGTAATTTTAAATGGAGTATGCTTGTATGAACCATGCAGAGGACTGAAATGTTATAAGCATATACCTTGTTGTTGTTTTTATATTATTATTGTTTACGATATGGCTAGTTGATATGCCTTCCTTAAGAGGCAGTCATTTTTATTATTATTAGGCTTAGAGGAAAATTTTGTTTTGCCCAAATTCCTTTGTGAATGTACTCTTGAGCTCACATTATCTATTTTTTTTTAAACTAATTCTTCAGTGTATAGACCCCTCGACGAATGTACTTCCTGCTCTAGATGTGTAGTAAGTGCTAGAAACCAAATGTCCAGAAGTTGCAAATATAACCACAAGACAATAAATATGAATAAAATTGTATGTAATTTTAAAAACTGTGCGGTAATCCAGACATGTATTGACACTCTTTCCTGCTAATCTATGCAATGTTTTTGTTTCTCTGTGATATTTGCAATGCACTACTAAAATAAAGAATTGAAAAGAAAAAGAAATAGATCATGCAACTTGCTGGATACTACTATATTCGCAGCACTTCCATCCAGATGGTAGGCAGCCTCCAAGATTGTCTATTGGAGCAAGATTAAAGACTTTCAGCTGATTGGTCACGTGAGTTGATCTTAATGGGAACCTGTAATGAAAAAAATTACTTGCCTTAAATTGCTCCCATATGCATTGAATACACCATATATCATAAAGATACATGGTGTATTTAATGAAAAATATAAAAGTTTACTCACCTTTCCTCAGTTTCAGTGCCGCTTTGTGAGTGTTACTGTTCCTAGCCGTCCTCCACTCCACCTGCGTTCCACCTCTTTTCTTCTTTGCTTTGCCCTGCATCCCAAACCAGGACAAATCTCGTCAATGATGTTGGCATACAGGCTTCGTTGCCAGCTTCAGAAGGGAGTGATATCACTTTACCCCATTCCTATACTCCCTAGCCGGCGCTAGAAGCGCATGTGCTGTGGTTGCTATTGAAGGAGAGCAGAGGGAACTTCTGTTGGAGGTCTTTTCTGCTCCTCTTCTAGACATTTGCTTGCATAACTGCAAGCACAAGATATAGATATAATCTTATGCTCAATCTAATAATCATAAACTGTTTGAGGCATGATCGATGCTCTACTAGTAGAATACTACTACTTTAAGCCCATTCATTTTTTGGCAGGTGTCGGCTAGTTTTACATTTGCACAATATGAGCCTGATTGCACAAAATTACATGATTTTACTATTTCCTGACAAACAGCTATGCCTTCGTAGCTTTTTTCCCCTGTCTTTCTTGGAATAGAAATATTAAGATATGTGTTTTTTCAAGGATCACTAAAAGTGCATAGGGGAACACAAAAGAAATCGCAGTGGCACAGATCTATGTGTCTCCACATACTGTACAGTACTTTGAAAGGATCATGGCAGTATCCCCTATCCCTGTCAAAGACAAATGTAGTCACAAATCTTATCAACACTATGTAATATGGGAGTTTATTCAAGGCCCAAGAGAAATGCAGCAATGTATCAACACTTTTGTGTCTTTGTCAATGCAAAGTTTCCACTTGAGCACCTGTATCACTCATCATTTTGGATATGCCATTAAAATGTTAATAACCAATAAATAAACAAGAGAATAGTCAGATCAGATGCTTAAAATATTCAAGTGAATGCTCAAAAATAACCGAAAGCTCAAAATCATGAATATTGACATCATGTGGTCAGAATTTGAATGGTAAAATAACATTCTATTCGGTCAACCGAATTCCAACTAGAATTAGCTTGATTTAAGAGCAAATAATTAAGCCTATCACTGTACTGCAATATATATATATACAAATATTATATATGTATTTTGCAGTACAGTGATAGGCTAATTTTTAAGCTCTTTTTGTTTGTCTGAATAGTTTTCGCTGAATCATTTATGTGGATGCTATATGGAGGTGCCGAATCACAGTGTCGTCAAAATACAGTCGACCAAATTACATTTTCTCTACTGGTTTTCTCTCATTACAGCTTCTCCTTATTTCCCTTGGGTAAAGTGGAGCCCCGGCATAAACAGTCGCCTGCTTTTATTCTTCCTTTCCATGAGTCATTTCAGTTCTGAATAACATCTACATGTATTTCATGTCCTAGCGGATGATTTGCGAAAATCCAACGTGAGTCCTATATACCAGGATTTTGATAATTCTGGAGTTATCACAATAAAAATAACAAAGAAAAACCTTGAGCCCAACTCATTTTGGATAGTAAACTTGCCTAGGTTGCCTGGCACCAGATGTATACCAAATTCCTCACTGGTGGATAGAGGCTTCATGCTGCAATAGTTGGCTCTGTTCTGGGTCAGGCTCAACTGTAACTCATCATCTAAATCCAATTATGCGTACCAGGTTACTAAGAAGAATTAGAAATGTTCATTGAGAGCATGGAATGGAAGAACTGATTCTGAGATTAACGCATCATATTCTAGAGATAATATGAGATATTGCTTGTTAGGAACACTCGGTATCCTTGTGAGTAACCCTACAACAGCTGGTAAACCTGGCATGTAAACCATCATACAGCTGTGTTCTTGGATACCCAATGCACTACATCACTATCTACTTCAACCAATATGGCCTGTGTTGCCGTAGCTGGGAGGAAGCAAGCATAGCACATCAAGTATTATTCTGCTGCTGAGGTTACATTTCAAACAAAAGCTATAGAAGCAAAATCATAGCAAGGGATAGTAGTTCTAGCTAAAGAATGGGAGTGCATATTGCAGGCTGTAATGTCGTAGCATCGATGATGCTTACAGAATCACCTGGATGAGACTGATCTGACCCCACTGGTGGCTCATGCTGCTCCACACTTGATATTTGGTGGGCTTTGTTCTCCTTGAATCACCTAACTATTAATATGAGGTTGTGTTACTCTTACTAGCTGTGTGATCCAAAAACCTACTTTTTTTAATTTTGACACTTTTGTCGTTTTTTTTTCTTTAAATTCGTATTATTTGAATAACAAACATAACATAGATTCCGTTTTGAATGTTTAGTAATCAAAGTCTCCCAGTAACAGAGTGCCAAAGTACAGACAGAATCACATACAATGAAGGTCGCAGTGAGCAAAACATATTCCTAATGAATGCTTTCCAATAAATATTCCAGAAGCCAAATGTAGCATAGTTCAATCTGGGACTGTTAAATGATAACAAAAAGGAATGTATTCATGTTAACATATTGTATAAAATGAGAAAAAAAATCAGGATGGTTTTGTGGGTATCGTGGACTCATGAATAAATAAACTTCAAAAGCAAATAACTTATTTAAAAGCTATATTAGGGTCCGAGGCAAAGGTTACAATCGAGAGAAGTGGAAAATGAAGATAGACAAGAAAACAAACAGTACAATAGAATTCAAAGAATATAAAAGAGGACAAGAAAGTGTAGATTATTCCACGAGTAAAATCAGAATGGAGAAAAGACAGAAATTAAGATTTTGCTAATTTATGTAGCATCCATAACCAAGACTAAGAGAAAAATATCCTGCTTGTATAGATTGAGAAGGCAGATCAGATCTGCACAGATTTTGTAACACTTTACATCCAGCACAAGGGGTGAATAAAGTGGAGAATGTCAGCAGTCCTCCCTGGTTATACGTCTATTTTATTAATCTGTTACCCCTGGCAGCTCATGCGACCATACTATTAGTCAATTTTGGGAATTCTTCATAAATCAAGCAATATCAGTTTGGTGAGAAATTGAGGCCTTTTGGTTTGACATAAACTCTGTGCATTTCAGTTCAAATAACCTTTAATTCAGAGTTTAATAAATACTGTAAATTTAATTTGAATAAAAAGTGAACCAATTTATTAAAGTTAAATTTACTACCTTACATTTGGCCTTAAGAGAATAAATCTATATGCTTCACTAAATAAACCCTCCAATTAATCAGTGTAGTGAGTTTAGATCAATAAAACATAAAGTTGGCCAAGCATTATATATTGCTAGCCATAAATCATTTTAAATATTCACAGCAGATTTTTAAAAATTTTATCTATGGTAATTACCTCTAGAGACATTATTTCAATAACGTACCTCCAAAACCTGTCCAAAAAAATGGTGTATCATTTCTGAATGAACATGAACAAAATATGGGACAAAACTCTCCAGCCACCAACAAGGCCATGGTATTGTGAAGAGTATTTAAAAGTGTTAATACATCACTAAATAATCTTAACTCTGCATGAGGACCTCCAGCATCAGATTTTTCCCCATAGAAAAGCATTGAATAATGATTTCCTATGGGGAAAGCCTATTGCGAGCGCGGCCATTTGGAGGAGTGTGGGTGGAGCCTAGCAGCGCAGAGCGACATCAGCGCTGGATTTAGGTAAGTAACTGAAGGGGTTTAAACCCCTTCATCACCGCTGGAGGGGGGGGGTGTGAGGGTAGGTGCACTGCAGGAGCCTATAATTCCAGGAAAAAGGCTTTGTTTTTCTGGCACTATAAAATCCTTTAATGCAGCACATGACAAGATAAAATTGCTCTGGTCTATGGTTTATTCATAGTAATTTGTTATGAGACCTCTGGCTATCTTTTTACAGAAGACGTGTCCAAAATTGGGACAATCTCAAATATAGGACACTTGTCAGGTGTACAGTAAGGAGATATTCATGTCTTACCCTCACTTCACACTTCTGTGATCTTTCTTTTTGCACTCGTGTGTATCTCAAATAATTTTCTCAAAAATACCATAACCTAATTAGAGATTTGGTTTAACTGCTCAAATAAAAATATTACATTTTTTGCATAGCAGAGCACAATATGCATCATCATATTCCTAGAGTTCTATTCTTTAAAATACTCAACAGATAACGCTGTTAATACTAACAAGAGATGAAGGGAACCCAACAATTTATCACTCCAAGACCAATAAAATTAATGCCATTGTATAATTACACAATACCAAAAGCTTGTAGTAAGCCAAACATACCTTCACAGTTAAAAATAAATACATAGAAACAGTGAGAGATGGATAGACAGATAAGAGTGGGACATTATATTTTAATAATGTATATCTAAAGGCTGGTGTGCTAAAGTGGAATTAATCTGTCATTGGATCTTAAGGGGTTAGCACTAGTAGTTGATGAAGACTGAATCAAGTTAGGAATTTGCTTACAAAGCATTGCATAGTACAGAGTGTGATGTAAGTGGAGACGTATTGCAACCTAGTATCACATTACTACTTCAATTGAGAGAAGACATTCTGTTTACCTATGTAGTTTGAAGCTATAAAACTTGTAGTAGTGCATGAAAGGCATATTCAGCGAGCTGTGGAAGTGAATCCTGGGTGTGTTTGCAGTTCTTAGCTAGCTGGCATGCTTTGATTATGACACCCATAGAAATGTCTTCTTACCTCCAACATACCCATGTTTCCAGTCCAGTATGTGTTCAGCTTAATAGGTTGAATATGAGTCTGAAGTGCTCCTCAGTCTAGTCAATCATTTGAAGTTTTAAAAAGTGCAAGGTGAGCAGATTTCAAGGATTACAAAATGTAATAATTATCTGACCTCCAGCAATATAGGACACAGCTCACCAGCTGCCGGTAGACCAAGCCAAAGAGCTAGTGTGTGACCCAAATGCCACTGTGGGAAAGAACAGACATCCAAGAGATTGGCATCCAGGCTTAGCTACCAAACACACCCTTGCGAGGGGGGCACAGCTGCAGATTCTGCTGTTTAAAAAAAGGAGAGGAAGGACGAAATGAGGTTATATATAATGTGACTCTCTTCTATTTGCTGTTCAAGTGACTGGAATGAGGAGCTGTGAAGAAGGGAAAATGCTTTTGATAAAGTTTAGTTTGCTACATGTAGTCACAAAAAGGATGGCTTTTATTATCATTTTTCACAAGTTAACTTGTAACATTACACCAGTTATAAGAAAGACTCGCTCATAGATTGGAAAATGATATGTATAGTGTTTTCTTTTATTGTACATTAAAAGCTTAGGGGTTGATTTACTAAATCCTGATACGATACCGATAATTTTTTGGGTGTTTTTTTTAATTTAATTTACAATAAATATCTTCCACTATGCCAGAAAAAAAGGCTTTCAAGTGTATTCAAACCACCTTGTATGAACCAAGTACCCCTCAAATACAGCCCTCTATATTTCCCCCATGTATACAGGAGTGGGAAGAGGTAAGGTAATTCTATAGGGCTGTGGTGCATGGTCCCTTCACATTATTACACACTGCATGCAGTGGAAACTTGGTGACCCAGTGAAGGTCCCTTCCCCTTAACAGTTCCGAAGCATTCTAGCTGAATTAAAATAGGGATGTGTCCAGTCCCCTGGTTCTAATAACTATTGGACACACTCTGGCCAAACTCACTACACCCCTCTTATTGGATAGGACATGGAGAACTCCAGCCACTAGTCATCAACCCACCCATCAAACTGACACCTTCCCAAATACAATAAGTTCACAATAATTTAACCATACTTGTATTTCTGGCACCTGCAGGTTCAGGAAGGCCACAGTAACCTGTCCAGAACCCCAACCTGTACAAGTGGTTTCGTCACCGATGCAGCACTAAAACACCTACTTATTTGATGGGTAAAAGGAAAAAGTGAATTGCTATGTAATAGTATTTCACTAATGTAATGTTAACAAAAACAGCTATTCTTTAAATTGTGGTTATTTTTGATGGAGTCTTAGAAGACATAGAAGTAGAAATGAGATCACACACATATGCTCCATGGTACTACTATTCCCAGTAGAGATGGAGTTATATTACAAACAAATACATACATTGAATAATACATGAAAAGACTTTACTAAATAGAGGAAGCTGGAACAGGTTTTGAACTTAAACAAGGTACTTTAACTGATAATTCTTAATAAACACAGAAAATAAATATATACAATTTATCTCCTTGCAGACCACAGAGATAACTTGAGATCAGCAGTGTACAGGATGGGCAGAAGCACAGTTTACTTATATTGGGGTCAGGTTTATAATGCAGTAGAGGGATAGCATATTTACATGTGTGAAGCCAAAAATCCTTGCACCAGCCATGACTGCACATTTATGGTTTTCATGAAAAAGCTTTCTGGTGTCAGAGAATTCCCTATCTTTTGGATTGCCTGACACCAGAGAGGAGGCCTAACATGGGCCAGTATAGGCTGATGCTTTTCTGGTTAACATTGAGAACAGCCCTTAGGTTTGGATGTCAGGTCTACATTCTGTACTTTCCTAAAGTTATTGATAGGTACCCAAACTCTTGCTTTAGTTATATGGGATTTAACCCTCCCCTCTCCCCCTTATTTTCTGTTGGATATATTTGCTCCTCAGAATGTTGTTTCTGCCTTCTTTACACGTGTCATTCTAGAGAGATGCATGACTCATCTCTAATACCTTATGGAATCTTGTGCAATTAACCATCGCACATTTATTTTTCTCTACTGTTGCAGATTATTGTGAGCCTATTGTGGCTAATTTTATTTGTATTTCCTGATTTAAAACCACAAAATAATTTGTCACTAAACAAAACATATATAGCAGTGATCCAGTAAAGAAGCTGCATCTATACTTTGCTGTCCCATAAACTCATTGCTTTAGAAATATCCTTAGATATCCAAGAAGTTCAAGGATTGCATGAACTATTATTATTTTCTGCCAACTTCCTGTTAGTTTGTTTTTTCAGAGAAATGGAGCATGACATTAAACAGTAGTGATGACTCATATGGAATGCTTCTCTCTGGTTAGCACAAAAGGATCCTTATCAAATGGTAAATGGCCCAACATGGCATTTACTAATGTATTGTGAGGTGTGATTGGACCACAAATAATTGCATTGTGAGTGACCAGTGGGTAGAAGAAGCAGTGTCACACACATTCAACAAACTCCCAAACCAAGAGGCCTCCATACATAAAAGGATCAATGTTGTTCCTTTGGGAACAGATGTGAAACAGGCTACATCACCTTCAAGATAGTAAGAAGAGATTTCTATTTTCTTTAGGCTTTACCTGTATTTACATGATAGACTAGACCTTCTTCTCTTTTTCTGATCTGTCACCTCCACTTAATGTAACCAACTTGTTCTGTGAGCCCTTCTTACATAATACATTGTTAATAGAATTTGTCCTCTCAAACACTTACCATCTTTCTTACCTCCACTTCCACAATGTTACTTAAACATTTATCTAGTTCATCTTATACACTGTTCACCCCGTCCAATAAAAATAATAAAAGGGAAGGATTAAACTCCTTACTTTAACTTACAAAGCACCCCACATCTCCATGAACTGTTTGACTGCACTTCCAGCCAAGGTATACAAGATAGTGGAAAGAAGGAAAGTGAAAATGTGAAAAATGTGATGGGGAAGATGTGCAGAGAAAGACAAATTGTGAAAATTCAGGGGTGGGGGCGAGAATGGGGTAAATATAGGAAGAGGAATATGAGCAGTTTGCATTGAAAGTGGGACAGTGGTTGACATTTCAAGTGTAGATTCCACGAATACTACAAAACAAGATGGAATACCTTGACTCTGATTTGATATTGTTCCTTTTCAAGTTGTTTAATATTTCTGGATACACTTTTAAAATATTTTTTTCAAAATATTAAACTATCAAATATATATGTAGATATAATTTATATAATTTTAAAAGTTTATCCTGAAATATATTGAAACACATTAAGTTGATGTCTGAATGTGCATTACATTTATGTTTTATTGTCACTTTCCTAATACTATTAAAAAAATCCTTAAATAACAAATTATAAAAGCATGAAACAGGCATGCACAGATTATGAATACACTGCAAAAAAAAAATCAATTCATTATTCTAATAACATTTTTACCAAATGTGCAGACCTGGCAATAGTTTTTTTATTGTAAAAAAAAATAATCTACAGATATTAAAGGGCTCGGGAGGATGTCAAGAGGTTTATGGCATGGTGGAGCAAACCACAGAGACACATACAACACACATCACCGAACTGCAGAGGCAGGTGAGGGATCTCACCTCTGTTTAGATCATCTTTGACAACCAACTGGCAGCCCTGGAGGATAAGAGAAGGTGGAAACACCTGAAGATGAGAGGCATATCTGAAGACGTAACTATGGCAGAGATGTAACATTTTCTACGTAGGCTGTTTGTGGCCCTGCTACCTCATAAACAAGCACAAAGCATTCAACTAGACAACATGTTTCACCTACCTAAACCTCAGTCCAACAAGGCCATAGCCAGGTAACCTCCTGGTCTAATTTCAGAATGAGCAAGGTAAGGCAGCCATCTTGAATACTTCCAGAGAGAAGATCCCATTCAGATTTGAGGAAATGGAACTTACCTTCTATGCTGACCTCTCCTGCTCAACCCTGCAATGGAGGAAATCACTTAGACTCCCAACAACTACGCTATTATCTCATGGCCTGAAGAACCGCTGGGGTAATCCTCTCTCTCTGAATCTCCAGCATATTAACACAGAGAACAAAGTGCCCGTTGTTTCAGAAGTAGACACTGTCTTTTCTTTCCTGGCCTTTGGCCCAATCTCTCAATCCACTACAGTTTGGGATTCAGGTAATGTTATCCCATATACTCCTGCACTCAGTGAAGCAGCAGTGTTGCGGTCACCTGACCTTGGCAGCTTTTGTTTTGGGACTTTTTCTTTTGTGTTTCTAAATTTTTTCACTGTTACTTGATGCTCTCTCCTCTACTCTCTAGGGTATAACCCAGCCCAGCTAATTCCCTAGACCACGCACACTAACCCCCCCCCCAACTAATATCTCTTATTCTCTATTCTCTATGAAGAGCTGTATCATTGCAAGTTATCCCATTATATTGCCTGTCACTTTGTATTACTTATGTGTTTCCGCATTCTCAAACTAAGGAACCTCTTTTAGTGTCGATTTGAGCTCATTGTCTTGACACTGCAGATGTTTACTGTACAATAACAACCAAAAAACCACAGTCAGATTAGTCAAACCTGTTTCTTGTGACATACTCACTTATTTCTGTGTATCTTGTTTTGTATATTGCCATGTGTTTTGTATGTCTGATTGTGGTCTAAATAAGGATTTTTTTTATGTATACCTGGGCAATAAACTAATTGGGTTTTATACTAATGCTAATATATAAAATCCACTGAAATCTATGTAAGTGTGTACATGATTGAGCTAAATTGATCATGGTGTTATACCATGATAATTGCATCTAATAAATGTATGGTCTGGTTAGCTAATAAAAATATTTATTTATTGGAAAAAAGTTTCAATTAATATCAAGAACAGAAAAACAAAAACATTTGGACATGAATAACAGAGAATAAAGCACAGAGAAAGTCTATTTTAGTGTGATTTAAATACCAACTGCATTTTTGAAAAAATATAATTTTTTTAATGTTTAGATTTGTGTTTAATACATGCAGGTTCTAGCAGTAGTATTCTGGCCTTGATCCTTCACTTTTGCAAGTCACTTGAGAGTCCATACTTGACCTTGAGCATAGAAGAAGTCTCTCTGACTCTGTTGTGTCTCTTCGAGTCCATAACTCTCCTCCAGCATTGATGGAACATGGTCTCAAGGACAAGGTTTCAAATTTTATATACGTCTCTTTTAAGAGGTCCTCTTCACCAGGGGCCTGTGGCTTGCACTGCAGTTTTATGACTTTGTAAAGTAAAACAAAGATGACCGGCAAGATAATAACACAGCCAACACTGCTGGCTATTACTAGGCTTGATATTTGGGAAACACTTTCAGTGGTGAGAAGAGAGTCTGTAGAGAACACAATGCATTGGTCTTTTCTAGGTGCTGTTGATTTCAGACAAACACACGCCATGTATTTTGTGTTGGGCTGTAACCCATCAATTGTTACTTTATTTTTCCTGGGGTCTGTGCTCAACCTCAGCATCTCTTCATCACCATATTTTGAATACAGCACAGTCAAGGTCGAACTGTTTGTTGTGTTGAGAGTCTTCCAGGTCAGAGTGACCCGATCCTCTGACTCAACAGACACTTTCAGGTTCCGTACTACAGAACTGTGTTGTGTGGCAGATGTCCCAATTTTCTTGACAGGTACCTGTAACTTTGGCTGTTTTGTCTCTGAGCTCTTTGGAGTAGTAGAGGTAATACTTGTAGGGGCTATTGTTGGTGGTAGTGCTGCTGATGTTGTTTTTGGGGCTACTGATGAAGATGTAATTGTCTGAACTGGAAACCAGTCTGCAGCTGTTGTTGTGATAATTTCCTCCTTTACTGTTTGCATATTGCTAATCTGATCTGCTCCTACTTTCCAAAATGAACGTTGTGGAGATCCTGTTGTTGTGACAACACCAACCACTATGACAGTTATTGATGCTTCTGCTATACCTGCCAAATTTTTAGCCTTGCATCGGTATTCTCCAGCATCATTGTAGGAAATGCCATTCATACTTAGAATTGACCATCTCACACCATCTGATGGAGATTCCTGAATAACTAGAAAGAGAAGAAAACAGCTAAGAGACACGCTGAAACAATTTACGTATTAAAATTTAATATTTACTATACACTGAATCTGTTATAATATTTGCAAAGAATAAGTCACAGCAATGAAGAACTCAGTTTTATGACATTTCATGTATTTAACCCCTTAAGGACACATGACATGTCTGACATGTCCTGATTCCCTTTTATTCCAGAAGTTTGGTCCTTACGGGGTTAAATCTCTTAACTAAAAAAAATACTTAAAACATCTATAATTATAAAATCACTAAAGATATTAAAATGCTGTTCAAATTCTTCCTTAATTATCTCATGCAAAATATTGGTGCTTATTTTTTGAAGAGTGAACAAGTTTGAGGGGCACAGCGATTGGCAGCCAGAATGGATGTATTTTCTTCACTGTCTGTGCCACCACATCTAAAGACTGCCTTTTACAGTCATTATATTCTGTTTATATGGCTATATCTACATCTATATATATCTGGCTGTATCTACACTTGGAGGAAGGACAATATAATTGGAAGAAGAAATAGTATATCTTCACAAGCTTGAGTGATGGTCAAGATATCGGAGAACTGATAGGTGGAAGAGCAATCCTAAACACAATCTATAGCCTCAGACAACAGCATTTGACCATTATAACAGAGGAAATCACTTATTTCCTCAGACATCTTCTTTACCTCCATAATGTCGCCCAAACAACCTGCAGGCTCCTTGTGTGGCACCTAGGGATGTGATTATTAAATGCCACTCTTTTTACTGATAAACTTCAGATTATGAGTGCAGTGAAGGGGAAGTCACCCCTGAGCTTTAAGTCAGATAGCTTGTTTTTTTTAAGACTTAACTTGGGAATACTTTATATTGGCACAGTCTGTGCAACCTGGTATTAAATGGGTTACTCATAATCCTTGATAGTGGACAACAATGACTTTAATCTCAAACTGTCAACCCTTGGATGCTGATAATTTCCTCACATAGTGGGTCTTGGTACACAGCCGGACATGTTTGCCGGAACATATGTTACAACATCATGAAATGTCCAGAATATTACTCTTTTAGTCCCTCATACAAGACAGTTACTGGTCTAAATGTTGATCGGCCTTCTCGTGCCATGTCTTCACTGTGAAGGATAGATCAAGGATAAGTATAGGGACTTACTCCTCTAAAGTTCCCTTGCCTTTTTTTATTTTCTTTTCTTTGATTTTATTTTTCTTATCTGAGTCAAAACCAGACTTATTTGTAATGTATTGACAATTGTTACTATATATATATTGTTAAGATATATACCCCTTTCCCCTGGGTATGCAGAGTTGGTCATCATTTGAACATAATACATACTAATTTATTCAATTCTTATAATAACTCTTCCACCAAGCTTAAATGATTTAGCACAATCTGTTTTAAGACTAATTTTCTCACTACTATTGCTAAATTCTATTTATTTGTTTTATAGATATTATTCACAAATATATGGAAATGTCTCGTTGCCAACATTTATGTATTTTGTTTTATTTTTTTTTCCTTTGCTTTTCACACCCAGAAACTATTTTGAGATTGTTGTAAAATCCCCACATTAAAAAAAAAACAAGAGTGAATAAAAATTGCATGGAATCCCTTAATATATATAGAGCAGGCATTGTTTATGTATATGTATTTTTAGTTTAGCAATAAGTACAATTTCTGCATAAACTGGTTAGCATGCTGCTAACATTATTTTTATTAAAAATATTTGTGTTACTCTAGATTCCACATCTAGCATTTTCAATTAACTTTACAACACACCATTGATTATCTGACAGGTTATATGCATTTCTTATGTATGCATGTATATATCGTTCTCTAATATAAAATATGCCAAGTTGACATTCTCGTGATACTCCTACCAATTCCTACATTTAATCAATGAAGAAGCATATTAGAATGTCCAGCAAATGTACAGAAATGTTTAGTTCTCTAAGTCCATACATAAGAAACACTAGTATTCCTTGGAACTGGCATAAAAAGTTGGATGTACCTGTGTAATTAGTGGATGTGCTGTTAGTTCTACTCCATGATAATTGAGGGGTTGGAGAGCCTGTTGCATCACATCTCAGTAACACATTGCTCCCCAGTGGCGAAGAAATTTTTGTGGCTGATGTCATCACAGAAGGTTTCAGACATTGCTCCAACTCTGCTCTTTGGAACAAAATGCCTGCTAGAGACTCAGGTCCATAGCAAACCACTAGGGAGTCCAGAAAAACCACATGGGGATCCACGAGTTTTGAAAGTTCAATCAACTTTGATATGCGGCAATCACAGAACCATGTGTTATCTTGCAATCCTTAAAGAGAAAACATTGTTATAATTAGTCATTTATTTTTATTACATCTCATTTGTACTAATGACTAAATCAGAGCTGATTTCCAACGTACAAGGTGGAATATTGAACTTTTATATAGAAGCATTTTTTTAAATAAATTTATTTACATTTAAATAAAAAAATGGCTTTGAGACTATGCTGAAAAGAGATTAAGTAGTGCTTAAAATCATGTTTTAATAATGATTAAATAGGAATCATCACTTAATTGTAAATTAGGTCATTGAATAAAATAATTAAATACACCCTTAACTTGTGTTGACCTTTTTCATGTGATGCAACTTGTTTTATAAACTATATTAAAATTTTTACAAATTACATCACAATCCATTTTAACCCCTTCAGTGTCACAGGTGGGGGCGAGTGAAAACGAGTTTGTTTTTTTGGCACTATAATTCCTTTAAAGGGAGCTAAGATGATGACATCCGCTTGCGGATAAAAAGGCATGAATCCACATTTGTTTTTGCCTTCCACATCTCACAAAAACATAGTTACATAGCTGGAAAGAGACATGCGTCCATCAAGTTCAACCTTTGTCACATTTGTTTTTGCAGTTGATCCAAAACCAAGCAAAAAAACCCCAGTCTGAAGCGCATCCAATTTTGCAACAAACTTGACCCCAGAATGGCAGTCAGGTATCTCATTGGATCAAGAAACTATTACCCCACTAATTAGAAATGATATCCCTATATATTATGTTTTTGCAAGTATTTATCCAACTGCTGTTTAAACCTGTATAGACTCTGATAAAACCACCTCTTCAGGCTGATTATTCCACATCCTTATTGATCTTATTGTAAAAAATAATTTCCTTTGCCTTAGACTAAATCTCCTTTCTTCCAGTCTAAACACATGACCTCATGTCCTTTGTATAGTCCTGTGTACAAACTGATTTCCAGACAATGGTTTGTATTGGCCCGAATATATATGTATGATGATATCATAGCCCCATATGAGGTGATGTTTTTCCAAGCTAAACAGATTTACATGTTAGTTTAATATCAATTAATCAATATTAAGAAAACTAATATTAAAAATTAAATGAAATAAGTGACTGATTCCTTTTGAATATTTTTTCTGTGTATATATTTATTTTTATATGTATTTTCAACCTTAAAGTGCTTTTTTTTTTTTTGTTTCAATATTTTATTGAATTTTAAGACTTAAGGGAGAAATGGGTACAGAAAAGAAAGGGATGCATTGTACAGACATCACAACAGTACAACAGTGCTGGGTATTAGATCCTCCACCCATCCAAGTGGGTCAAGTGTTTATCACTCTTACTTCTCGTGTCTTGTATAACTTCGTATGTCAACAGGGAAGCGTCAAGGTGTAGGGAACCTCGGTATCCTCACCCGTATGTCAATGCCTCAGTCGTTTCCGTCTTTTTACATCATACCCATCCTCTAGAAACTTGGGTTGGGGAAACTAGGAAAAGGTTAGGGTCAATTATGGGCAAGGTGTCGGTCCTTCAGTAATAAAAGTCTGTGCTAAGGGCTCTGAGCCTCTGGGCCTTAGTGAGTTGAGTTTTGTTGTCGCCAAGTGTCCCACTGGGCCCATGCTGCTTGCCATGTCTCTCCTTTAGGTCTTAGGCGTCTTGTTTCTAACTCATATTGTTTTGTGGTGTCCACCTCATTCAAACACTGCCCAATCTCTGGCGGAGTGTCCCTAAGCCACATCTTTCCTATTGCCGCTAGGGCTGCAATGATAATATGGTACATAAGATGTAGAGTGGCTTTGGGAAGTCTCCTCGGCAGTGCTAAAAGTAAGTATGTCTCTGGGTTGTGAGTAAGTTTCTTGCCTGTTACTGCCTGTATCGTGGTTGAGATATCCTTCCAGAACTCCACAAGTCGTGGACAGGACATCCAAATGTGGAGCATAGATCCGGATGCCGTCCGGCATCTCCAACACAGGTTGGATCTTTCATGAGCTATGTTGTGCACCCTTGTGGGGACCATATACATCCTATACAGCACTTTCCTCAGTTCTATGTGGGATGCGTTGAGAGTGAGGTTTTTGTGTGCAAGGAATATGTCGGCCCATTGTTCGTCTGATATGTTTTTGTGGAGATCCCTCTCCCAAGCCCTCAGAAACGATGGTCTCCATAGTTTATCGTATTTCGTTAGTTGCTGATATATTACAGACAGCAATTTGGGGGAAAGTTTCGGGGCTATGCACAATTTCTCCAATTCTGCTAACAAGGAGTTGCGCTGTTGTAGGACATCACCTTTGAGATTCCGTTGTGCCCAAGATTGTAATTGCATGTGCGAGTACTGTGCTTTCTCTGGAAGTCGATAGCATTGGATTATGGAGTTAAAATCCAGGATACGGCCCTCTGCTAGGATTTGATATATATATGTTACCCCATGTTTGTGCCACAGCCCATAGTCAAAGTTAGGAATATAAAATTGTAAGGCTTGTATCGGCATAGCGAGGGATATGTAAGTATCGCTTCGGTGCCGTTTAAGGATTCTGTCCCATATGTAAATCGTTGCTGCCGTGGTGGGACTAATATTGTTGTATTTCGGTCTATGCATTTTAGGCAACCAAACCATTGTGGGCAGGGAAAGGCCCCCTATGTGCGAGGATTCTATAGAGTTCCACTTCCGTGGCTTTTTATCAAAGTAAGTAGTTACCAGCGTACTCATCACAGCCGCCGCGTAATACCGTGCTATGTTTGGCAACCCCAGGCCACCTTCCCTAAATGGTTTATACAAAGTTTCAGCCGCTATCCTAGGCTTCTTTCCTCCCCAGATGAATTGAGTTATCACTTGTTGAGACTCTTTAAAGAAAGTACTCGGTAACCTAATCTGCAAGGTTCGGAAAAGGTATTGCCACCTTGGTAAGACCATCATTTTAATGGCAGCTATTCTACCTGTCCACAAGATGTATTTGTGTTTCCAAGCTAAGAGCTGTTGCTTAATTGAGTTATGCAGTTTCAGATAGTTAGCCTTATATAGTTGGTTTGTTTGAGGTGTGAGATTGACCCCTAAAAAGGTTAAGTGGGACTGTTGCCAATCGTAAGCATGGGTGGTTTTTAATTCCAGGAGTTTGGATTTGGTTATGTTGAGGCCTATGGCTTGCGTTTTTGTTGTGTTCAACTTATAATAAGAGCAATTGCTAAATCGTGTTAAGACAGTTTGTAGCTCGGGGAGGGAAGTCTCTGGTTGAGATAGCGTGAGCATTACGTCATCTGCAAAAAGTGTAATTTTATGTTCCATCCCTCCTGCTAGTATCCCATGAATACCTGGTGAGTTCCGTATATGCTGTGCTAAAGACTCCAGCGCTATTATGTATAAGAGGGGGGATAGTGGGCACCCTTGCCTGGACCCGTTGGAAATGGAGAAGGGTTTGGAGGTGAAGCCCCCATTAGATATTCTTGCAGTGGGGTTACTATAAAGCGCCGATACCAGGGTAATGAAGCATTCCGGGAAGGCTAGCTTCCTGAGTACGGATTGTAGGTAGCCCCAGTGTAGCCTGTCAAATGCTTTTTCAGCATCCAGTGACAGTACCACACTCGGGACTCCGGTTTTCCGTATAGTATGGAAAAGATTAATCAACTTCCTGGTCCCGTCTGAGCCTTGCCTCCCCCTTATGAACCCAACTTGATCATCATTTATCAACCTGGGCAGGATGGACCCCAGTCTGTTAGCATAAATTTTGGCTAATATCTTTAGGTCCGTGTTTAATAGCGATATGGGGCGTAAATTTTGGCTTCTATTGGGTGGTTTGCCGGGTTGTTATGTGCGCTAAGAGCATTTCTTTAGGGATTTCGCCGGTGATACGTATATGGTTGTACAATTTCTCTAATTGGGGGACGAGCATATGGGAAAAGGTTTTGTAATAGAGATTCGTGAAACCATCTGGGCCAGGGGATTTCCCCTTAGGAAGCGATTTAATCGTGGTTTCGATCTCTGAAGATGTAATGGGTTCTGCTAGTGATATCTGGTCTGGGTGTGTAAGCTGCTGCAGCTGGACACCGTGTAGGAACAGGTCTATTTCCGCTTGGGATGGCTGGTGTGTGCCTGGGTTCTTTTTTAGATTGTAAAGACCATCATAATAATCCACCAATTGATCATTAATCGCCTGAGGGTTATACATCTTATTCCCTATGCTATCAAGGAGATATGGGATTTTTGCATTTTGTCGTTGTTGCCTTAGTAGCCTTGCCAGTGTCTTCCCCGCTCTATTCCCTTGTGTGTATGTCGTCTGTTTTAGTTTGTATGCCATGAGGGCCGTTGTCCGCAAATGTTTAGCATTTAATTCCCCTCGTAGGGCCTCTATGCGTTGTTGAGTGGATGGCGTTGGGGTTTTGATTTGCCTGGAGGTTTCTTCCCTTAGGGATCTCAAAAGATCTATGTATTCCTGTCTGGATTTTTTGTTAAGATAAGATGTGTGACTAATTAGCAGACCTCTGATTACTGCCTTGTGCGCCTGCCATTGTGTGGTGATGGCGGTGTCTGTAGTACTATTTAATTCAAAAAAGGCATTTATTTCCTCTTTTAATTTGGCTAACAAATCCCTGTTGGAGAGGAGATAGTCATTTAGGCGCCACGTGGCCGCCCCCCGCGAGGGGAAGGTATCTTCCAGCGTCAGATGCACCGGGGCGTGATCCGACCATACTATATTCCCTATTTCACTATGCGTAGCTTTGGGTAATAGGTCCCCTGATATGAATATAAAATCTATACGAGTGTGCGTTTTGTGTACTTGTGAGTAGAAGGTAAATTCCCGACTGTTCGGATGCTGTGCTCGCCATACGTCGTATAGTTGGTATTCCGACAGGAGTTTTAACAGGAGATCTGCCTGTCTTTCCACCACTCTGTGTCTATGTGCCTGTGCCCAAGCAGTGGTGTCCATGCTGGCAGATAACACATGATTTAAGTCCCCGCAGATAATTGTGGACGCTTGCACCGTATTAGGGAGTTTAGAGAGCACCTTCCTCAGGAAGTTCCCTTGGTTGTCATTGGGGCTATAAATTCCCACTAGAGTATAGACAACTTCATTAATTTTACAATGTAGTATAAGAAATCGACCCTGTGTATCTTTTTTTAAAAACAAGAGCTCAAATGAGAGTGATGCGTGGATGAGCAGGGAAACACCTCTGGATTTAGAAGCATTTGTAGAGTGATATTGCGTGGGGTAATCTTTAGAGGCAAAGTGGGGTACCTTATTATGCACGAAGTGGGTCTCTTGTATACAGAGAATATCTGACTGCTGACGCTTGGCATCCTCCAGGAGGAGCCGTCGTTTGTGCGGCGTGTTTAAGCCGCGAGCATTAATTGTTTGTATTTTCATAGATCACTTAGTGATATTGGACTTCTAAGTAGTATAACAGGTACCAGTACAGCAGCACAAAGTGCCAAGGGGATAACCCTGTATGTTAAGTCTAGGTGTTGGGCTACCTCTTCAGCTTGATTCCCAGGCCAGACGCCTGTCTGCGCAGGGAAGCAGTGATGCATGGACCTGTGAGCCGTTGTATTTAGTAATATGTTATAGTTTGCCTGACCGACACGAGGGAAAACAAGAGGGGAAAGGGAAAACGTGAGAACTATGTACAAATCGTCTCCCAAGGAGACTGCATGTGGATCATCCACATCTGGGGTATTATGGAGATGTTGTCTCTCCATTAGCGTGGCTGTATGCACCTCTATGTATGTGCCTACACTGCTGGCGCAGCTGACACTTCCATTTATGTGGTGAGCAGTAGTTTAGTGGGATGTAGTCGGGCCCCGCCCACGTCCCCGCCCCCGGGTACAGCGCAAGTGGTTTCCGCGGCCTAAGTTTGCCTTCAGACAGTCACCCTGCCCTACCGTCTCATCATTCCAACCGTATCAAACAATTAGTGACCAATGATAGACCCATAATAGACCCCCCGCTCCACCACCCGCCCCACCCCCGGACCCCCGGAGCCCCCCGCCCCACCAATGACTACCAGTCTTTCACTGTCCGGCATGTCTGCAGCCAGGCCTAGGGCAGCTGCTTCCTCTCCAGGCAGCTGGCAGTGTCCGTATTCAGCGATGCCGTGCTGTGGCTGAATGCCTGACCATATCCACCCTCGGGGCAGTCCACAACTCCAGGGGGCCCAAACATAGGGCAAGGGGGGAACCGGCAGGGGAACAGGAAGAGCCCCTACCTCCTTCTTGCAGCCCGGCCTGGAGGCCCCCGCAGACGGTCCCGCTCTGCGCACGCCTCGTCACGGGGGTCGGCGGGGAACCCCGGACCCGGCCGCTCTCGTGATCACTCCCTCCCCCGAGCCCTCCCCCGCTCCAGACATCCAGTCCATCCCCAAGCGGAGGGGAGACGGCGCGGAGGGTTCACTCAAGGGCAGTCACTCCGCGGAGTCCCGGTTCAGAACGTGTGCTGGTCCCACATCCCTTAATCAGACTCTGGCTGGGTTCAATGTTTCTTGGCGGCCTTTTTCCATTCCGTGGTAAGTTTCCCCACGGGTTTGGCCGTTGACATGGTCTGTGCGATTTGTATATTCCAGGCACTCAGTTGCTTTGCCCCCTCGTCCGGGTTTGCTAGGGCGGTGATTCCTCCATCTTTGGCAATCAATAACTTAGTGGGAAAGCCCCATCTGTACTTAATGCCGTGCGCTCTCAGGGTAGCTGTAATCAGATGAAATGCCTTCCGCTTTCTTAGTGTTGCCGCTGATAAGTCAGCGTATATCTTGATGTCAGGATAATCTGGCGGCGGTGTGGCCCTCATCTTGCTGCCGCGAAGAATGTGCTCCTTTATATGATAATAATGCGCCCTCATTAGTACATCTCTCGGTACTTCCTGGGGAAGGTGTTTGGGTTTGGGGATGCGGTGAACTCGGTCTACCAGCAGCATATCTGTCGGTATCTCCGGGGCATGGGCATGCAGTAGGCCCCGCACGTATGCTGGTAGGTCTTCAGTAGTGACCTCCTCTGGGATACCCCTCAGTCGTAAATTATTCCGACGAGAGCGGTCTTCCAGATCCTCCACTTTCCCTTCAAGAGCATCCATCCTGGCTGCCATGTGTTCCACATTCGAGGCCAGATCGTTATGGGCCGTGGCGAACTCGTCATATTTGTCCTCCATGTGAGTAGTTCGTCGTCCCAGCTCTTGTATATCCTTCCTCAGAGAGTCTGCCATATGTTGCCATGATGATATCAGCTTAGCAGACAAGCTGTCGAGTGCCAATGCTAGATCAGTCTTCGTAATTTGGGCATTTTTGGACGGAGTTAGCAGATCTTGTATAGAGGGCCCGCCATCAGAATCCATGCCTCCATCTGGATTTGAGGCCTGCGCAGCCACAGACGCCAGCGCTTGTTTCTGGCTGAAAAAATTAAGCTTGTCCGGTTTCCCGGAGCTCTTTTTGCTTTTGTGGTGTGACATTGTCGGCACTCTGTGAAAATTGAGTAGTTACTGCTCAGGATTGCAATAGATTAGGTGCTAGATGCCGGAGCAGGAGAATTATGCGTCCATCTTGCTCCGAAGCTGGCCACGCCCCCCAAAGTGCTCTTTTAATATGTAGTGTAGCATTAATATTTAGTGACAATGTTATTATAGTATGAAGGTTAACGTATAGTGTAGCATGTTATAGTAATGTAAGGGATAATGTGTAGTGTGGTGTGTAAGATTTTAGGGTAGTGCATTTAGATATCTTAGCGATTCTCAGTGCTGCCTGAGATTATTGAGGGTTACAGTCCTGGAAGGTGGCAGGTGCCACTCAGTACTGTAACTCCCACTAATCTCAGGCAGATGGGGATATATATGTCCTAGTTGTGACTTTGATTAGGTCCCCTAGAATGCACAGAGGTTAACCGTGCATTATCCGTTTATTATGAAAAATAACAGCACAAATTACATATATAAATAATATACAGATAATTTAATTTACATATATAAATTCAAAGATTACTGTTGTGCACCATTTACATATTTCAAGTATTTAATTAGGACTTTTGGAAAATTCTGCCTTGTGCACAGTAGTTTCTAAAAATCATATTATAACAATTCTCTCTCAATTACCAATTCCCAAGATTGGCATCATGTTTTAGACAGTAATCTTTTGCTTAAATTTGTGGAAAGATTTGTCGTGCTTCATGTCACCACAGTTTACTTAGAGCATATAAACATACCTAACATGCTTTACAGTGATATATACATTTTTACCACTGGAGGTCACTTATGTTCCTTTTTTTTTCTCTCGAGAAATGAATATTAAAAATCAGAGCGTGGTTCAATCACCTCAGTTTGAGCAATCACACTTTTCTAACAAAATAAACAGCAAGTATGAAAGGTAGGATAAGCGCTAAGTAATCAATTAATATAAACAGTAAATTAAGCTGCAAACACTGAAAGTAATTAATACACCAAAACCTTACTGAAAAGAAGCAAAACAACACAAAACACAACAAACAGGCTGCACTGAATACTGTGTGAACTAAGACCAATTCTTTGGAAGATCCTGGCTTGGATTTGTCCAAGCTTCAGTTGGTGGTAAGTACATGTAATAAAACAGAAAATAACCAGTGAATACACTACACTAATTATTTGGCTATCTGCACTATTACTGGTTATTTTCTGTTTCATTACATATACTTACCTTCAACTGAAGCCTGGACAAATCCAAGCCAGGATCTTCCAAAGAATTTGACTTAATACTCAGCACAACCTGTTTTTTTTGTGTTTTGTGTTGTTTTGACACTTTTCTAACACCAGTTTCTGAATTTCTGCTTACCATCTCATGCAGTAAGGATTGCGTGACATTACTGATGTTCGTTGGGTTTAGTGCCCACAAATCTCGTTACAGGTGATTTAATTTCCAGTAGCATCCTTTAAAACTACCATTAGGCCTACAAAAGGAATTTGGTTGTTGATGTGGTGTGGTTTATTCACTAAATTTGAGACTTGTGGAGAATTTACTAGGGAAGCTGGGATTGGGAGTCATCAATGGTCCGTGTACATTAATGTGTATCTGGTCTATTAGATTTTAAGTTTGTTGAGTATTTTACCATAAAGCAGGATAAGCATTTCACAAGTTGTTTTTTTTTACATGGCAATGTTAATATGTCTACTGTTCATTTCCTGTTTGAAACCAAAGCCCAGAAACCATTAGAAAACTGGCAATCATCCATGTCACATGTATTGCAACCAATGTATGTGATCATTTTGACTGGATCACTGTCTGACAAAGGTTTATATAAATGCTCAGCCATAGTTCCAATAGTTAAAATTTCTCTTTTGTTCTTGATTGGGAATCCATCTACTCAAAATTGCCTACCATTTTATTGTTATGAATTTTTTTTTAATTGTTAGCCATTTAATTGAGAAAAGGTAATTTTTGAGGTTTGGCATAAACATTTTTCACAGGGATCAAAAATACACATCAGGAGGTACAGATGAGGAAACTTTCTTGTTATAGTATATTAAGGGAATTTCCAAACCCCAAGAAATATACAACTCACAACACAAAATCTTGGCAAAATGCCATTGATATGTGCCCAACTCTTATCATCTGCATAAATATAACAAAGGAAGTACATATAGTGCAGATGTGTTGACCAGTTTTTAAATGGTTCAGCAATTCTAATGACTTCATTGAGTTACAATGTCCCTCAGTATTGGCTCAGCTTGTGATGACAGGGCATTTTGTGTTGAGGGGACATAACATCCCCACGCTCTATCCCACACACAGGACTGCTACTAAGTATATAAGCTTCAGTGATGAGAGAAGAGAGCACAGGCTTGCAGTGGGAAGTGGTGAAAGCTGTTAGGACTCTTATTGTAGGATGGCTAGTTTGTGAAATTCTTTGACCTTTTCAGCTGGCCTACAGCCAGTTATCATCATGCTCCTACATTAAATTGCATGAAAAGACCAGTCTGGATTTGATGGATCATGATGATGCCATACCTTCAATGAAGGTATGAATTGGATAGGAGGTGGTGGAATGGAAGGGTGGAAGGGTGGAAAGAGGAGTGGCAGTGACACTACTAAAGTCACTGGCAATGACCAAAATGTGTTGTTCTGCCCAGAGAGGGGTGGGGACACTCATAGAAGGGGCTTTTTAGTCTGTTGTGAATGCTCAACAGGCTGACTGATGTCTCACTGATAGCCTCCTGACCAGCACCATTGACAGCCTCCTGGCCAGCACCACTCAGGGCAGACCATGCAGAGCTCACACAGCACAAATGCATCTAATGATGTGCACAGACTGTGCTGGCTGGGTTTAGTTCCCTGCTGTCCCAGATGTGGGACAAACAGACGTTTGATATTGGAATGGTCCTGCCTGATTTGGCACAGTTGGGGAAGCATGTGATGTCATCAGGCTGGCAAAACTAACACCAGTTCATTCCAGCTTTCTAAGATGCAGTACAAAACTCATTTTTATGCAGTCTTGATTTGAATTGAAACCACTTGCTTACTTTTAAATGTAGATTTAATTCAGCTGATGTTCTGGGATCATAACCTGCTAGTTTTGCCTGCTGAAAAAACATTTAGCAGGACTGAAATCCACACAAGGCATTGTTTACTGGTAAAAACACCAAAGGGTGATTCAAATGATTTTTTTAAAAACTCATGTCAAAACAGGTAAACTGACTTAAAGGAGATTTGTTCAGTTCACCTATTGTGCCCTAATAAGAGGAATTCACTTTGAATTCCTGATAACTTATCATCTAATAAATAGCCCATGTGTTTCTCTATGATTCGTGAAGTTAACTCCTGCAAAGCATGAGGATGTCCAGTGTCATTTCACAGAGTTAAAGGGACACTCCAGGTACCCAGACCACTTCTGCTCATTGGAGTGGTCTGGGTGCCAGCTCCCACCACTATTAACCCTGCAAGTGTAATAATTGCAGTTTTTATAAACTGCAATATTTACCTTGCAAGGTTAAGTCCTCCTCTAGTGGCTGTCTATCAGACAGCCACTAGAGGAACTTCTGTGTTCTTAGAATAATGAATAATGCTTTCCTATGGGGAGGTCTAATGCTAGCTGCGCATTAGGTCTTGCCCGCCGGCTGATGTCGGCGGGGGAGGAACATCGGCGCTGGACTCAGGTAAGTCACCGAAGGGGTTTTAACCCCTTCAACAACATGGGATTGGGGGGTGGGAGGGAGAGGGGCACTGTATGGTCCTGCAGTGCTAGGAAAACGAATATGTTTTTACTGGCACAAGAGAGTCCCTTTAAACTCTGTGAAACTGAAGGAAGCAAATCTAATGGCTGTCTAGTACACACCCACTAGAGGCAGTTTTAACCCAGCAATGTATACATTGCCATTTCTCTAAAACTGCAATATTTTCAGCTGCTGGACACTGCACCCTGACCACTTCAATGAGATGAAGTGGTCTGGTTGTTTCTAGTGTCCCTTTAAGAATTCAAGATATCATTGTGATTGCTTGACATTAGTGAATAGAGGTGAAACTGAGATTAAGATATTGGGGGATATTTGCCAAAGTGATCTGAAACGTATTGGCTAAATTCAATCATTATTTTGATGGTATTTAATAAAGTGATCTAAAAGCAAAAGATTAAAAAATACAACGGATTTAAAACATGGCACGTGATCACATTAAACACATTTTTGATGGTATTGCAGCAGATTGTATTCATGAATTAAATGTTTTAAAGTAAGGATTGAGTAATAGGATGAACTTAGTTTGTAGTATATGCTGCTTGCTATGAGCACATGACTGGGATTAAATGGTTACTAAAGTAGAAAACACTAATTTGAAAATCCCCGATAATCCTTTCTTTCATAACACTGTATTCATGGTAAAGTCTCTGAGACAGAGAGAATACAACTGATCTGAGGGTGGTTTTCTGCATAATGTAACATGTATATATAACTTGATCTGCCTATTATTACGAATGGGAAAATAACCTTTTAAAATCCCTTACTGCATGGGGCTAACTCTGCCATTAACCCTATTCTAACATTAAACTCTGCTTTACCCTAACAACTTCTAACATATTTAATGCTGCGTGCATTTACACAGCTGCATACAATAACATACACTCACATATTCAAACACTATGTATGTGCATATATAGCAGGGCTGAAATGTGCACATATATACTTTTTTACATATGCAGTTGTCAAATATGAATATGTTCTTAAATGTTTTCAGGTCTGCAATGTCCAGTTAATAAATTCATTTTATTTACTTTAATAAATTAATTATATTATAATGTATTAAATAAATTATATTTAAGTTAATAAATTCATTATATTTACTTTATCTGCCTTATTTTGTGATTGGGGAGCCAGGAGAATGTTGTGCCTACGGGCGTCTGACATGTAAATTCGGCCCTGTCTGCATCCCCTACACACATACTCACACACACTCTGCATCCCCTACACACATATACACACATATTCACACACACACACACACAGCATCCACTACACACACACAAACTCTACATCCCCTACACACATACCTGTACACACACTGCATCCACTACACACACACAAACTCTACATCCCCCTACACACATACCCATACACACACACTCTGCATCCTCTACACACACATACTCTGTATCCCTCTCACCCATACTCACACACACACTCTCTGCATCATCTACACACACACACACACACACTTTGCATCCCCTACACACACACACACACACACACACACTCTGCATCCCTCAAACACATGCTCACACGCACTCTACATTCACTACACATATGCTCACACACTATGTATCCACTACACACATACACACACACTACATCTCCCACACATTCACTATGTTCCTGCTAAACACACATATACAGGCCCGGACTGGCCATCGGGCATACCGGGCAAATGCCCGGTGGGCCGCGATGGCCGTGGGGCCGAGGCCGGCAGGGGATCTCCCCGGCCGGCCCCTGCAGGGCCAGCGCTATCCGAGCGCTGGCCGTGCATAGTGCCTCCGTGGGCCGGTGGGGAGATCAAAGATCTCCCCACCGGCCCACAGACAGGGAGATGCGGCCGCCGGCTGGGTGAGGGAGGGAGGGAGGGAGGAGAGAGGACCCGGCGGAGCTCTAGCCAGCAGCTCCGCCGGTCCTCTCGCGGGATTCTGAGCGTTGCCGCGGTTACCACGGCAACGCTCAGATCTCGCGAGAGTGAACTCTAACCTCCAGGTTAGAGTTCACTCTCACCACTGGTCCACCAGGGAAGGCAGCATGGCTCCCACCTCCCCAGGCATAACGGATCTCCTCCTCCCCCTCCCAGGATAAAGGTATAAAGGTAAGAAGGGAGGGAGGGGGGGGGGAATAATTTTTTTTTATTAGTAAAAAAAAAATATTTAAATTTACATAAAAAATACATTCACACACACAGCACATCCAGACACAGCCCCCAGACACACACAGCACCCCCAGACACAGCCCCCAGACACAGCACCCCCAGACACACACAGCACATCCAGACACAGCCCCCAGACACAGCACCCCCCAGACACACACAGCACCCCCCAGACACACACAGCACCCCCCAGACACACACAGCATCCATACACACACAGCACCTCACAGACACACACAGCGCACCCCCAGACACCCACACCAACACACAGCACCCACAACACAGCACCCCCAGACACACACAGCACCCCCAGCACACACAGCGCATCCAGACACACACAGCACCCCAGACACACACAGCACCCTCAGACACACACAGCATCCCCAGACACACACAGCACCCCCAGACACAGCCCCCAGCACAGCATCCCCCAGACACACACAAAGCACCCCAGACACAAAACACACAGCACCCCCAGACACAGCACCCCCAGACACACACAGCACATCCAGACACAGCCCCAGACACACACAGCACCCCCAGACACAGCCCCCCACCAGACCCCCAGACACACACAGCACCCCCAGACACCCCCAGACACAGGCACCCCAGACACAGCACCCCCAAGAGACACACACAGCACCCCAGACACAGCACCCAGACACAGCACAGCAACTCCAGACACACACACAGCACCCCAGACACAGCCCCAGACACAGCACCCCAGACACACACAGCACCCCAGACACAGCACCCCCAGGACACAGCACCCCAGACACAGCCCCAGACACAGCCCCCAGACACAGCACCCCCCAGATCCCCAGACACACAGCACCCCAGACACACACAGCACCCCAGACCAGCATCCCCCAGACACACACAGCACCCCCCAGACACAGCCCCAGACACAGCATCCCCCAGACACACACAGCACCCCCAGACACACACACAGCACCCCCAGACACACATATTGCACACCCAGACACACACACTGCGCACCCAGACACACACACTGCGCACCCAGACACACACAGCACCCCCCAGACACACACAGCACACTCCCACACATATACAGCACACACATATATATATATATATAAAATAACCCTCAGTGAGTTAACAGACAAAATTAGAAACCCAGAATGTGACAGCAGATAAAAACACCCTCACACACAGCACCCCTCTTACATACACACACTGCGCTCCTCACACATACTATAAGTCCAAATATATATACCCCTCACACTGCACCACTACACACATTACGCTCCAGATACACACTAGATCCCTTACCCTATATGCACTCTTAATCCTCTACACACACACACACACTGGGTCATTTACACAGTAGATCTCCTACACACACACACTACATTCCTTGTCAGCAAACACATACAACATTCTCTAAACACACCCTCTCTGCAACCCCTACACACACTACGTCACCTATACACACACACTTCAGCCCGTATGCACACACTCGCTGCATCCCCTATAACACTATGCCCCCTATACACACACTCTCTACAGCCCCTAGGCACACATATAACACCACAAACACAAATTAAATTGACCTATTTATACAATACCACACCACACTCTACACACACGCAATCCCACAAGCAGGCTCCAAACATATGCACCATGCACTTTCCTGGCCCTTTTGTCCTCTGGTATCCCACTTGTGGAGACACCAGAGACAATTTAAAAGCAAACACAGCGCAAGCATGTTATTAAATTTGCTTGCGCTGCGCAGAACAAATTCAGGGCCTTTTTCTAATGCCAGAGCTCTTCAGCAGGGCTCTGGGCATTGAACCAACATGCTCACTTTGAGAGGGGGCGTGTTGTCATTAGTGATGACAAAACACACACTCTCTGGCTCCGCCCCCTTCTTAGGGGGCCGCTCTGATTGAAAAATGCCCGGGCCTAATTTTTTTCCCAGTCCGGCCCTGCACATATACACGCTGCACTCCTGAATACATACGACATCCTCTACACAGACAAATTAACTATGTCCCCTATACACACACACTCTACTATTGCCATTACATTCAGTGATAAATGGGAAATATGATTTGCGAGTAACGTTAGTATAAAACACATTACTAAGGATTCTGTATGGTCTGGTACCATGCATTACTGCACCGGGTAACACCAACCCTGGTGAATTTATTATGATTTTTTAATGACTATTATGATTCCTTGTGGTTAATTATGATTTCTCCAGTGGGTGAAAAAATATCAAAACCCTCACATATGTACATATAAGGGGAGAAGAGTACAATGTATTTACAGCATATCATCCACAATCTATTCAATATGAGCTGTAGAACAGAAATTAGTTTTTTTGTAAAGGGACCTACAGTGCATACATGACATCATCTTGGTGGCTCATTACTCAACTATTATGTAATGTACAACAACAAAATTAATTCTGAAAAATGGCCTCATTAATCCCATTCTAATATCAGAAGGATTTGCACTTAGGAAGGCAGAATTGCTTCAGTAACCAGCCTAGTGTGTGCAGCTCACTGGCACATGATGAATATTCCAACAACTGGAATCTCGCTGAAATAACATTTGGACATAAATTTGGGTCCCAACCAGGGATTTAGAGCCACTGATTATAGAGGCTTTCTCTAAACTTTGCAACAGGCTGGACAAATTATTTCTGTCAGTAACATATGGTAAGAACATGCTGTCGTCTGATAGAAGACAGTGAAAAGTGGAACATGGCAAGTCCATGAATCACATTAAATTTACCTTTTAAATCAATATTCAATTTCTAACATGCATTTAATTGTCCTGTTCCACAAGGCCTCCTGTGTTTCGCATGTCATGGGGGGGCCTCCTGGGGGTCCCACCGAGGGAGGCGGCTCTTTGTAGAGAGGCAGCGAGAGAATGCTGATCTCTATGCTCTTCTTGTTCTACTTCATCACGTGCCCTGCAGTGTTTTGAGAGCTGGAATATGGCTTGCAAGGGAGTCAGTCACAGTAGTTATACTGGACCCCATGAACAGTATCCACACTGGACCCCAGGGAAATAATTAATTCCAGCTCTCCCAAAGGTAGAGAGGCTGGGTACTTCAATAATATGTTTTTAGAATAATAATAACAATGAGTGAGAGAATGTGTGTGTGTGTCTCTGTTAGTGTATGTGTGTGTTTACATTTTGTATATCAGTAGTTTCTCCACTCAAACTGTGCTATAGACACCATGGGCCCTTTAGGCTGTGCCACATGTTCCTGCTGTGACAGCCGCATAGGGAGAGGGAGGCAGGTCCACACATGGAACCTGTTTGGAGCCTCCAGACAAGACACTGTGCAGGAGCCAACGTGGTGTTCTTCAAGATATAGCTATAAGATTCCTGAGGGATGGAGGGAGGAGGAGACAGAGCCTGGTTTGAGGGGTAGAATAAATATGCTCTGTGTGGTGCTGTTTAGGGGACTAGCTGGTTGGCTTGACTGGTAAGTGATTATTTATTAATGAAGTGGGATTGAGTGATTGGATTGGGTCCTGGGCCACAAATAGTGGGAGAATAAGAGCCACTAAAGCTGTGTGTGTATCTGTGTGCATGGGCGTAGGAACCCCCAAAAATCTGGTTGGGATAGCATTTTTACTCGCCGGGTATATTCTTATTCTGTAAACTAGGAGTTGTTTATCCCATTGTACAGCGCTACAGAATTTGCAGTTGCTATATAAATGATTAAATAATAACATTAAAGGGATTTTACTTACCCGGATACAGCGCCGGGATCCTCCTGATTCCGCGCTCCCTATTACGTCAAAATGACGAAATAGGAGGGTGCAAGCAGGGAGCAATAAAAAGCTTCTATTCAGAAGCGTCATTGCTCTCTGGTGCGCATGCGCAACTTTGCCGCACATGCGCAGATACTTCATAGGGCGGCATTCATGTCTCGACTAGGAAGCACCTCTAGTGGCCATCTGAGTGTCCACTAGAGGTATTCCTCAGCAGTAATGTAAATACTGCCTTTTTACGAAATGGAAGTGCTTACATTAAAAAGCCTGCAAAGACATGCTATAGACACCAAAACTACTACTGTTGTGGTTCTGGTGACTATAGTGTCCCTTGAATATAGAAAGGAAAAAAGAATCATCACAAATGTAAGAGATAAAATGTCTGTATCATTATTCTAAAAATTATTTTAAAAAAATATGCATATTCCTAGCTTAATTTTTAGCACGACATATGACACAAACATTTTGTACTTTGCAGATTACTTTTTATATATTTTATACATATACAGATTGTGTAATACTGCCCCTGACTTAGGGACACTGTCAGAAATGCATTCCATACATTTTACTACCCGTCTCTACCCCTTCCATTTATATTAGAACCCCACCTACCCCTTCCATGAATATTAGAACCACCCCTACCCCTCCCATGAATATTAGAACCACTCCTACCCCTTCCATGCACAAAAGAACCCCACCTACCCCTTCCACGCATATTAGTACCCCCTAATCCCTTCCATGCATATTAGAACCCACCCTACCCCTTCCATTCATATTAGTACTCCCCTAACCCCTTCCAATAATTTTTCTACCTCCCCCCTCCTCCCATCCATATTAGTAGCCCCCCTAAACCCTTCCAATTATTTTTCTACCTACCCCTCTCCCCCTATCCTTATTAGTAGCCCCCTAATCCTTTCCAATTATTTTTCTACCTACCCCTTAACCCATCCATATTAGTAGCCCCCCTAAACCCTTCCAATTATTTTTCTACCTTTGTCCCCCCTTTTACCTGACATAGCAGGGGGACCTCTGGACGTCCGGCAGGCGCAGTGTCAGACTGAGCGCCGGGTAGTCACGTGACACCCGGCCAGGGCCGGTGCAAGGATTTTTGCCGACCTAGGCAAAATTAAAGTTTGCCGCGCCCCCCATGTGACATTACAATGCCCCACCCATATGATCTGCCATGTTACCTAACGCCAGTGCTGGAGTGCCGCCGTGTTTACATTAAAAGGTCTGCAGGGACAGGCTATAGACACCAGAACCACTACATTAAGCTGCAGTGGTTCTGGGGACTATAGTGTTTCTTTAATGTGAGGTAAATTAGAGATTAGTGCCACGAATAATATGCTAGATTGCCTACTTACAACCAGATGAGGATGATGATGGGCTCTAGCTGTAGTCTGGCTCCACTGGTCTGGTGTAGAACAGGCTCTCTGGAGGCTGTTTGTAACTGTGGTCACAAAAATCAATGTTCTGGGAGAACGGGAAGCAGCTCCATTTTTTGGGGGACCTTTACACAGCTCCAGGTCTGGGTCCCAGGGTCTACCTTCATGTTCCACCAATTGTTCACGGGGGGTGGAGTGTGTAGGGGATGTCCTGATATGTGTGTAAGGAATGCATTGTGTGAATCTGTGTTTGTATGTGTAAGGGCTGCAAGGTGTGTTTCTGTATATGTATGGGATGCAGTGTGTGCGTGTGTAAGAAGTGAATTGAGTGTGTGTAAGGGGTGCATTGAGTGTGTGTAAGGAATGCATTGTGTGTTTCTGTGTGTGTAAGGGATGCATTGTGTGTAAGGGTTGCATTGCTTGTGTGTGTGTGTCTAATTCATTGTGTGTGTAATGCATTGTGTGTTTTTCTGTGTGCAAGGGGTGCATTGTCTTTGTGTGTAAGGGGTGCATTGTGTGTGATTGTGTGTGTGTGATGGTGTCAATCTCTCCCCCCTCCCTTGTCACTCTCTTCTCCCCCCTCTCCCTCCCTTGTCACTCTCTTCTCCCCCCTCCCTCCCTTGTCACTCCCTTCTCCCCCCTGTCCCTCCCTTGTCACTCTCTTCTCCCCCCTCCCTTGTCACTCTCTTCTACCCCCCTCCTTGTCACTCTCTTCTACCCCCTCTCTTGTCACTCTCTTCTCCCCCCTGTTGTCACTCTCTTTCTCCCTCCCTCCCCACTCTCATTCTTCCTCCTCCCTCCCCGTCAATTTCTTCTCCCTCCTCCCTGTCAATTTCTTCCTCCCCCATCCCTGTTAATTTCTTTCCTCCCCCATCCCTGTCAATTTCTTTCTCCCTCCCCTGTCAATTTCTTCCTGCCCCCCCAATTTCTTCCTCCCCCTTCAATTTCTTTCTTTCCCCCCTCCCTCCCCTGTCAATTTCTTCTTTCCCCCCTTTCTTCTTTCCTCCCCTCCCCCGTCATTTCTTTCCTCCCCATTTCTTCCTCCCCTCCTCTCAAATTTTTTCCTCCTCCTCCCTCCCCGTCAATTTCTTCCCCGTCAATTTATCCCCCAACCCTCCCCTACCTCTGTTGTAGTGTGGCCGAGCCCTGTATGGTCCGTGGGTACAGGGAGCATTTGTTTCCTGAACCCGGCTGGACTAAAAGGAAGTGCACACTGACTCAGGTTCCTACGCCCATGTCTGTGTGTCAGTGTGTGTATCTGTATGTCAGTGTTTGCAGTTTTCTGTGTATCTGTGTGTGTGTGTTGCGGCTTCTGCAGACAAGCCTGCATTTAAATGCCAGCAATACACACAAATACAACCCTACACTTAAACATCATTACGACACAAACACTTCCTTATTCAAATGCTAACAATACACACATTCAAACAAATCGTAGATCCCCAGCTGGCAATTCATCATGGGAGTTGTACAATACTTGAGCCACCCTTGCATTGAAGGTGAGCCCCCAAAAATGCTGCATTCACTACATTAATTCCATCACTGTCTTTCTCTGTTTAAAAATGTCATTTGAGAGAGCAATATTAAGCAATAAGGTGTTATTTTAATATTTGTTTACTCAGGACTGCCCTATACCTCCAACATTTTAATTGGACAAACAGGAACACTTTACTTTTAGAGGTGGTGTGGCCAGGGCTGGGACTGTTCTAAGACATTTTAGGCAACTTTCTGATAATTTATTCAACTAAAATGTAATTTGGAACGAGAACAATGTATTCTATTTACATAGACTGATATCTAAATACATTTATTGTAATTTAAAGATACATTACTATAGGGGCAGAGCCGAACAACCGAACTGAGCAACTTAATGAGAGTTTAGAACTTTTCGAGTGATTTACCTTCTGGGAGGTCCAAATCCCGACCCAAACATGACTCACCTTCAGCGGGCACCACACAATGGGATGGAAAACAAAATAAATGAAACCGGACAAGCCAAGAACGAGCCTAAACACAGAAGAACTATTCCGGCATGCAAATGATGTGACTGGGCCCAAAATGGCCGCTTACCCTGAGGCCTACTCGGAACTATCTGATGATTTCTCCCACGATGAAGAGTTGGACGAAATACAGGTGAAAAGAGCACCGGCACAAGCCCCAGCACGCCCAGACTTTGATCCGGTCACCACATCGGTCCTGAAAGCACTTCTGGTGGACCTTCAAACAAATATTCTATCGGACATAGCGAATATCCGCACAGACATAAAGGGACAGTCGGGTCGGATGAGAGTCCTGGAGACCACCACGAGCGATCAAGCCCAGCAGCTGGCTACACTCCAGCAGACTGTGAGGGATCTACAACACCAGGCTGAGAGGTAAGACTGCCCCTTTGCAGCACTGGAAGACATAAGACGCAGTTCCAACGTGAAGGTGCGGGGTGTTAGGGAGGATATCCCTGCAGCAGAACTATCGCACCTACTGAGGTGCTTATTCAAGCCACTAATCCCCCAGAGACAAGGGAAGCCAGTGGGGTGGATGGATTCTTCCGGGTGCCCAAATTGTCTAGGGCCCAGGCCTCAGCACCCCGGGACCTGGTGGTCCAATTTCAAAATGGGAGGGATAAAGCCACAGTCATGGCAGCCATGAAAGACCGTGCTCCCTACGACTTCGAGTCAATGTCACTCACATTCTACTAAGACCTCTCAGGAGGTACCATAGCATGGTGAAGGTCGCTACTACCTTTCACATCACTCCTTACATGACACAATATACACTACCGATGGAGGAAGGAGCACACACTTATGGTCTGTAAGGGCGAAGAAAAATACATTGTCCAAGACCTTGCGGAAGCAAAAAAGCTGCTAGACACCCTGAGCCTCCCAAGGGAATCCCTGACATTCACAAGGCCCATCACAGCAGAACAAACACCTCATAGATGGGATCCAGCGACCACTATACCGTTTATGCCCAAAAAGTCCACACTGGACTCGTATACAGCAAGCACCACTTGACTTACCCAGCAGGAGTACATGCTTAAGATTACCTTGAAGGTTACATTATAAGATTGGTTTAGTTACTTTAACTTATGCACAGTTTTACAGTTATGAGCACTCTTCTTCCCCTTAGCTCAACTGGTTTATCAACTACTTAAGATACCCGCCACCCCCCCACCTTACTGGCACTACCAAGCGCTATCACCACTAGCCAAGTTCTCCCCTTTCTAGGTGTACCTCCAACGCGATATCGATACGTCCCACAAAAAAACAAAGTTTTGATATTCATATCCCCTTGCATAGCGAGGCCCAAACGACATATAACTACACTGTAGACAGTCTCTGATGTTTCTTCTTTTAGTATTACTCAGAATATAACCACAAACATTTTAGTTCATATCTTATTGAAATGTACATGTCTCAGTTTACAACCTATGCTTACATGTCTTAAATTTTTCATGCCAGTGAACTGAATCCAAAAATAAAGAATAATACATTAAAAAAAAAAAGATATATTACTATAAGTATTATTGCTCTGGAGCTCTGTTACACTCTCACACACAACAATATATAGCTCCTAGAAAATGACAGAAATTAGGATAGAAAATAGGGACAAAGAGATTTTGGACTAGGGAGGTATGCTGTTCTGTTGAAATCAGGACAGTTAGGAGGCCTGTTGTGGCCAGTCAGTCCATGACTGATTTGCTTCCTCCACACAATTGATTGCTCCCTCCATACCACCCCCTCCTTCAGCACAACATTATAAGAGCCTAAGGAGTGTAATGAAACAAAAAGGTCAGGATCTATAGGCCTGGGCCTGGAGCTGCAGCTTCATTAGTCCCTATGTTAATGTGGTCCTGGCTAGATAGCAATTTACATTTTTTTGTATTTATGAACTTTTGCCTAATTGATAAGCTACAACACTATCCTAACCTTTTCTTACATTATACTACAAATTTTGAAATAAAAACAATACTTCTAATATAGACATATTTAGCCATATTTCCAAAGAGAAAACTAAACTAAAGAAAAGCAAGTTTATTTATGTTTACCATTACGAACAAGTTATATACAGTATGTACAGTGTAATTTACAAATTCTTAGGAACTTACCCAATATAATTCTCTGAGATATAGGATCCACACCGTTGGCTGTTTTTTCAGAGAAAGCAGGCCATATATCCAAGACATCAGAAGGCAAAGTAGTAAGTTTGTTACTAGAAATATCTAGATAAGTGATATTTCTTAGGTAGCGTGCAGCTTCAGCGGGAATGCTGACTATCTTATTGTTATGCAGGTCTAAGGTACGTAGTCGGGGCATCTCCAGTAAAGACTCCCAAGGGAAAACCGAGATCACGTTTCCATCCAAACGTAATTCATGTAGTTGCTTCAAATTATAAAAGCTGCTTGAGTCAATACTAGAAATACTGTTATATGTCACCCAAAGGTACCTTAGGTCCACCAAGTAATAGAAGGCTTCAGTTGGAATTCTTCGGATCACTGTCTTTTCAATTCGTAGCTTCAAAGTATCAATAGGAACATTGACAGGGACATCAAACATGTCAGGATCGTTGCATAGAACAGACCTGTTGCAAAAAATATGTCAAAAAAACTATTTTCTATAACATTTCAAGGACTGTTATTATCTAATGCATCTAGTGCAAACTTTTGAAATATGCTTTACTTTTACTTTTCAAAATAAAAATATTAAGCACAGGAAAGGGCAAACAGACACGATGACAGCAAGAGGCAGGTAAACATTCACAGACAAGCGTTTAAACAAACAGATAGACAGGTAGTTAGGTAGATAGATAAATAGATAGATAGACAGACAGACAGACCTTGTTCCAGTGCCATCACTTCTTCCATGAAAAATGCAAGTACATTGTGATGGGCACAAACCTTCCAATTCACCAAAAAATACTGTTAGTGCAAGAAAAAGAAACAAAAACAGACACATGTTTTCTAAACAATTCAAATAATATCTATCAATATTAAAAACGTCATTGCTAGACACTTGTGAGCAGCATTCTGGAAAAGGAAACCAGTGCAGCGTACTCTAATTTAGTAATAGAAGATTACTCGGGATTAACAGAGATCTAGTAGTTACTTAACCTTGAAATGTGTTCTTCAAAGGATCATGGGGTCACAGCCGGTATTGGGCATTTCTGTAAGATTTATACAACCACTACAAGGTGTTCACAAGTGTTTTAAGATGTAAAGTCTGTGAAATATTTATTAGTGTTTAATAGTCATATATAGCCTGAGAATGCATGTTGTAGGAAATTGGAGGCATAGAGGTCAGCATAGCAGAGGGAGCCTCAGCACTGGAAAAAGATAATTATACTTATATTTTTAAAACATTTTTATTTCAAATGGGTGATGGGGGGACCTATATAGCTCAAGAGACAGAGTCATTATAGCGTTAGGATCGTATTCTTAACACTATAACGTTCATGTAAGGTCACTGAATAAAATAGGTTACAGGTTGTTTGTAAATTACAGATTCCATGACAAATCTCACAGTTTAATAACTAGACCACTAGTAAACTGCACTAGACAGGTCAATTAGATTACATAGTGCTCCAAGTACTTCAAAGAAGCCTTTATTGCTCACATATTTTATAATTGTACTTGTTTTTACTCATTTTGTTTTTGTGTATTAACACAAATATCCAATTAAATGTTAAGTCCTACTGGCTATCTGCTTTATCTACCTTCAGCAAAGAAGGACTTCCCCCTTTAGTGAGTTAAATGTTTTAACACCCAGAGCCAGGTTCTTTTTATTGGCTTTTGCTAAGGTGAGCAATTTTCACTTGGCATATCAATTTCTATCTTGTTCCTGACATACTACATTAGAGGCAAGTCTATATGTGCTTTCTTTTGAGTTTAATAAGAAGAAATAAGAAGAGTAAGGTGTCACTTTAATACACCACATTTATACAGTGATTGTGATTTGAGCCAGTCCTACACTTGGCTCTATCTTTGTGAGTTTGCTTTTTATATATTCACTTGTTAATTATAAGTATCATACATACTACACCATAAGATCTCTTTTCTCCTTTTTATCCCATATGTTCAATTGGACTGGGTTTTATCTTAAGTAGTAAACTAGGGGTAAGTGTATCTTATTAGCGCTCCACTTAGGAGATTGGTGGTGGATTTCACCTTCCAACCTCCTTATCTCACAGCGTTGGTGGAAAACATGTATGAATAGATAAATGATTCAGTAAACAATTGGACTATAAATTCTTTTTTTTTTTTTTTATACTGTGCACAAAAAAGCATTGAGTGAGGACATTGAGTGGTATAGCTTATCTTTCCGAGTAATTGATACTAGAGCAGAGAGAATTTTAGTTCTGTGCAATCAGGGCCTGCACATCCATAAGGCAGCACAAGCAACCACCTTAAAGCGCACCAGCCTGGGGGAGGGGTGCTAAATTACAGTGACAGGAGGTGGGCGCACAATCCTGCCAGTCACTCAGTGTAGCATGGGCAAGTGGAGCAGTGCTCACCGAGAGAGCACTTCCTGTCAGTCCGGCCAGGTACAGGAAACTGAAGCTCCCTTACCGTGGCCTACTCTGCTCGGCCACACTACAAAGAGAGGTAGGAGACACATTGGGTACCAAGGGGGGGAGAGAGAGGGACACTAAGAGACGGGGATGGCGGGAAGGAACACTATGGGACGGGGGGAGAAAGAACACTATGGGACGGGGTGGAAAAAGAGCATTATAGGACAGGGAGAAAGAATACTATGGGATGGGGGGAGAAAGAACACTATGGGATGGGGTGGGGAGAAAGAACACTATGGGAAATAACACTATGGGACACGGGGGGAGAAAGAACACTATGGGGGAGAAAGAACACTATGGGACAGGGGACAGAACACCATGGGATGGGGCGGGGAGAAACAACATTATAGGACAGGGGAGGGGGGGAGAAAGAACACTATGGGACAGGGGAGAGGACCACTAATGGACATGGAGGGAAGAGTGGCATACAGGGGGGCCCTGAGTGGGGAGAAAGACACACAGAGGGACATGACAGGGGAGAAAGACACACAGATAGACCTGGGGGTGAGAAAGATGCACAGAGAGCGACACACAGAAGGGCCTGGGGGTTGAAATACAAAGGGGTTGGGGGTGAAAGAGACACAGAGGGGCTGGAGTAGAGGACACAGAGGGGCTGGGTTGAGATAGATGGGCTGGGTGGAGATAGATGGGCTGGTGGTGAAAGAGAAACACACAAAGGAGCTGGAAAGAGTAAAAGGGGCTGGGAGAGACGGGACTAGGGGTAGTAAGACACACAAAGGGGGTTGTAAGAGATAAACAAGGGAGGTGTAAGACACACAATGGGACAAATAGGGGATAAGATACACTAAAGGGGGTAAGACATTTTAAAAATAGGATAAGAAACAAAAGGTGGGTTAAGAGGCACACAGGTGAAGGTGCTTTTTAGGAAGGGGGGGTGCCATAATCATCTTCGCCTCTGTACCCAAAAATCCTTGCACCGGCCCTGTGTGCAATGCCAATAGGGGCAGCAGTGTAGAATTTGAATATAAGTTTGAGTTCAAACTAAGAAAGCCTGCAGAAGGACTGACTGTCAATCAATAGGGCCACTTTGGGGTCTGGGTCAAATTTACACCTAGAATGTTCCTTACTAACTAATACTGTGAGCCAGAAAGACTGTACTAAGCCACACTGCCACCACCTATGTTCTAATTGCACCTCAAACTCTACAAAAAAATGGTAAATTTCACAGAATTTGTGAAGATCAAGGTACTAGCGCAAAACACACTTTAAGGCTTTGTCTTTGGTGATTGTACAGGTCGAACATGTCAACCCATTCCTCCTCTCTGACCACCACCCCTAAATCCTCTTCACAATGAAGTTGATAGAGTATTTCCACACTCTCAATGAGAGAAAATGGATAGTTGAGATATCACCCTTTGCTTGTTGTGGGCATAATATCGAGGCATTCAAATGGTGTTTGTTTTTTGTAATTCTTTATTTTTGAGATGCGTTGAAATTCACGTTGGTAACATGTGACATGTAGGTAAATTATAAGCAAAAAATATTTGTCAGATGTAACGCACCATTTTTGGTAATATATAACATGTTTAAACATTGGAAAGAACAGAGGTTTTACATGACTTGTGTATCTCCCTGTGTACAGTTTGGTAGACCTAGTCTGTCCTTGGTGTGTCAACGTATACATGCCTCTCTAGTGTCAGGTTAAGCATTCAAATGGTGTTAATTTCACAGGCAGATGATCAGCTAAACTCAGTAACTCAGGGTGTGCCACCTTTGCATTTTGTTGTGGTCCCTGAAATCATCCAGATCAGTGATAACATCCCTATGGACAATATCATTAAGAGCAATACATCTTCAGTTTAGTCACCATGCAAACTCCTTGAGTACATGTCCAAAATGGGTGTGAAATTCAGTGTTACTCACTATCAGTCATTGTATTAGATTACATATTTCTATGTAATCTACATAATTGTGCTATAATGCTTACAATAATGTGTTGTCTTTTCAATTTAAAAATATGCTGACATCAGTGAAGTTATATATCCATTACTCCTCTCTCTAGACTAGAGCATGATATATTCATTTTTGCTGGGTGATGTGTATATGTTCATTACACTCAAGCACAGCCATAAGTTATACTCTGACAATATACACAAAATAGTACCTGGAGGGCAGAGGGGTGAAAGAGTAAATTAATCTTCAAAACAACATGCCATGAATTTTTGTCCTAGGTTTTTTCTTCCCTTAATGTAATCCTTGGAATGTAAACATACCTGGGAGTAATACAATCAATGCAAACTCTACAGAGAAGAAATTCACATATCTCCCTAATTTTCCTACTTAGAGAAAAGGCAGTGTTTACATTGCAGCCTAGTTACACCTCTAGTGGCCTTCACTCAGATGGCAACTAAATGTACTTCCTGTGTCAGTGCTCTGTTCTCCATAGAGATGCATGGATTTAATGAGTCTCTGTGAGGAGATGATAGCACAGCTTGGTGTTTTGCAGCACACGCACAACAGCCTTAAAAGCTTTCATGTGATGATCTCAGCCATGAAACCAGGGTTAACCTGTGGCGAGACCGGCACGGTGTGGGAGAAAATGTGAATAAAAACACCTTTTGTCTCCAAAGAGTAGGGGCCAGGGACCTTATGCTGCATTCCAGCACTTTAGTGTTAGGAATGCATGTTTGTATTCCTGACACTATAGTGTTCCTTTAAGCTGGAATATTCTCTATAAGTCAGGGGTAGGCAACCTTCAGATCTTCAGATGTTGTCTACTATATCTCATATAATGCTTTTATAGCCATAATGCTGGAAAGCATGTGCGGTGATGTAGTCCACAATATTTGGAGATTGTCTACTCCTGTACTATACACACTTTAGTGTGACACTATTGGTCAGCATCACATCTGCGATGCCAGAACCTGCATGGCAATGATATCTCACATGGCATTCCTTGGCATTGAAAAATTACTTGAGCTCTGGGTTGTATAACACATGACCATTGTGGAGTGGTCTGCATCATAACTAATGTGAAAATGCTGTTCTGCATTAATTTAGTTGTGGAATGACCTGCAGGATCAAAAGTGGTGCATTAACCCCTTAATGACGCTGGACGGATATTTTCCGTCATTGCCGCACTCCCCTTAAGGACGCTGGACGGAATATTTCCGTCCAAAACTAATATTAACCCCAGATTGCCACAATCGTGGCAATAGTGGGGTTAATGTTCCTGTAGTGTGTCTCCGTGTCGGAGGCACATTACTGCGGACAGTTTCACTTTTACAGCCCATGTGATGGCTCTGACTGGGAGTCAGAGCGATCACACGATTGGGGGATTTACTGTTAGGCTAGTTAGGGCTTAAAAGTAAAAAAAAAAGTGAAAAAACTTTTGAAAAGTTTAAACAAAGTTTTAAAATAGTAAAATAGTTAAAGCGGCACTGTCATGCCGAATCTCGTTTTTTTTTTTAACCCTCCTCCCGCCTCCACTACATAAAACCCACTAGTCACCTCCAAATGCCCCTAAGCCCCCCACATTACCTATTTTTTAATCCTTATTTTCTGCCCCGATCTATATCCAGGGCGCCGCCATCTTTGTGTGGGTAGATGAAGTCCCTGTGGGATACGTCATCAGCCCACACTAGACAGACTGTGAGATTCCCGCACATGCCCAGTGAAACACCTGGACATGCGAACGGGAATCTCATCTATTCATTCATTCATCAGACAGACGAATGAGTGAATAGAAATGTCAGCCGAACAAACTAACACTGTGTATCAGTGTTAGTTTGTTCGTTCAGTTTATTACAAGGAGGGAGCTACCGGCACACAGCTCCCTCCTTGTAATATGTAACTATAGAAGCGGCAGGGAGCAGTGCTCCCAGCCACTTCATAAGCCCCCCCCCCTCACTCTATGGGGTCAATATGACCCCCATAATAGCACAAGGGAGGTTAAAATCTCCCAAATGCCCCTACTCGCTATACCGGGTGGGGGCCAGGGGGGAGGACAGTAGGTCCCCCCCCCTTATTGTTTTATTAGGGCCCCCACCCACCGCGCAGGGGTGGGGGCCGGGGGGGGGACAGAAGTTCCCCCCTATATCTTTATTTAGGGCCCCCACCCACCGCTCTGGGGTGGGGGCCAGGGGGGGACAGTAGGTCCCCCCCATCTTTATTTAGGGCCCCTACGGGCTATGAGCTGCTCACTGCTTACTACACATGCCCCTACTCATGGTATAGCGAGTAGGGGCATATTATTTACTAATACTAAGTAATCTTTACTTAGTATTAGTAAATGTGGCTGAAAGACCAATTTAGGTCTTTCAGCCTTTTAGTAGATAACTCCCTGATACCGTGGGAATTAGGGAGTTATCTACTAAGCGGCTGCAAGATGCAGCCGCGGCAATGAATAGGATCGAAGTTTCATTCATTAGAATGAAATTCCGATCCGAATAAAGTGTCGAATTGCATTCTAAAAGAAACGAACATACTGTTCTCATTGAGTTAGAACGCAATTCGGCAGTTTTAGCCAAAATGACAGGAAGCATCGTGGGAACACAGAGGAAAGCTAGGGATCATGGGAAAATTGCTCTGACCAGCGGAAATGAAGCACACTTTGCTCCTCCGCTGGTCAGAGCTGGTCAAGCGGAGGAATCCTCCATAAGGCAAAGAGTCCCTACTTTGTCTTATGATTTTAAAGAAAACTAAAGAAGACAGGAAGAAAAGAATAACTGATCCCGAGAGAGGGGGAGAAGAGGAAGAGATTGAGGAAAGGTAAGTTCGGCACGACAGTGCCGTTTTAAAAGGTATAAAAAACTTTAAAAAGTAAAAAAAAAATATTTACATATTTAAGAATCAAGTTTTATTTGGCGAAATATATGGATTTCCAGCTTAATAAAAATATCACTTACTTAAAAAAGATTCTGGAAACTCACGGAGTCAAAGGTCATATCTCTAGATGCTATGGGTTTCTGGGGGATTTTCAGAAGTCTTTTATCTGGAAATCCAAAATAATGTGGGAAAAAGATCTACATACGGTAATCCCTGAGCAAGATATGATAGGTGCGATTGTCAAGGTCAATAAATCGGTACACTGCTTGAATATAGTAGAGAATTTTTATAAACTTACGAACAGATGGTATATGGTTCCTGAAAAGTTGGCTAAATTGTACAAAGATCAGAATCATCTTTGTTGGCTTGTGATGATGGGAAAGGAGATTATCTCCATATATGGTGGTACTGTAAATCTTTAAGTAAAATATGGAAGTTTATATACCAACAGATTTACAATGCTTGCCATATATATATACCTTTCACGCCCCAAAGTTTTCTGTTACATCAGGGATGGCCCTCTATGTCTACTGAGAAACGGATGCTGATAATACATATTTTGATGGCAACTAAGATAGTTCTAGCCAGATATTGGAAAAGTAATAAAGCTCCAGATTGGATTGAAATTAAAAAACAAGCAATATATCAATGTAAAATGGAAAGCGGAATAATCCAAGGAAATTCTGTTGGTTTGAGGAAATTTTGTACCTGGGAAAAACTGGTGGATAAGTTTATTGCTAGTAATTATAGCTTATAATATAGTAGGTTTGTGTGGCCCCCATTGTGCGTCTGATCCTGGAGGGACAATAGCAAAAATGTACTTATTAATTTGGGAAAGTAATAAGGGGATGATAATATCCTAGTCCCACGGGATGGAATGTGTGAAAGGTATGAATTTTGGTTTTAATGTTTCCTCTATCCATGTTTTCTATAGATATGGTTATTTTGTACTGAGATACTCTGGTAATGTCATAGAAGGATATTTACGGATATAAGTATGTAAGAAATATATATGCATTGATTGAATTAATGTTTTTCTCTTATTAACTCTTGTATTCTGTTTTAACTGAAAACATTCTAGGGGTATTTTTTTGAAATGTCGAGAGAGGAATTGTATGTATGTTTATGTAATTTTTATATGGAAAACAAAATGAAAAAATTTTGAAGAAATAAAAAGATATAAAAAAAAAAAGTAAAAAAAAACTTTTAAAAAGTAAAAAAGTTTTAAAAAGGGTCATATACCTGGTAAAGGTACATAGGGGGGTATTGCTGTACTCAGATGACATAACTGAGCAACATATGATGTATTATACTGATGTAGCACACATAAGGTTTTCAAAATATACAGTACAAACTCACTATGTGTCAAAAAGGCAGAAAAAATGCTTATTACCACTCCACTTGGTACAAGCTAGCAGAAAAATTATTTCACGCTAAGGTTCAAAATATGTCTTTTAGAATACCCTAGTGTGTCTTCTTTAAGAAATGGTATGCCTCTATGGGGTAGTTGGAATAAAGTTTGAAAAAATCTTAAATGGCTCTGTCTCAAATGTGCCTCTTCAACGTCCACATATACCTGGCAAAGGTACATATGGCGGTATTGCTGTGCTAAGACTACATAGCTGAGCAACATATGAAGTATTATAGACCCATAGCACACATAAGGTTTGCAAAATATACAGTACAAACTCACTGTGTGTGTCAAACAGGCAGAAAAAAATGCTTATTAACACTACACTTGATAACGGAAAAATGATCCCACGCTAAGGTTAAAAATTTGCCTTTTGAAATAGTGTGCCTTTTTGGGGTAGTTGGAAAAAGCATTCTGCTAACATATTTCAAAATAGAATATGGAACCATTAAAACCCTCCATGTAAATTCACACTTAGAAACCTGAACTTGCCACGTCTCTTTTACAGCACTGTAACTTCACAAATTAGTTTCTAGGTTATAACTAAATTAATTTATTTTTAATTACTATCCTTAATCTGCACTAATTGCGCACACATTATTAGTGCAAAAACTGTAAAAAAAAAACCACAAAAGTTTTAATTTTGTTTGCATTTTTCTGTATTTTTTTTATAATAAATAAGCATTTATATAGATATATTTGTTACATCAAATTAAAGCCCTTTCTGTCCTTTACAAAACGGCATATAATATGTGTCGGTGCAATAAATTTGTAAAATGCAAATTGCAGTTGAACGCAAACAGCAAAAAATGAAAAAAATGCTGTCATTAAGTGAAAGACAAGCTTTTGAAGCGCTGTCCTTAAGAGGTTAAGGATTCAAGCTAACTATTCCTTTCCTCAAACCATATCTACACCTGCTGTTGCTACTGGAGGTAATTATACTCTAATCTTTGTGAAACTTCCAGGATAAAAGGGATAAAGCTGCAAGATCTCTGACATTTATCTCCTGCCACCTTGATGTTGCGTTTGAAAAAAAAATAATTATTTTCATCTATGGCCCTATGTCCAGAGCTGGATTAACATAGGGGCTGATGGAGCTGCAGCTCCAGGCCCAGGCCCATTGAATAGGCCCATTTAAAAAAAATTTTTTTTTTTTTTTTTTTTACACACCACGCTTAGGTTTGCCACCTGACTGTATTTTACTGGCACAGCCGGTATTTGAATCTGCCTGGCCATGCCGGTATTGCAGTAATACCGGCAATACAAATGCAGGTATTTTTCTCAGAATAAATGGAGATTACTCTGCAATACCAGCACCGGCCAGTAGGGGTCACTGTGTGTGGAGAGAGGCAGGGATAGGAAGTTACAGCATATCCCTGCCTCTCTCTGCTACTCACTGATCCGTGGGGGAGCAGCAACACAGCACAGAGAGTACATACAGCAGCTCTACAGCTCAGGTAAGTGAGGGATGGGGGGAAAGGCAGCAGGGACACATGGGGACACTGAGACACTAGGGGACATATGGGGACACTGAGGTACTAGGGGACACAGACACTAGGACACATGGTGACACAGACACTGGGAGACACTTGGGGACACTGAGACACATGGGGACACTGTGAGACATAGGGACATTGGGAGACACTGAGACATTGGGACACTGAGACACTATGTCCCCAAGTCTTCCAGTGTCAGTGTCCCATGTCTCTCAGTGTGCCTAGTGTCCCCATGTATCCCAGTGTCCCTATATGTTCCAATGTCCCTATGTCTATGTCCACAACTGTCCCCATGTCTCCCAGTATCCCCAAGTGTCTGTCTCCCAGCCAGTGTCCCCTAGTCTCCCAGTGTCTGTGTTCCCATGTCTGTGTCCTTAGTGTCCTCAAATGTTTCAGTGTCCCCATGTCTCCCAGTGTCTGTGTTCCTAGTGTCTCAGTTTGCCTAGTGTCCCCATGTCTCCCAGTGTCCCTATATGTCCCAGTGTCCCCATGTCTATGTCCACAACTGTCCCCATGTCTCCCAGTGTTCCCAAGTGTCTGTCTCCCAGCCACTGTGCTCAGTGTCCCCTAGTCTCCCAGTGTCTGTGTTCCCATGTCTCTGAGTCCCTAGTGTCTTAGTGTCCCCAAATGTTTCAGTGTCCCCATGTCTCCCAGTGTCTCTGTCCCTAGTCTCAGTGTCCCCATGTCTCCCAGTGTCCCCATGTCTCAGTGTCCCCGGGTCTCTCTGTGTCCCCATGTCTCTCAGTGTCCCCATGTCTCTCAGTGTCCCCGAGACTCTCAATGTCCCCGGGTCTCTCAGTGTCACCGGGTCTCTCAGTGTCACCGGGTCTCTGTGTCACCGGGTCTCTGTGTCCCCATGTCACTAGGATACTGGGGACACACTGAGACATTGGGACACTGGGAGACTAGGGGACTGGGCGACATGGGGACACTGACACTGTGATACATAGGGACACTGGGAGACAGGGAGACACTGGGAGCAATCCATCTATACAGCAGAAACAAACTGTGAGTAGTTTGTTGGTGATTTTACAGAATTTTCTTTGATGTCACTCCTTGTAATTTACATCATGTGATGTCACGCATAACTAATTAATTATAAAAATGATTAAGGCTGGTATTTTTTTCCCAAGAAAAGTGGCAACCTTAACTACTCCACATACTCTTGCTTAAAGGAGCACTATAGGGCTGAGACTGTCAACTAGGCAGATCAGGGGCAGAGCCAGCACAAGTCCAATATAGCCTTGGCCAATCAGCATCTCCTCATAAAGATAAATTGAATCAATGCATCTCTATGAGGAAAGTTCAGTGTCTGCATGCAGAGGGTGGAGACACTGAATGGCAGTGCTGCACACTAGGCAGTACTGCCCCAGGAAGCACCTCTAGCAGCCATCTAAGGAGCGGCCAGTGGAGTTATTTTCTCTGAAAAGACAGTGTTTACTGCAAAAAGCCTGAATAGAATGATTCTACTTACCAGAACAAATACAATAAGCTGTAGTTGTTCTGGTTACTATAGTGTCCCTTTAAGTTTGGAAGCTTAAGAGGGATGTATGGGAACAAAACTTGTGTGGACTGGCTGACAGTAAAATTAGTTTAGGTAATGCAGACGTTGGTCTCTCTAACACTGTGGCATGTCCCCTTTCTTCTACACTCATTACATACACCTTTTCTCTGTCTCAGACTATACACCAGGAACTTCTGCCTGCTAGTAAGAAGGTAAGAAGACAATTTGACCAGCAAGTGCTAGGGGACAGTCCTTAGAAAGCATGGAGTGAGCGCATCATAGTATGCCCTTAGTTGGACAGCCTGCAGGATTGGCAGGTAGCCTGACATGCATTCATGCCAGGTTGACCTTCCAATTCTTTGAACAACTGGCTCCCTTTTTGACATGTTCTCCCCTTTTGGCAGGTCTGGTCACGTGATTTGCACCAGTGGCACACCCTTTTACCCCACCCATTGACTTCCAGCTTCACTGGACACTGCTGTTAGGGGGTATGGATTTACTTGAAAGATGAAAGCATAAATTAGAGAGAGATTAGCATAGAGTATGTGTTTTCTTATAGCTGCATCCTATGAGTTTCCCTCCAGCACCAACTCCATCAGATACATGACGCTTGGTAGGTATGATTGTTTTAGTGTTTTTGGTCGATAAGATTCTGTAATTAGGCCCATCATAATTGTCAGCACCAGGCCCACTGTGCCCTTAATCCGGCCCTGCCTATGTCTACCTGTAATCTGTAATAGTGATAAATCCTATAAATCCCGTCTGGCAGAGACTGAAGCAATTACCCTATGGCTTCCTGTGAACTCTATATATTCAGCAGAATTAAAACCATGATTTGTTACTACTTTATTTCTTGTTTTGTGAGTTAGTACCTATTCTGCTTAACATAAAGAACTATTTACAGTGTATTGAAGTGAATATAAAGCTATTAGGCCATGTAGAATTCTCTCTGATTTTTATCAAAGTGTTTTCTATCAGTCTTGTAAAACAGGAATTACATCAGCCCCCATCAGCACAATACATAGGGATTTCACTTCTTCATTAACCATCTAAATAGGGTTGCCATGCCCACCATGTTTTCCTAGTAACACATAATTTGCTGCTGCTCAATCCTAGCATAGCCTAGCATTGAGAGCCTATCATTTTATGGCTTGACCACACAATACTTGTCTCGTGCCATCCAAATATTCTGATGCATAATCAGGCGTCCCAACTGTCCCAGTTTTCGGGTCCTCTCCCGCTATTCCAACCATGTTCCCTGGTTTCCCGCTCTTGGAGACACCAGTGAACTGACCTCAACAAGTATAACACAAACGCATTATTAGGGCACAGGGACATAAATGTCATTAAATGGGGGCAATTGCTGCCCCTAGATCATGCTTTGCCCCCCATCAAACTTCTATGACTTTAAATGGCTGTTTTTTCCTCATGTAGACTGAGAGCTGGCAGCTTGTGTTCTCCCTGCAATGTCTCTTTTTCAGTCTCCCAGAATGGCCGCTATGTGTGCAATGAGAGATAGAGCCGTGACATCACATCCCTTCCCACCGTGTGTGAGATGTGGGGAGGTGCAGGGTTGCCTGGAGAAGGAAAACAGCTTTGTGATGGCATGCTGCTGGAGAGGACAGAGAGTGAAAAGACACAAAAGGGAGGTAAGACCTGCACCCACTACAGCCCCGAACCCACCCTTGCACCCAGTAAAGCTCCTAACTTTTGCTGCACCACGTGTTAAATCAGATCCTAGGGCTGCTCCCTGACTTCCACTGTGTATATTTCCTGGTGAAGCTGTATCCAAATGTGATCCAGTATCCTGAAGTCTTCGTAGGCCTGCAGCCTGATGATCTTGCAACCTGGAAGAAGAAAATGACATCCTGGGTAGGCCGTCCTCAATAAAATAAAATGGTGTTCTCTGATAGCAGTGGCCTCTTACAGCAGGATAATGCACCCTTATCCCTTATCCATGAACCATTATCCTGCTGTAAGAGGCTATTGCAAAAATTGTTCAGGGATGGTTTGAGGAATGTGGCAAAGAGTTCAAGGTGTTGCATTGGCCTTCTAATTCCCCAGTTCTCTGAGCATTTGTGGGAAGTACTGGAACAACAAATTAAATCCATAAAGTGCCCCCACCTTGCAACTTGCCGGACTTAAAGGATGTGCTGTTAATATCTTGGTGCTAGATACCACAGGACACATTCAGAGGTCTTGTGGAGTCCATGCCTCAATGCATCAGAGTTGTTTTGGCAGCATGAGGGGGACCCACACAATATTAGGCAGGTGGCTATAATGTTGTGTCTGATCAGTGTAGATGACCATGTTATAAATACTGTCACTTAAACTAAGTTTCCCTTTAAACTGGCATAAAAATACAAGTAGCATGCTATTCCCTTAAGGACAGTTATAGTAATAAAATGAGTTCTGGCATCAAAAATACTTCTTACCAACCCCACCACAGAAACCCAATTGGACATCTAGTAGTCTATTACTATGTGTTGTACAAGATACAGCATGCTGTCCCTACAGAGTCTTCAGAGCAGTCTACACCCTCACTGACTATATACCAAGTCATAGTATACTAGGCTAGCTGATGTCAAAACACCTGAAACACCCTGGATAAGTTGGTAATGTGTAAGATGTGGACTCTCTGCTGGAAATAAAGTCAGGTCAGGTTGTCCATGTATGTGTATGTGTACATCTCTCCTTGGTTTCCTTAAGATTTACTGCCAGGGACTCCATAGTGTTCATCTCCTCTACCTTTGCTAGGCACTGTTGGAAGGACAGCACAACCGGTTTCTTCCAGAGCATCGGTATCAGAGACTTAAAAGGGTTTGATAAGTGATTCTTTTCAAATATTTTTATAACGGAATCTTTCTGTGGGGTAATACCATTGGAAGTGGTTGGAAGGTTAGAACCTTTGTATATTTAAACCCATTCTACCTATAGCCAGGTATCCTGTTGTGGTTCTTCTTGACCCAATAACATGTTTCATGCTGATTACAGATATTGTCATTTTGACCTTGGCTTGTTTATCCTGAGCTCTGTACTCCTGACTGTTGGGTTGGTTATCATGTTTATCCTGTGTTCTCCTTCTCTTTGGTTTGGTTTGTACTCTGACATTCATTACTGTTAAGTCCGGCCACTCTAAGGACTGTTAATACAGGCTTTCCTGCTGTCTGTTCATACCTGGGCTTAGGCATTCAGTGTAAGGTCCTCCCTTCTTGACAAAAATATTTTTAAGGGAAGGATCATTACTTTAATGGTCCTTGCTTAGGTAAAAGACCTATTGTTAAAGGACACCTGGTATGCCCCAAACAGATGATCATTATATCCTGTTATAGCAACCAAGGCATGTGCAATGGTTGCTATGGAAACTCCCTAGCTTCTAACACTGGCTAGTTATTATAGGAATGGAGTGAGATTACTCTGTTCCAACTTTGGCAATGAAGTGTCGGAAGTAGGCAAATCAAAGAAGTACAGAGGCGGAGTGCAGGCAGAGCGGAGGACATCCAGGAGGTGGGTGTTACAAGAAGAGTAACAATCATGAGCGGTGCTGGAACGGAGGGAAAGTTATTAAATCTTTAAATTTTTCATTGAATAGACCATGTATCTTTATGATCTATGGTGTATTCAATGCATATGGCAGCAATTTAAAGTGTCTTTTTTTTCATGATATGGTCGCGTTAAGCCTTCGCTATAATTTTTTTCATCATACTAATTTAATTTACATTTTGCAGAAGGGTCAGTTAATGGTCCTTAGATGAATCATTGACACAAAGTGGCTACAGCACCCAAGGCCTGCATTTAAAGCAAAATCAGCTTGTGATATCTTCAAACAATAACAGGCGCATGGTTTTTACTCTTATTTTGGTTTGTTTTAATTTCTGTATATTATTGTGATATCAATTAGTTTTTGGTTCCCAGGCGAACAATAGGTGAAGCCATTATATACAAAAGTGCATATAGTATAAGAAATAAAGTAGGGTTTTACGAAGAAATAATATCAGAGAAAACAAAATGTCTATTTAATACATTATTAAAATATTGTAATTGTCTTTTATTGATATATGCAGGCACAATGAAGACTGGGGATCATTTCTAAGAGTCCTTATGTCAGTGTACTTTGGGAAACACTCATTGGGAAGTGGTTGTCGAGTGTAACTTCCTGTCTGGACTTGCATTGGATCATGGAGAATATAGCCCTTCTGAACCTAGGAGAAAACAGAAAAATATAACAAATGAAGGGTTATGTGACAATTTCTATGTGTTTACACTTGAAAGGATACACCAAGCACTATAGGGAACAATGCTCTTTCTGAGAATGGTGGCTCTAGAGCTTGTCTGATAACGAAATAATTTGTTTGATGTCCAGCTTTAAAAGGGAGGCATCACGTCTCTGGAAATTTATACCAGTGAATAAAACATTGAAAGCTTTCTGTTCTGTGTGCTAACCTTTTTTCAGTGATGCTCTGATTTCTTTTAAATGTATATTAACCCCTTAAGGACCAACCTTCTGGAATAAAAGGGAATCATGACATGTCACACATGTCATGTGTCCTTAAGGGGTTAAAGGTTTATCAGATAACAGCAAATCCAGTTCAATGGCACACACATTGCATTGGAGGAAACATTGAAACGTTATGTTCTATGACAAAAACGGCAGAGCTTAGAACAAAGACAGACAGACTCTGTTCCAGAATAGAAGTAAATACTTGGATGTGGAGTACTAAATGTAATTTTATTTTCAGACCTTATAAACACTTATTTGTTAAAAGTACACTATAGTCACCTGAACAACTACAGCTTATTGAATTTATTCTGGTGAGTAGAATCATTACCTTCAGGCTTTTTGCTGTAAACACTGTCTTTTCAGAAATGCAGCCTAGTCATACACTGCCATTCAGTGTCCCACCCTCTGCATGCAGACACTGAAATCTCTGATGTGGCACATGGAGAATGACAGGAGAGCAAATATATAGCACAGCTATTGTCAGCAGTGTATGGAATGCACTATATAATTTAGAATAATTGGTAGTGCTAAGTTTGGACCCCCACCTCCCTTTCTTTGTTTGTGTTTATTTTGTTTCTCATTTTCTAACTTGCGTCATTGTCGTGGTGTTTGCATTCATAGGGAGTGCAGAGTCATCCTTTTTTTTATAAAGCTTCAAGGATGTATGTTTATTTGATTTTGGACTAGGCCAGTTGGTTATAAATGACTGACTGAATACATGAATATGAGTTTTAAATTGTTTGTCTTTTTATTTAAAGGCATGAATAATATTTTGGTATGTTCTTGTTATTGAAAAATAAACATCATAATCGTTGTCCAATCTGAAAAGTAATGAATGTGTCTGTGTTTATCGTGTGGTCACTTATTCTATTCTATGTTTCTATTATTTATTGACTGCCATGTAAATATTAAACAATTTATTTTATTTGGTTTGCTTACTGTTGAAGTCATGACCATCAATGAATCTATTAGTTGATGTTACTCAGGATTAACTTTGATCACAAATGCCATTGAACGATGATCATGGGAAGAAACTCACTTTTTGTTAGCTATGACATAAATGCAAGGATTGTAGAAGGTTGAGGATTTGGCAAATAGAGGAGCTATTATGGCCATAGCTGGTGAGATTTGTTTTGGATCCCCGAAGGATGACCATAAGCATACAATGGAATAAGGAGACCAGGCCACAAGGAACATCACGATCATCACCACAGACATCTGAAAAATTGAAAAAGTGTTATAGTGTTTACACAGTTGGCAATGTACAATATAGGCTCATGATTATGTGTATTAGTCTGATCTCATCAACCTCAAGATGAACCATTCATGAAGACTAACCTTTAGCAGTAATGACTACAGCAAGTAACCACCGTGTACCAACTTGACCATCACAAACATGAGACATTAGAAATATGTGAAAATGGTCACATTTTACACACACTAATACTGTCCCCAATAAAATCTTCTATAAGTTTCCATGTAAATGTAATGCTGTGGTCTCATTAATCTTGACCATCCGTTATCAGTAATGCATTAGCAGCAATGATTGTGGCAGCTCTACAAACATCTGTAGAAGCCAAGAGTAACAAAAGCTGCTTTGATGTCCTGTGTCACTCTGGGTTTTGTAATTATATTTATTAATTTATTTAACTTGGATAGCCCCTCAACATTAAAAAAAAAAAAAATGTTCTCAAATATTAAGAAAATAGATGTTATTGCTATACAGGCAGAACAGGCCGGTGCTTAAGGCCACCACTGCATGCACCTGAATATTAAAGAGAGACAGACATATAATTTAACTTTGCTATGTTTTCATGAATGATATGCGGATATATGCTGTTTATATGAGTAGTAAAAAATGTATATTTTGCTAGTGACAGGCCACCAAAATTGATTAATGGACCATTAAAACCTAGAACTAGTAATTAAGCATGTTTACCTTTTATAAAGTATGATATAGTTAGAAATATGCCCTTTTCAGCATTCCTAACTTGCACCTTCAGTGGCTTTTATTAGAAATACCTATGGGTAAATATATATCAGTGATTTAGGTATGCATCAGTTATTGTGATTTCAGAATTCCTGTTCTGATTGCATGTTGGTATGCACTTATCATGAATAGCCTAGAACCTTAAAACATACATATTAAACTACCATGATGAGTGCATTGAGAGATGTGATCAACATATCTCCCCCAGGGAGTTAAAAAGGACATAAAACTTGTATTGATTGTAATTTGGTTTGTGTCCTTTTTAGCTAACTAGATGCCTTTAAGGAGATTTGAATCGGCAAAAAGTGTAGGTTAAGAAGAATTCTGAAGTGGAGCTGCACATTATCTGGTCAGGTGACATTTTGTGATTATTATTATTATGCATATAGAGCCAACAAATTCCACAGCGCTGTACAATGGGTGGACTATCAAACACGTTATTGTAACCAGACAAGTTGGACGGACAGGAACAGAAGGGTTGTGGGTCCTGCTTAATGAGGGAGTGGAGTAAAGTGACACAAAAGGTAAGGGTAGGAGTAGAATAATAGGTTGGTAGAATAGTATTCACTGAAGAAGACTTAGTGTGTTTTTTAATCACAGTTGCAGGAGAGGAATCAATTGGGTGTTATTAACAGTTTAATTGATATGCTTTCGTGAAGAAGTGAGTTTTTATATAATATGCTATTAATTCTTATATGAAAGTTGCATACAATAAACTGTGCGTTGGTTTTAAAATATACTAGATATCTGAACTATTTTGTGTTTCTGCTCTTAGTTACATGACACTCCAAGAAACATGGTGAAGGCACTTGCTTGAAGATTCCTCCAGTGGAAATCTGCAGTATTTCATTTAAATGCCACATTACCAGTTTCTGCTTGTGAGAGCAATTTGCCCACAATAAACTTACACTAGTGGTTATGAAATCAATCTATCTTTATTCTATTCCTCTAAATGGACTGTATCGCCAATAATTTTGTTATATTGTCCAGCTAAAGTACAATTGCATTACAAAGTCATACTAACTGCAGATTGGTCCAGACAGGCATCTTAAAGTTCAGAATCATGGTATATATATATTTTTTTTCCTTTTTGAGAAACAGTTGGGAATTGATTCAATGTGTGGTTTCTTCTCCTTTAACCCCTTAAGGACACATGACATATGTGACATGTCATGATTCCCTTTTATTCCAGAAGTTTGGTCCTTAAGGGGTTAAAGGAAGACTAACAGGGGCAGCAGGCACCCTGTGCTAGCCTTCCTGCCTTCTCACTGAGCTGTATTACAAGAGATCTGCAGCTTTTGCAAGCTGTTTTAAATATACCCAGTGATAAAAAAATGCATGCATGTTTTCATTGGAACTACATCTACTACACAGTGATTTAAAAAAAACAAATTTATGGGCAATGGTGTGTTCCTTTAAGAACAACATGTAGAATAGATGAGTGAAAGACTGAAGCTTATGGATGTGAGATATGGATCGCTTCCCCTGTCTTTGTAGTATTTCAGGGCGGAATTACAATTTTGAATGGTGGTGTTGTTGTTGTTTTAAATCGCCCCCTCTCAATTATGAATGAGGAAGATTAGAATTCCTTCTTTGTAAACTGGTATACAAACGTGACTCCTTGATGGGTGCAGGACTAACATTTTATGTTAATATCTTAGACCTTGTTGAGTGCAACTCCTCCCAATTATGCATAAGTTAATGAATGGTTCATCTTAAAGTCACTGCCAGATAATGATTCCGGATTGGTTAGACAGTGGTAGCCAATCAGAATAACGAACTGGATATATATCCACTTATCTTGAAATTGTTCAGTTCCTCTTGAAGAGTCGCCTGAATGGCAAAATGCACGTCGGGGCTCGGCTCAGGTTTATCCTTTTGTGAATAGTTTCTGAGATATTAGTTTGTCAACTGTGTAACTGAGCCTGTTTTTAATCATTATCCAAGTTGTTCGCAGCTATAAGAATAGCTAGTGAGTTTTTGATCTATATAGGTGCCCATGAAGGCCCAGTTCAGACACCGTGAAGCCATACCATATAAATAGGATAACAGCTGGAACTAATCTTGACACTATTTTCATCCTTCCTCTAAAGTATTAATTATTCTTATCAGACAGACTCAAAACACTGTTTAATTGGCTGTACATATTCTTGCTCTCCTCTGGAGCAATTCCATCAATACCACTTAACATTTTCTGTTAGTTTTTCAAGGGAATTGCAACATTAAACTTTACACTGTTGCAAAGTGCCTCAGAAACAGTGTTTTGTTGTATCAGTCACTGCTTGTTACCAAGTTTGACTTTACCTTCCCTTGTTCACAGGAAGCCTGGCAGGCTACTTTCCTACAGAGAACGTGCAGGATGTGTATATACTTTGGATTTATTTATTTTGATAATTGACATTTGTGTATATACTTTGTTTTGTATTCTTTATTTATGATAATTACTTTACATCCAAGTGTTTTACCTTTGAAGACTATTAAACGTTCAGTTTTAAACTACTACCATTAGTTCTGGGCATTACTCTGTTCCTTGTAAAATTGTATATTCTAAGGGTTACCCCCTTTCCACCCAGTCAATCCCTCTTTTTTGATGTGGATGTGAAAGATATTTAATACAAGTTACAAATACACTTTACAGATATTTAGCCTATTTAGGCCAAATAATTGTCCTACATATTTAAAGTTTAATATTTTCTAAAATTCCCATTTTCGTTATATAATCTCGCATGCAGTATAATCTATTCATCAGAAATTTATTAAACAGTGAGTTGGGGTGAATTGAAAAACATATTTGTTAAACATAAGTCATACTATCCTGGCCTATATGCTAATAATATAGATGAGATGAAGAATTTCTACAGTTCTATAAGCCTTTATTTACTTATCTATTTGATTCTTTTCTCTATATTTATTTATGGTATTTATAAAGCGCCAAACATATACCGCAGTGCTGAAATTTATCCTCTTTATATATTCTCTTTCATTTACCTTTGTTACATCGGCTTGATCTGACCAGTCCACGTTGCTGTTGCCAAGACTGTTTCGGCTGGTATATCCTTTCATGGTGCGGGATACATTGTAATAACAGTAAAACATCACCAGGAGTGGGATCACAAAATTTATTGCAACCACACTCATTGTATATGACACAAAAGACCTGTTTAAGAAGACACAGTATGAAAACATATAGAGACAAGATCTTCTACTGTCATGTAACTAAAATCAGGTCAAAAGAGTAGATATTATAGCAATCTGTTCCCAAAAGCCACTAGTGAACATTTCCCAGGTTATCATCAAGCCATCGCTTTACACGTCTCATAATGGTTAACATACTACTTCCTTTTATAAGAGTGGCAGCACAGCATACAAAGAGACCATTATATATCGTATTTATTGGTTAGGGTGTTTTTTTTAAAAAAAAGTACAACTGTCAAAATGTTTGCTTCTCATTTTTGAAAAGTTTGTTACATTTAATGAAACAATGATAGATACACACACACACATATATATATGTACACAGTTGCAAGAAAAAGTATTTGAACCCTTTGAACACACCATGTAAACATTCACAGTGCAGGTGGAAAAAGTATATGAACCCTTGGATTTAATAACTGATTGAACCTCCTTTGGCAGCAATAACTTCAACCAAACGTTTCCTTAGTTCCAGATCAGACTTGCACAACGGTCAGGAGTAATTCTTGACCATTCCTCTTTACAGAACTTTTTCAGTTCAGCAATATTCTTGGGATGTCTGGTGTGAATCGCTTTCTTGAGGTCATGCCACAGCATTTCAATCAGGTTGAGGTCAGGACTCTGACTGGGCCACTTCAGAAGGCATATTTTCTTCTGTTGTTGATTTACTTCTATGCTTTGGGTCATTGTCCTGTTGCAACACCCATCTTCTGTTGAGCTTCAGCTGGTAGACAGATGGCCTTAAGTTCTCCTGCAAAATGTATTGATAAACTTGGGAATTAATTTTTCCTTCGATGACAGCAATCCGTCCAGGCCCTGATGCAGCAAAGCAGCCCCAAACCATGATGCCCCCACCACCATACTTCACAGTTTTGATGTTGGTGTGCTGTGCCTTTTTTTCACCACACATAGTGTTGTGTGTTTCTTACAAACAACTCAACTTTAGTGTCATCTGTCCACAGAATATTTTGCCAGTACTGCTGTGGAACATCCAGGTGCTCTTGTACATACTGTAAACCTGCAGCAATGCTTTGTTTGGACAGCAGTGGCTTCCTCTGTGGTATCCTCCCATGAAATCCATTCTTGTTTAGTGTTTTACGTATTGTAAGTTCGCTAACAGGGATGTTAGCATTTGCCAGTGACTTTTGTAAGTCTTTAGCTGACACTCTAGGATTCCTCTTCACCTCATTGAGCAGTCTACGCTGTGCTCTTGCAGTCATCTTTACAGGACGGCCACTCCTAGGGAGAGTAGCAGCAGTGCTGAACTTTCTCCATTCATAGACAATTTGTCTTACCGTGGACTGATGAACAGCAAGGCTTTTGGAGATACTTTTATAACCCTTTCCAGCTTTATGCAAGTTAACAATTCTTAATCGTAGGTCTTCTGAGAGCTCTTTTGTGCAAGGTATCATTCACATCAGGCAATGCTTCTTGTGAAAAGCAAACCCAGAACCGGTGTGTGTTTTTTATAGGGCAGGGCAGCTGTAACCAACACCTCCAATCTCATCTAATTGATTGGACTCCAGTTGGCTGACATCTCACTCCAATTAGCTCTTGGAGATGTCATTAGTCTAGGGGTTCACATACTTTTTCCATTTGCACTGTGAATGTTTACATGGTGTGTTCAATAACAACATGGCAACATTTCATTCTTTGTGTGTTATTAGTTTAAGCAGACTGTGATTGTCTATTGTTGTGACTTAGATGATGATCAGATCACATTTTATGACCAATTTGTGCAGAAATCCATATGATTCCAAAGGGTTCACATACTTTTTCTTGCAACTGTATATATGTGTGTGTATATATATAGACTGGCGGTGATAGCGGCGGCGGCGTGGATCCGCCCGGCGACCCGCCGTTGCCTGTGGTGGAACCCCCCGCGCGGCAATACACGCAACCTCAAACTCGAGCACGGAACCCACAAGAGTACCCGACCTGCTTACCAACAAGCGGTCCCAGCAACAGCTGTCCAGCAAAGCGCAACCCGACACAGAGGGACTAGCAGAGTTGACAGCGATAAAAATTACACTCCGGCAGGTTTGATGACTGACCGGCAAAAAATTAACCCGCGATCGACCGGACCGAGAGCACCGAGGGGGCAACTGTCTATACGCGACAGCATTACCACCATCACCCCACTAAGCAAGCGGGCCATCCCCGGGCAAGACAACCCCAGGATGAACACAACGGAACACCCAGTGGGTATCGGCTGAAAGGGGAATCCCCACAAGGGCACAGTGCTGGACTCTAGCCACTGCCTAACGCACCTCATGGGACAGAGCTGCCGCTAGCAACACCCTAAAGCCCAGACACTCATCGTGCAGCAAGCACACAAGTCTGACAAGACACTTGGTAGCTCGACGGCACGGCCCAGATTCCAAGCCAGGCTCCTGCCACTTAACCTTGGTTAACAACTGTTAAACTAATACATGATAAACGTGGACTTACAACTTTTCGTACTACTATTGAACGACATGCAGCAGTGAGTCCTTAGAATAGTGTGTTTAACATAAGCCTTATCTTAACGCTAAGTGACAGCATAGAATAGGCATGTTACGCAATACTAAATCCTACTAAACATAACTAAATCTCATTAAGCATGGCGAACTCTTATTAAGCATAATTCTGTTAGTTTATATAAAAATGTGCAATGTTTCTTATGCCACATTACTGTCACCACATGTTTCATTTATGTTTGCACCAGCTGTCGTGGCAGTGCAAAACTGCTTGTTAAATCTATGCACGAATAAAATAAAGAATTTAAAAAAAAAAAAATATATAAAGTAATATAAAAATAAAAAAGATAAAAATCTTACGCATCATTTTTCCTCCAATTAATGGTACATGTAGCTCCAGTGGGATCAGGAGCATAACTTGACCATCCCACTATGGGCATCACAGACCAGAAGACAGCATTTATCCATGCAGCAAGGATAAGAGCCGCATAGTGACAGCCTGTAATTCTTCTTCCTGGAATACATGAAGTGTTAGAATGCTGGGTGAATTTAATTTACATATTGGCTCTCTTAAAGAAGGTCTGAGAGCAGATGTAGAATTAAATATAACCTAATTTTTCATATATTTAAAAAGAGGTTCAATAACATAATGCTATCAAAATATATTAATGAACACATTGTGTCTGCAGAATAAGCAAAATGAGGTAAGAGACATAGCTATGCTGAGCAGTAAAATTACTAAATACTTTGACTAGACTTTTCAAATATAACTCCACTGTTAACAAACAAGGATTTCTCAGGCATGTTCATTTTTATTTTTACATTTTTTAATATTCTTTATTTTTATTTTTCTGTGCATATGATAACAAAAGATCTTGCAATGCCACAACAGCATTGGCAAGCATTTTAGAAACATACATAAGGAAACAATGGCATTATAGTCAAAGAAAAGCACAGTGTTCTGAGGATAGTAAAAGAGTTATGCAGAAACTGCCCATCCGAACCAGTTTTTGGGGTAGTGTGAGTAAACTTACTACAATTAATGCAGTCATGTGTGGTATGCTAGAATACTAGGGTTAGTATTAGAGGAGTTAAAGCGCTTAATGTCATGCATAAAAACATGTGCCTCCTTCTCATCTAGGACAGTATGCTAGGAATAAAGTTTTACGCCTCAAGGCCTAGGAGAACCGTTTCAGCTATGTGTGCATATCTTGAGGCAGGGGAAGGCAGTGTTGGGCACATAGCCAACCCAACTGAGAGCGGGGTGTGAAATATTTCTTCGTAAAGTGAAAGGTATAGATAAAAATATAAAACATATGGTAAGGAATAAACATGCAAACAATTCTATACTATATACAGCCCACTTATGGTGGGTATACTCGGTTTAAGGTATCAGTCAAAGCCCAGTTGGTGGCCACAACATAAGCGGTTGTGTAGGCAGAGTGCTGCCCGATAGGTCAGCATAGAAGGTGTGGGCCATGTTCTTGAATGCGTAAGGCAAGGATCCTCTGAGGGCTGCCAGCATCACAGCCTTATCTCTGTGGTTTGAAAACGCACAACTAAATCTCTGGGCACAGACTCTGGTGCCCTCTGTGGCTTGGGGACACAGAATACACCTTCCAATACAATATTGTTGTATTGGAGTCAGAGTGGCCTCCTCAGCAAATGTGAAGTTCAGCCACTGGTATGTATGTATGTGTGGAAAGGAAGAGGAAGGGATCACTTATTATCTTTCACTAGTAACCTCTCACACAGGAGAAGCCCAACTTCTCTTAAAAATGTAACACCTCATATGCCCCAATACTAAATTTAATCCAACAATCTAGAATCACCCCCTATATCCAAATGTAACCTTACTCTGATCCTTAAAAGCTCATAAACTACAACTGTAACCCTTCTCAAACTGTTATTTTTGTTAACATTAAACATCCTATGTAATCTAACTGTTTATGTTAACCCCTCTCTAACATTAATCCACCCCTTTACTCTAACCAGTGTCAACATTATCTTTAACACTGCATGCATTTACACTACTGCATACACTCACTATATTCACACATTACAAGTATAGAAAAAAAGGGGACGATCTGCTAAACAAATAACAAGAACAGTGCATAGCGCATAACTGTGTATATGAATAAACCAAATGTGTAGTTTTCAAATGGCCACTCACACTTTCATTGAAATATAAATGCCTTGGAACTGAATTGCTCTTTTCAGCAAAATTGCTCTTTTCAGCATAAATGCCCTTCCAGGAATGATTCTTCCACCACTTTTAAACTCTCATGGAATAGTTAAAAGGTGTGTGCTCAAAGAAAAAAACAGAACTTGTAGTACATATTTAAAAATGTAGAAAAAATAATTTAATCACTTACATCTAAATATAAAACAATGGATGTATTCTCACTGTCACCACCAGGGGTCCTACGCGTTTCGTCCGTATGTAGGACTTCCTCAGGGACTTCAGTGACCAGAAATGACAGCATACAAATGAACAATAAACAACCCTTCCCTTCACCACCCTTTATACCTCCCCCAATGTCCACAAAACTCTTTATCCGAATCAGGTGCTTGAAATTTCAGTTCGACGGCCGATATCTATGACGTCATCCACATGCGTCCGTCGGTTTCGCATGCGTTCCACCATGCGTTCCACTGCCGAAACCCGGAAGTGCTTTATGCCTTCTATGTATGAATCACGTATTTCTATTCCAAGTCCCTCTCATTAGAGGCAGATTTAATTTACATAGATCGGAGGCAAGAAGAAAGGGGGGGGAGAGGGAAAAGGGAGGATTATACACTTCAAACAGTACTACAAGATTCCAAATATATATAACTAACACAGCCTCATTATACTTGATAACAAAAAACTATATACACTATATAGTATATATGAATCTAATTAAAATCAAATAAAGATATATAATAGTAAATAAACAGACTAACATAACAAAAAATAACAAAAATAAATACATAATGTAAAAAATATAATGTAATATAAAAAAATAATATAAAAAATAATAAAAATGAAAGTAAAATAAAATAAATTAAAAATAAAAAATAAAAAATAAAATATAAAAAATATAAAAAATAAAAATAAAGAAAAATAAAGAAAAATGAGAATAAAAATGAAAAATAAAATAAAAATATAGCACACACACTTATAAGGTGGATAAAACGTGATATCCCAATTTATGTTGCATTTTTTCAAATATTCCAAAAGATATAGAGTATCCATACATTATTATTTTTCTCCTCTTTTTTCCTTTGATGAGATATTGAAAACATCCAGAAAAGGAGATTTATTAATTTTAACGTTATCATTGGATAAAATTAAGAAATTAAATTGAATTATAAAATATAGGATAGAATTCCATAAATGTAAAAAATAGAATTCGATCCATCCCCTGTCCTCTTTTTTCTTTTTTTTTTTCTTTTTTTCTTTTAGTGGAATGTCAAAGACATCCCACAAAGAGCTGTTGGTTGATTTTAAAGTTGTTCTTGATATAAAAAATAAAATAGATTATATTAAAAAAATTAAATAAAATTTGATGAATGGAAAAAGTATACTTATGATTGAAATTTAATTGAATTCAAAAAACGTCAAATCTCAGAATGCAGATTAAAAATCTGTAAACACAAATCCGACGCAGTTGGAATCCAACAAATCCCAGTATATATAAATCTGATATAATGAGAATTCATTGAATTTCAGAATATATAAAAGGACAATTTGTCCATCCCAAAACCCATTCAAATTTAATGATACAAAAATATTCTACTATGATATTTATGATGTGGAAAAATTATTACCTATACTATAAAAAATATATAGAAAAAATGCAACATTTACACTAATGGTGCAAAAAGGTACCTACATAGTATTAATTTTCAAAAAAGCTCCATAGGTCTATATCCAAATTCAACCCATGTGGTTGCAACGTTTTTAATTTGTTTATCCAAAAAATCTCCCTTTGCGAGAGCTTTTTCATTAAATTGCCCCCTCTCCAATAAGGGTCAACCCGCTCTATACCCATGAAGGAAAAATTATTCCAATTAAATTTTCTGCAACTAGTGCAATGAATCGGTACTATATGTTTTGTTGACTTTTTCCTAATATTATTTTGATGTTCCAAAATTCTCTCTTTCAATTTTCGACCCGTTCTTCCCACATACTGTTTCCCACATGGGCACTGTAGCAGGTAGACCACATACCTCGAGTTGCAATTTATATTAGATTTAACTTTAAATTTCTCTTTGGTAGTTGTACTTATAAATTCTTTTTTCTGTATATACCTCTGGTTCTTGCAAGCCTTACATGAATTACAAGGATTAAAACCTTTAATATTAGAAAGTGTACCTTTGCGTCCGATTTTTAATGCGTAGCTTGGAGCTAATATATTTTTCAAATTTTTAGTTTTTTTGAAAATTATTGGTGCTTTTTTTGGGAGTACCTTTCCTAATATGGGGTCTTTGCACAAAATATCCCAATGTCTGTTTAAAATCTTTTTTATATTCCAATGTTGTGTATTATATTGTGTAATAAACGAAAACTGATAATCTTTTTTTGGGATTGTTTTCTTTGGATTTGATTTCAAAAGACTTTTCCTATCTTTCTTTTCAATTTCTTGAATTTCTTTCTCCAATGGTGCTAATTCATATTTTTTAGTTAAAAATTTATTTTTCAAGTGTTTGGCCTGTTCATGGTAATCTATATCTCTTGAGCAATTTCGTCGTATTCTTGTTAGTTGGCTTCTTGGGATGGTTTCCAACCATTTATCATGATGACAGCTTTTTCTGTGTATGTAACTGTTACCATCAGTTTTTTTAAAATAACATTTAGACTGTATAGTCTGATTTTCAACAAAAAAGCAGACATCTAAAAAATTAATTGTAATAGGGTCTATCTCACATGTGAATTTTAAGCCATAATCATTATTACCAATATAATCCAAAAATAACTGCAGTTCTTTATGTGATCCTTGCCAAATCATTATAACGTCATCAATAAAACGTTTCCATAGGACCAGGTTCGCTACCCAGCCATGCCCCCTCCATATGTGGTTGGATTCCCAATCCCGCATATATATGTTGGCATAGCCGGGGGCGAACCTGGTCCCCATTGCCGTACCAGTGATTTGGAGATAGAATGAGTCATCGAAGAAAAAATAATTGTGCTTCAAGATGTAATGAATGCTTTTAAGTATAAAATTTCGAAAATCTGGTGAAACACTTTCATCTCTCTCCATGACCCACTCTACTGCAATCAGACCCTTGTGATGTTTAATGATTGTGTAGAGAGATGAAACATCTATAGTTACCCAAATGAAATCGTCTTTCCATTTTATATCTTCTACTATTCTTAAAATATGTGAGGTATCTTTCAAATAAGAGGGTGCCTCTTGGGCATATTTTTGAAGATTGTAATCTACAAATTCTGACAAATGTGCAGATACCGAATCAATGCCACTAATAATTGGCCTTCCCGGAGGTGTGATAGGATTTTTGTGTAACTTGGGCAAAAAATAAAAATAAAAAATAGGAATTATGGGAAAATTGTTAAATAAAAATTCCATATTATTTTTAGAAATGATGCCTTCCTCAAATGCCTGGTTTAACAGGATTTTGAGAATAGAGTTAAATCTTTTTGTTGGATCTTCTGTGAGTTTTGTGTAAGTATTTGTTTCTCCTAAGATGTTATATGCTTCCTCCATATAATAGTCTTTGGTCATAATGACTATGGCTCCACCTTTATCGGCCTCTTTTATAATTATAGACTCCATTTTTTGTAGTTTGGCTACACTTGCCGATTCCTCTTTACTCATATTGTATTTATTTTTCTGACAATTGCTTTCTTTTTCCAATTTCTCCAAATCATGGCATACCATGTTGTTAAAGGTCTCTAGGAAGGGACCTCTATCTCCAACTGGATAGAAATTAGACTTTCTTTTAAAAGAATTTTGTTTATTGAAAGCCTCACTAGATGTTATAGAAACTTCTGTATCTCTTTTTAGAAAAAATCTTTTCAATGTCATTTTACGGATATATTTTTGAAGATCTATATATGTATTAAAATGATTCATCTTCTGATTTGGGGCAAATTTTAATCCCTTATTGAGCGCTTTTAAATCACTAGTTGATAATTCTATATCAGTTAGATTATAGACTCCATATTGTTTTTCTAATTCCTTTTTCTCAGGAAGTCCTCCCTTCGGGGATCTTCCTCTGACCTCTTTCTTTTTGGTGGGGTTAGCTGACTTTCTCGTGGGGTTTCCTTGATGTTGTGTCGGGGTTTGAAAAATTGGGTGATTCTCCCTTCTTTGGGATTGGATTCCCTCCCTAAAAAAAGATTTTCCCTTTCTTTTTGATTTCCTTGATTGGTATTGGCCACCTGTGCATAAGTTCTTTTTGGTGAATAACAATAATTTGGAGAGATAGACTCCTCTCTTTCCTTCTGTCTAGTGTATCTCGGTGACTTTCTTAAAAGTTTGTGATTGTTTATTTGTGATGGTCTATTTGGAGAGGAGTATCTTTTTCTATTCGTTGGAGAAAAGTGTCCATTTCTATCTTTTGGTGAATATCTAGAGTGATTGGTTGAATCATACTTTTTATAAGTGGAGTAATCATCTTTTTTTAATTTATTCCCATAACCAACATCAAAATTCCTTGTATTTCTTTTAAAGTGATTATTATATGTGTGTCTATTCTTAATTTTATTTGTTGTGGAAAAAGTATTATATTTTTTATCATTTCTATCTCTCCTCATTTTATTGTTTTTTGTTTCAGCAATTCTTTCTTCTAATTGATTAATTGTTTTACAAACTTCCTGTTCTTTTTCTTTATATCCAATTTGATCCCTATTAAGGGTTCCCCCTGTTTCTAATGATTTTATATCGTTTTCAGTTTGATCTCTACTTTCTTTTTCAAATTCAATTATCAATTTCATTAGACTTTGTATAAAGGCTATAATGAGGCTGTGTTAGTTATATATATTTGGAATCTTGTAGTACTGTTTGAAGTGTATAATCCTCCCTTTTCCCTCTCCCCCCCCTTTCTTCTTGCCTCCGATCTATGTAAATTAAATCTGCCTCTAATGAGAGGGACTTGGAATAGAAATACGTGATTCATACATAGAAGGCATAAAGCACTTCCGGGTTTCGGCAGTGGAACGCATGAAGAAAGAATTGCTGAAACAAAAAACAATAAAATGAGGAGAGATAGAAATGATAAAAAATATAATACTTTTTCCACAACAAATAAAATTAAGAATAGACACACATATAATAATCACTTTAAAAGAAATACAAGGAATTTTGATGTTGGTTATGGGAATAAATTAAAAAAAGATGATTACTCCACTTATAAAAAGTATGATTCAACCAATCACTCTAGATATTCACCAAAAGATAGAAATGGACACTTTTCTCCAACGAATAGAAAAAGATACTCCTCTCCAAATAGACCATCACAAATAAACAATCACAAACTTTTAAGAAAGTCACCGAGATACACTAGACAGAAGGAAAGAGAGGAGTCTATCTCTCCAAATTATTGTTATTCACCAAAAAGAACTTATGCACAGGTGGCCAATACCAATCAAGGAAATCAAAAAGAAAGGGAAAATCTTTTTTTAGGGAGGGAATCCAATCCCAAAGAAGGGAGAATCACCCAATTTTTCAAACCCCGACACAACATCAAGGAAACCCCACGAGAAAGTCAGCTAACCCCACCAAAAAGAAAGAGGTCAGAGGAAGATCCCCGAAGGGAGGACTTCCTGAGAAAAAGGAATTAGAAAAACAATATGGAGTCTATAATCTAACTGATATAGAATTATCAACTAGTGATTTAAAAGCGCTCAATAAGGGATTAAAATTTGCCCCAAATCAGAAGATGAATCATTTTAATACATATATAGATCTTCAAAAATATATCCGTAAAATGACATTGAAAAGATTTTTTCTAAAAAGAGATACAGAAGTTTCTATAACATCTAGTGAGGCTTTCAATAAACAAAATTCTTTTAAAAGAAAGTCTAATTTCTATCCAGTTGGAGATAGAGGTCCCTTCCTAGAGACCTTTAACAACATGGTATGCCATGATTTGGAGAAATTGGAAAAAGAAAGCAATTGTCAGAAAAATAAATACAATATGAGTAAAGAGGAATCGGCAAGTGTAGCCAAACTACAAAAAATGGAGTCTATAATTATAAAAGAGGCCGATAAAGGTGGAGCCATAGTCATTATGACCAAAGACTATTATATGGAGGAAGCATATAACATCTTAGGAGAAACAAATACTTACACAAAACTCACAGAAGATCCAACAAAAAGATTTAACTCTATTCTCAAAATCCTGTTAAACCAGGCATTTGAGGAAGGCATCATTTCTAAAAATAATATGGAATTTTTATTTAACAATTTTCCCATAATTCCTATTTTTTATTTTTTTTTTTGCCCAAGTTACACAAAAATCCTATCACACCTCCGGGAAGGCCAATTATTAGTGGCATTGATTCGGTATCTGCACATTTGTCAGAATTTGTAGATTACAATCTTCAAAAATATGCCCAAGAGGCACCCTCTTATTTGAAAGATACCTCACATATTTTAAGAATAGTAGAAGATATAAAATGGAAAGACGATTTCATTTGGGTAACTATAGATGTTTCATCTCTCTACACAATCATTAAACATCACAAGGGTCTGATTGCAGTAGAGTGGGTCATGGAGAGAGATGAAAGTGTTTCACCAGATTTTCGAAATTTTATACTTAAAAGCATTCATTACATCTTGAAGCACAATTATTTTTTCTTCGATGACTCATTCTATCTCCAAATCACTGGTACGGCAATGGGGACCAGGTTCGCCCCCGGCTATGCCAACATATATATGCGGGATTGGGAATCCAACCACATATGGAGGGGGCATGGCTGGGTAGCGAACCTGGTCCTATGGAAACGTTTTATTGATGACGTTATAATGATTTGGCAAGGATCACATAAAGAACTGCAGTTATTTTTGGATTATATTGGTAATAATGATTATGGCTTAAAATTCACATGTGAGATAGACCCTATTACAATTAATTTTTTAGATGTCTGCTTTTTTGTTGAAAATCAGACTATACAGTCTAAATGTTATTTTAAAAAAACTGATGGTAACAGTTACATACACAGAAAAAGCTGTCATCATGATAAATGGTTGGAAACCATCCCAAGAAGCCAACTAACAAGAATACGACGAAATTGCTCAAGAGATATAGATTACCATGAACAGGCCAAACACTTGAAAAATAAATTTTTAACTAAAAAATATGAATTAGCACCATTGGAGAAAGAAATTCAAGAAATTGAAAAGAAAGATAGGAAAAGTCTTTTGAAACCAAATCCAAAGAAAACAATCCCAAAAAAAGATTATCAGTTTTCGTTTATTACACAATATAATACACAACATTGGAATATAAAAAAGATTTTAAACAGACATTGGGATATTTTGTGCAAAGACCCCATATTAGGAAAGGTACTCCCAAAAAAAGCACCAATAATTTTCAAAAAAACTAAAAATTTGAAAAATATATTAGCTCCAAGCTACGCATTAAAAATCGGACGCAAAGGTACACTTTCTAATATTAAAGGTTTTAATCCTTGTAATTCATGTAAGGCTTGCAAGAACCAGAGGTATATACAGAAAAAAGAATTTATAAGTACAACTACCAAAGAGAAATTTAAAGTTAAATCTAATATAAATTGCAACTCGAGGTATGTGGTCTACCTGCTACAGTGCCCATGTGGGAAACAGTATGTGGGAAGAACGGGTCGAAAATTGAAAGAGAGAATTTTGGAACATCAAAATAATATTAGGAAAAAGTCAACAAAACATATAGTACCGATTCATTGCACTAGTTGCAGAAAATTTAATTGGAATAATTTTTCCTTCATGGGTATAGAGCGGGTTGACCCTTATTGGAGAGGGGGCAATTTAATGAAAAAGCTCTCGCAAAGGGAGATTTTTTGGATAAACAAATTAAAAACGTTGCAACCACATGGGTTGAATTTGGATATAGACCTATGGAGCTTTTTTGAAAATTAATACTATGTAGGTACCTTTTTGCACCATTAGTGTAAATGTTGCATTTTTTCTATATATTTTTTATAGTATAGGTAATAATTTTTCCACATCATAAATATCATAGTAGAATATTTTTGTATCATTAAATTTGAATGGGTTTTGGGATGGACAAATTGTCCTTTTATATATTCTGAAATTCAATGAATTCTCATTATATCAGATTTATATATACTGGGATTTGTTGGATTCCAACTGCGTCGGATTTGTGTTTACAGATTTTTAATCTGCATTCTGAGATTTGACGTTTTTTGAATTCAATTAAATTTCAATCATAAGTATACTTTTTCCATTCATCAAATTTTATTTAATTTTTTTAATATAATCTATTTTATTTTTTATATCAAGAACAACTTTAAAATCAACCAACAGCTCTTTGTGGGATGTCTTTGACATTCCACTAAAAGAAAAAAAGAAAAAAAAAAAGAAAAAAGAGGACAGGGGATGGATCGAATTCTATTTTTTACATTTATGGAATTCTATCCTATATTTTATAATTCAATTTAATTTCTTAATTTTATCCAATGATAACGTTAAAATTAATAAATCTCCTTTTCTGGATGTTTTCAATATCTCATCAAAGGAAAAAAGAGGAGAAAAATAATAATGTATGGATACTCTATATCTTTTGGAATATTTTAAAAAATGCAACATAAATTGGGATATCACGTTTTATCCACCTTATAAGTGTGTGTGCTATATTTTTATTTTATTTTTCATTTTTATTCTCATTTTTATTTATTTTTCTTTATTTTTATTTTTTATATTTTTTATATTTTATTTTTTATTTTTTATTTTTATATTATTTTATTTTACTTTCATTTTTATTTTTTTATATTATTTTTTTTATATTACATTATATTTTTTACATTATGTATTTATTTTTGTTATTTTTTGTTATGTTAGTCTGTTTATTTACTATTATATATATCTTTATTTGATTTTAATTAGATTCATATATACTATATAGTGTATATAGTTTTTTGTTATCAAGTATAATGAGGCTGTGTTAGTTATATATATTTGGAATCTTGTAGTACTGTTTGAAGTGTATAATCCTCCCTTTTCCCTCTCCCCCCCCTTTCTTCTTGCCTCCGATCTATGTAAATTAAATCTGCCTCTAATGAGAGGGACTTGGAATAGAAATACGTGATTCATACATAGAAGGCATAAAGCACTTCCGGGTTTCGGCAGTGGAACGCATGGTGGAACGCATGCGAAACCGACGGACGCATGTGGATGACGTCATAGATATCGGCCGTCGAACTGAAATTTCAAGCACCTGATTCGGATAAAGAGTTTTGTGGACATTGGGGGAGGTATAAAGGGTGGTGAAGGGAAGGGTTGTTTATTGTTCATTTGTATGCTGTCATTTCTGGTCACTGAAGTCCCTGAGGAAGTCCTACATACGGACGAAACGCGTAGGACCCCTGGTGGTGACAGTGAGAATACATCCATTGTTTTATATTTAGATGTAAGTGATTAAATTATTTTTTCTACATTTTTAAATATGTACTACAAGTTCTGTTTTTTTCTTTGAGCACACACCTTTTAACTATTCCATGAGAGTTTAAAAGTGGTGGAAGAATCATTCCTGGAAGGGCATTTATGCTGAAAAGAGCAATTTTGCTGAAAAGAGCAATTCAGTTCCAAGGCATTTATATTTCAACGAAAGTGTGAGTGGCCATTTGAAAACTACACATTTGGTTTATTCATATACACAGTTATGCGCTATGACCTGTTCTTGTTATTTGTTTAGCAGATCGTCCCCTTTTTTTCTATACATGTTCTGTTGAAGACAGGAGGAAGTCTTCGGGGAAATCCTACCTGATTCAGGGAGGTCTTTTTCTGCTATTTATCTGTTGAGCACTTATTGCACTGTGGTTTGTGCACACATATCGCTTTTTTGTATCTTCACACATTACAAGTAGGAATATTCAGGTACATGTACATACATACATTCCAAGGCGCTTTACAGTGGGTGGACGAACAGACATGTAGTTGTAACCAGACAAGTTGGACACACAGGAACAGAGGGGCTAAGGGCCCTGCTCAATGAGCTTACATGCTAGAGGGAGTGGGGTAAAGTGACACAAAAGGTAAGGATAGTATTAGACTAATGACAGTTGTTATTAACAGTTTAATTGATACGCTTTTATGAAGAAGTGGGTTTTTAATTATTTTTTTAAGGCGTGGAGACTGGGTGAGCATCTAACGGAGGAGGGAAGTGAGTTCCATAGGAACGGTGCAGTCCTGGAGAAGTCTTCAAGGCGAGCATCAGAGGTGGGAGTACGGACAGAATAGACGCAAGTCTTCAGCAGAGTGTAAGGGCCTAGACGGGACATACTTGTGTATTGGTGAGGATAGAACCAGAATTTAAATTGAGCCCTATATCCTACAGGAAGCCAATGTAAGGACTGACAGAAGGGTGAGGCATGGGAGGTGCTGGCGGACAGGAAGATGAGCCTCGCCGCAGCATTCATTATGGACTGTAACGGCGCAAGTTTGGAGCACGTAAGACCACTGGGAAGCGGATTACAGTAGTCAAGGTGAGAAAGGACAATGGAATGGACCAGCACCTTAGTTGCATCTGGCGTTAAGTAGGGTCAGATGCGCGCAATGTTTTTGAGATGGAAACGACAGGATTTGGCGATAGACTGAACATGAGGTGTGAAGGAGAGGTCGGAGTCAAAGAGAACACCTAGGCAGCGAGCCTGCGTGGTGGAGCAGATGATAGCACTGTTGACTTGGAGGGAGACAGACACAGGAGTAGCAACACTTGAGGGACGAAAGACTAGAATTTCAGTTTTGGTCAAGTTGAGTTTAAGGAAGTGGGCAGCCATCCAGTGAGATTGATGTTCAGACGGTGGTGTCAATTGGGTCTTAGGTATGCCGATGTCAAAAGTCAGCAGATGGTGGTCAGATAGAGGAAAAGGAATATTGGAAATATTAGAGACGGTACAGAGATTGGTGAAGGCGATATCAAGAGTGTTTCCCGCTGTATTGGATCATTGCATAAGGCCAAAGGAGGAGGTTACAGAGAGCATTTATGTTGTATACAGCAAACACAGACTCATAGGAATCCATGTTTAAAATGGAATGAGGCACAAACATGATTCTTTGTTGCATGTGTCCACCCAGAATCCTTTGCGGTAGTACCATCACTGCAGATCTGCGATTTCTGTTGGAAAAGCAAGTCTTATGGCTTGAATGGTGTGCAGATTTTTGTTTGAAGGACCACTATAGACACTCAGACCACTTCAGCTCAATGAAATGGTCTGGGTGCCAGGTCCTCCTAGTTTTAACCCTGAAGCTGAAAACATAGCAATTTCAGAGAAACTGCTATATTTAGACTGCTGGGTTAATCCAGCCTCTGGTGGCTGTCTGTTCTCTAGTGGATGTCATTGAGTAATGCTTTCCTATGGGCAGGTTTGAATGCATGCACGCGCCTCTGGCCTCGCGTGCGCATTCAGCTCCACCCAAGGGAGGGAGCCTGGCGCTGGATTAAGGTAAGTGGCTGAAGGGGTTTTAACCCCATCAGCGCCGAGGGAGGGGGGCCCCCGAGGGCTAACGGCACTCCAAAAGCGCCACGAAAACAAATTCCAAGAGCCAGGGCCGTCTTTAATTCAGATTGGACCCTGGGCAAGCATTTACTTGGGCCCCCCGACTACATATAGATACACACAAATACAAAACCTGACACACATGCAGATACACACTGACCGCATATAGATACACACAAGAACATACAGATACACACAGACTACATATAGAACACTGAGCAGAGTAAGTGATGAGAACCGCACCCAGTCCCAACGGCCAAGGGTGCTCCAGAGCAGGACCAGCAATCCCAGTACAATAATCCAAGAGGAAAAAGGAGTGCCTGTGAGTTTTTTCCTCTTACATATAGAACACTGACACACAAATAGACACAAACACAGATACACAACCTGACAAACATGCAGATACACAGATACAAACACTGATACATGCAGATACAAAGGTACACACACTGACACACATACAGACATACAGACACACAGACACACAGATACACAACCTGACACACATGCAGATATACATATACAAACACGGACACATACAGATACACACTGACTATATATAGATACACACACAAACACAAACGGACAACATACAGATAGAAAGGCACATTCTGACAGACGTACTGACACAGAGACACACACAGACAGCCATACTGAAACACACATACACACAGACATACAGAACCACATGGACACTGACAGACATACAGACATTATGGCACACATACACACAGACAGACATACTGAAACACACATACACACAGACACTGACAGACGTACACACATACAGACATTTTGACACTCACAGACAGCCATACTGAAACATACATACACAAAGACACTGACAGACGTACACACATACAGACATTTTGACACTCACAGACAGCCATACTGAACCAGACATACACACATACATATTGAACCACACAGACACTGACCGACTCACACACACAGACATACTGACACACTGACGGACATACTGAAACACACATACACTGACAAACACAGACATACAGAACCACACAGACACTGACAGACTCACACACACAGACATACATACATACTCATACATACTCACACACACACACAGACACTCATGCAAAATTTGACAACCACCCTCCAGTTTCTTACCTTTTCCTAGAGGGTGGCTTCCCTCGGGTCCAGTGGGCTGGCTGGCGTGGCTGGGAGTTAAGCTCTCCCGGCCTGGCCCCCTCCGGAACAGCTCCTTCCTCCCGCGCGGCTCTTGTTTCTGTGGGAGGAAGTGACGCGCAGCTGTCACTTCCTTCCAGTGCTGCCGAAAAAGCAAGGGCCTGGTTGCGCTGTTAAAGCGCCACAGCGCCCGACCGGGCTCCTGCTGACACAGGCCACCCGATGGGCCCCCATAGTTTGCGGGCAGAGGGCAAACGGAGCAGCTGTCTTGGGCCCCCCAGCTGGGACAGGGCCCGGGGCAGCTGCCCTGTTTGCCCTGCGTTAAAGACGGCCCTGCGTTAAAGACGGCCCTGCCAAGAGCAAATTAATTTACATATGGTGGACCAGGGTGGGTGGTGTACAAATGTTACAAATGTGTACAAATGTTACCTTCTGCAGTCTCTGAATTCTTCAAAATCAAAATAATTACAAAAAACTTTGTAACATCTATCTTTATGAAAAACACATGGAAGCAACTAGTAACTGTGTACACACTGGGGTGATTCCCCTTGACAGGGTTTTATTACTTCTGTGGGTATTGGGTAACAAAAATCCATTGCTTATATCGCTCACCCTATCCAGGTCATTCAGTATCCTGTTTGTTTTCGGGGTTTGGCAACCTGCCACTGGAACCCTCTCTGTTCTTCCTATTTGATTTTTAATCTTTCTTTTAACTAAACTCATGCTCACATTTGTTGCTACACTATAATTTGAAAATTGAATACATTTTAAATTGTACACAATAAATTCTCTAAAAAATAAAAACAGTGCTTACTATACCTATGTCAGGTTTGCAGATAGTCAGGTATCGGTCGATAGCAACAACCGTCAGTAATCCAATGCTTGCCATACCAAAGAATATGTTCAAGCCAGCGTAAATCTGTACGTGAAAAAGCATACGATCACTCACACAGAAATGTACCAAAATTCTTTGATTCTGCCTTATAGAAATAGTCAGACATTTGAAAGTTATGTAATTGCTGTCTAAGTAATGTCATGGACAGTTGTTGTGAGTGTCCAGGTGAAGGATTAGAAACATTTATCTGAGTCAAGGGTAGCATAGAAATGGTACATAAATGACTGCTAAGAGGAAGGGGCAAATGCTATTGTTCAGGCCTAAAAAATGAGAAATAAGCAGTTTCTGTGAATGTTAAAACAACTTGCAAAAATATGTTTGGAACAAAATGCAACCACGCTGTGCAAACGTATAACATAATATGCTGCTTATTGTACTTACAAAGCTAATAGATAACTAATTACGGATATTGCAGATTTTCTTTAAAAATAAAGTCATTGTTCCAAGAACCTTGTAACCTTATTTCCCAATATGCTTCAGGCCAGGATAATGTACCTGACATCCTGTGTTTCCAAACTTCCAACTTCCATGTATATCAGATGCAGCGGACATTGGATACCCAATCCCACTGACTCCAATGTCAGTGAAGGCCAGATTAATGATGATTGCATTGGTTGCTGTGCGGAGCTCCTTATATTTAACAAAGATTCCCAGAACTATAAGATTGCTCAAAAGGCTTACTATACCTGGGAACAAATGTACAAAACATGACAAGGAAAAGGAAAAAAACAAAAAACAAAACTGCTCAACACTGAAATCATGAAACAGTAGTGTGCAGATAATTTCTCTCAGATTTAATACAAAGCAATTTTATCAGAAGCAATTACTACTTGAATTCCAAAACTTGATACTTTCACAGGAAGATTCACGAAAGTGGGAATTTTCTGAATTCAAAAGTGAATTTCAAATTTTAAATCAAAACTGCTAATCTGGAAAATCCACATTAGCAAATTTTCAGTTTTTTGTTTTTTTTACCTAAAACATTTAGTTAAATTTCAGAGTGCAGCAAGTTAAAATCCAAATGGCAATACTGTTATGTTAATGGTGAGCTACTCGTTGGCTTCGAGTCAGCTGACCCTTCCAGCCAATCAGCAGCACCCCTGTTCCAGGTAGTCCGAGGTTTCTGGTTTGTGGAATCTGAAAGAAGCAGGACGGGGCAGAGCTAAACAGCGCTGGAAAGAGAAAGAGACTGTTTAAACCATATGTGAATGTTTTAACCCCTAAAGGTAAGCAGAAGGCAGGGTTTTACTGGCATCATAACAACATAATTCCAATTAAGTTGTTATGGTACCCGGAGTGTTCCTATAAGGCAAACATAGCTGGTTTGGAGAAATAATTCAACTCATACATGGGACATTTTATTCTTAAATTTGCCAAATGCAATGTTTATCAGCATGATGGAGGCACTGTATGTATAGTTAAAGGAACACTATCGTGTTAGGAATACAACCAGTGCTGGTGTGGCTGTTTAGGTCCCTAGTCCCACTTAAAGATATCTGAAAAGGTGACTTTACTTACCTTTTCTCACATGCCATACCAATCTCACTGCAGCTGGTCATGCCTTCCTCCACCTTTGTGGTTGAGATCAATCTTCATTATCTCAGCCAATCAAATGTTTTACTATGCTAAAGGCATTGGGAGGCTATTGCGCATGTGTAGTAAAAACACCACATCAATCTATCTCCTCAGATTTTTATCAATGCAGCTCTATGGGGAATGTTCAGTGATTACTTGCATAGCACTGAAACACTGTGCAGCCCTGACACAGGAAGCACCTCTAGCTGGTGTCTGAGTGACTGCCACTAGGTGTTACTAAGCAGAAATGTAAACACTGCCTTTTCTGTGGACAGCAGGGACAGGATATAGACACCAGAACCATTATATAAAGCTGTAATTAGTCTAGTGACTATACTGTCCCTTTAAACAATTTAAAGGAACAGTCAAATGAAAAAACTTTTTTTTTTCCACCTGTGATAAAGTGTCCCATGACAAAAGAAAACCAAAAAACACTCTCTGCTCCATCCTCCTCCACGTGCTTTTTTTTTTTATTTTTTTAAATGTAAGAATAAAGCCAAATGTATTTACTTTGTTCATTTTTTGGGATGGACGCTTGTTTAGTATCCCACTGCAAAGATCCCTTTTTTTTTTGTACACTATCAGTTAGAGTTACTTTGTACTATAAAAAAGTATGATGTGGCGATTTAGCTTTTCCCCCACATGTTATTAATTGAGTGTAAATATATGTATAGTCTTAAAGTGTTATGGAATAATCACAACAACATTTCTCTTCATTACAAAAGTGACAAATATGACCAGTGATCCCCTATCATGTTCAACACGGTGGCAATCAAACTAGGGATCACAGGGTGTAGGGGTTGAAAACATGAACAAATTAAATATACACAAACACACAACTATACAGAATACCACATAAAATATTTTGTCCATACCTGCAGTAATCAGATAAACTGCTACAATATTGTGCTCAGTCTGGGAAAAGACAGAATAACCTTCAGTTGAAGCATTTGGAAATATAGTTTCAAAAGGGAGCAGAGTTATATACTCTGAGGTCTTGTCCATTGCAAACCGTTAGAGCTCCAGATTTGCACTAAAGACAAAGCACAGTACGAAGTTAGTTTTCCCCATTATGTCAGGGATTGTGAACAGGCGTTAAATTGGTGCATATCTGAAAGGATTCAAGCTGCAGGTCTGTATTGAGCAAAGCTTGTTAGAGAAACAAAGACCTGCACAGAACTTCAGACACTCAACAATGCAATGTTTAGAATCCATTCATAGTGTCTCTTCTTAAACCAGTCACATGCCCCTCATTATGGCACAGCATCAACATTAAACAGATTATTTCCCTGCTGTACAACTAAGATTTGGTACTCCTCCCCATTCCCGCTATGTCTTAAGCACGCACACAAAATGATACATCTTGTATAATAGAAACTGGATGTTAGCCACCCTTGAAAAAAAAACAAAAAAAAAAACAACCCCATAAGCTTCACATTAAGAGTGTTACTCCAACCACAAAACAATGTGTTAAGAATAGTGTTTTTGGTCACAGTAGCACTCCCTATCGAGCACCCCCTTCCCCCAACAGACCAAACAGAAAAGAAAGCTAAACATTTACACCCATTCCTGTGTAGATGTCAAGTTCTCCCTACAGCCAGATTTTACTTGGTGGCGAAAACTCCTCTCCAGAGAGGTCAAGCATCAAGGAGGAATGGCTGAACGAAGGACATGGGCGGCAAGGGGCAGGTGTCAGATGCCAATTTTGTATAGAATTCATGTTAGCAGTCTGGAACGTTCTGGGATGGCTAAATATGCTGCCAGAGGTGGAAAAACACATCCAAAAGCAGAGTAGTTTATCTCTTTAAGTGTAATGTTTCATAGCAAAATGTTACTCAATCTCCAGGCACCAAGAGAACCTTAAATCACTAAACTGGTCACATGCACGGAGTATCCCTTTGAATCATATCTTTTCTTATTTTTCTGCGATGTTCATTTTATTTTTTTAAACCATACATACATTGCACACATACAAAAAACAATATTAACATTGTGCCATAACAAAATAACGAAAAGCTGGTGAAAATGTTTTATTGGCATTGTTGACTGTAATATTATGAATATATACACACGCTCACACAATAGCCACAGGGTGACTATGAAAATGCCAGCCTGCTATTCTCTTCCAGTAGATCACATGTTCTGATAAAATGCCAATCTAGTCTAAAACAGTAAATAACTTTGTAAATAAAAAGCAACCACACATGTGGCTTACAAAAAGTCACGGTCATAAAAAATAGACAATTATATTTCCTGGTCCAGGACACCTTTGTATTTATTCAGTGTTTCAGTTAACCATACAACAACTGAACGCGGTTGTAAACACTGCAGTGGAACTTCTTGTCCTTTATTTTATAGACATGTTTAGTCCCATTTCAGAAGAAAAAAGGCAACATTTCCATCTTCATTAGAAAAAAATCCAGAAACAGTAAAAAGGCAGCAAATGATTCCAGATTCATAGCACTCGTTACCGACCTCCTTTAAAAAAGAAGATACAAATTAGAGTTTGTCTCCTAAACATACATATACATTTTTTTTTTATACAGTATACTTAGTAGTGGTTTTTAAGACACAAACAAGGCACTATAGGTGCATAGAATATGGTAGGCTTTGATGACAAGGACTTAAACTAAGCTGTTTATTTATGAAATACCAAATACAAATTGCATTGAATAGCAAATAAAATTGCAAAATTCAGAGAAATTAGCTGGCTATTTTAACCAAAATTTTGCAATTTAGCTTTCAACACAAAGTTTTGTGTTTATTGAATGCACGTGACCAGTTAGTATTATGCTGGCCTTTGCCCACTGATAGACTTAAAATGTTAAGTGGATGGCCAGGCTTAGTTTCACAAGCACTCACTGTTATTTATCCACTTTGATATTTCAGAAATGTTGCCTAAAACTTTGCTGGATTAGTTAAAAATATCAAGTGTTATTTTTTCTGTAAGTGATGTTTAGAGAGTTATTGACTCCACCAGGAACTATTGACATTGGATTGGAAAACGCAATTTTTAGGCAAAAGCACCATATAGCTCATTTGTCACAACGGCCAGTTTAGTGAATAAGTCTTTGTATATAGCTGAAGGTTCACATTTTAACTTTGGTAGAAATCTCATTCATAACCATTAAAGAGTAAATATATCTATATTTTTAAGATTTACTATTTGCCGACAGCAAACAATGTTTATAAACTTGGGAAGTAGAGATGATGGCAGAGAAAAGTATGTTAAAACTATACTAATTACATTAGTAGATTATTTTAATGTATTTAGTAATCAAAGTTGTTTTATCATACTTTTCTTCTGCCAAAATTCTTTCATTTCTAATTATGTGTCATTTAAAGTAGTATCCTCCACTATTTTGAGATTAGTGCATAAGTAAAGAATATTGCAGAAGGAGTAGATGGTTATTGCTTATTTGTCCTCATAAATGATCAATAATTTGTAAGACCGCTTTCAGCCGCAGGTGATGTACAATAAAAATACCTCAAATCATTAACCAAGTCTTGATTCTATAAAAAGTTAAATTCAAAATCACTTGCCTCGGAAACCACGGTTGCCACCTCTGAAACCACCGCCGCCACCACCAAAACTACCACGTCCACCTCTGAAGCCACCTGTATAGAAGAGAGACAGTTACAAAAAGCAACCAAAAAGGATATATAAACAAGCATAAGAATTAAACAATGCACCATGAAATCTCACTTTAGTGAATAACGCCTGAATAGGTCTTACGTAACATATTAAAAGTAACGTCTGGAACCATAACTTAAAGGACCACTATAGTGCCAGAAAAACATACTCGTTTTCCTGGCACTATAGTGCCCTGAGGGTACCCCCACCCTCAGGGTCCCCCTCCCGCCCGGCTGGATGGACCTTTTCTCCAGCGCCGGGCGGGGAGCTCTCCTCCTCTTCGGCTGAATACACATGCGCGGCAGGAGTGCGTGCGCATTCAACCTGTCTCATAGGAAAGCATTCATAATGCTTTCTTATGGACGCTGGCGTCTTCTCACTTTTTTTTTCCACAGTGAGAAGCACGCAAACGCCTCTAGCGGCTGTCAATGAAACAGCCACTAGAGGCTTTAAAGGCTGGATTAACCCTATTAGAAAACATAGCAGTTTTTAAAACAACTGCTATGTTTATAAAATAAAAAAAAAGGGTTAATACTAGAGGGACCTGGCATCCAGACCCCTTCATTAAGCTGAAGTGGTCTGGGTGCCTAGAGTGGTCCTTTAAGAAGCTCTTTAGATGTATACGTAGCCCAAGGTCTGCAGTTCTCTGGCTCATTTGCAAGGATTAATATCAGTGATTGACTGAGCATCATTCAATGCTCTCATCCCATCACTGGCTGCCCACCCCAAGTAAAGGACAAATGCACATATTTACACACAATGTGTGGCCATTGAGATTAATTTGTTTTGGTACTCAGAGTATCCCTTTAAGTGGATAAGAACCTGCTAGTTTATTTGTTTGCACTCTTTAGATGTAAAAATAATCATTATGGTCATTTACCCATAAGAAACCGAACAGCATACTATTTACTGCTGCACAGGAAGTGTCCACCTCTTCACTGCCTGACTAATCTTCAAAGTATGGACAATGAAAAAACAAACACCTAGCTGTATGCTGACATAATTAAACAACACTCTTACCATATTCTTTCCCTTCCCCAGCTTATATAAGCTAGCAGCAATTTTAACTCAATGCGAATAAAACGCATGAAAGAAGGATGGTTCAAAGCACTAAGAGTGTGGTTTATAAACACCAAAGTTAAGATATGGATGCTTTATTTTACCTATATGGGGAAAAATGTTGAAATTTACAACCAAAAGTGATGTTATTTTTTGTAAAAGCAATTTTCACCTTGCTTGGATACCACCCTCCCCCTGGTAGCTCTCCCATCACTGTACTCGTCAACAAAGTCCCTAATTTACCTCGGAAATAGTGTTTACCCAACAGCTCTATAGGGCTCCAAAATGATCTTTGGTCAGAAAGATTTGTGCTAACAATATTCTGTATTGTAACTTATTTTATTATGCAGATTTAAGAACCAAATTTTCACATAACTGATAAAATAGTTTTTGATATAGATATATATATATATATATATATATATATAGAGATAGAGATAGATATATATAGATATAGAGATAGATATATATATATATATATACACACACACACACACACACACACTATACAAGAAGATTCTCCTTTAGTTTTCAGTTGACTGTTTTTGAAAGACCGAAATTCAGCTAGGACAAAAATGAAAAACTAGTTGTGAAAACTAGTTAAGTATTGTTTTTTTTTGTAATCTGACTATTTGCTCGTTATTAAAATATTAAAAGACAAACCTCCTCTTCCACCTCCAAATCCTCCTCCTCTGCCACCTCCAAATCCTCCTCTACCTCCTCCTCTGCCACCTCCAAATCCTCCTCTACCTCCTCTTCCGCCTCGACCACGAGGTGGTCCTTTTTCACCTGGAGGACGAGGAAGGAACCTCTGCAATGGAAGCAGCTTTGCTGGATCAATGTAAAACTGCAAAACAAAATGCATACATATTGTTGTTGAATCATCCACACGCAATAGATTACCTCTGAAAGCAAGGAATTGTTAAATTTACTTAAAGTGGCTCTGTCACACCCCTGCCTCGCAAAATGAGTGTTTCATAAAAATAATATCTTTAGGAAAATACTAACATTGACTGTGCTGGAATTTCACTCAAATTCCATTTACTTTGTCTTATTTTCTCCGTTTGACAGAAAAGTGGAGGCTTGTCAAAATCCAGCCGACACTGACAGCTGAGAGGAAAAGGATCTGTCTATGGAGGATTCCATGATTTGGCATGACCTCAGTCTATGGCGCATACCCAAGAATACAGTGCTGGCATCAAGGCTGAATTCTTCAAAACTGCATTTAATAACGCAGAATTTATACTTCCACATTATCCGTGCCAATTTTGTCACACTTGAGTAGTGATACTGAATCTGAGGACGCTGACCTAGCTTATCCCCCAACACTCTCAACCAATCTGCCAAGGCACTGCTTCCAGCTGCACTTTGTAATTATATCATAGATTGTAAGCTTGTTTGAGCAAGGCTTTCATCACCTCTAAATATTCCCTTTATATAGTTTGTAAAGTGCTGCAGAATGCTATACAAAAATGCTAATAGCAGTAATAAGAAAAGCAATACAGAATAATGAATCTCTAACAGCCTACTCTACGCTGCAGCACCACTGTGTGTAAAACGTTTATCAGCTTCAATAGTGGTATTAGGATAAAAGTTTTGCATTGTACAAAGTGCATGTTTGGTTTTACCAGGCAAATTGTGTCACCTTTTTGAACTGCAAGCTGAAATATACATGTAGCAGAAAAAACACAGCATTACAAGAGTTTGCAGATTTTGGGCTGTACTCTCTGCAACTGAGTCACATATGGTTCTGTGATGCTTAATGTCCTCACGCGTTGCATTAGCACGATGATATCCTCTTATGCTTATCATAGATAAGCATTGGATTCAGTGCTGCTCTATGAAAAGCATTTGATTGTAGGAGCATGGCACGTGCCGCTCACATACTTCTTGTCCCCAGTGTTTTCCCATTAGATGCCTTGGATTGGGCAAGCAGGTGAAGAGAATATGCCTGCAGGAAAATGTAATTTGACATGTTGAGGGGACACTTCTAAATAGTGAGTAGATCACTAACGTTAGGAATATAGGTTTGTATTCCTATTATGTTAATTTGGTCAGGCAATATTAAAAAAAAAAAAACTTTTTAATGAAAGCCCACAAAATATAGACATAGAATCAAATAGGTTTACGGGGTTCATAATAAAATTAAAATATATTCAGCTGCGGTTTGCATTATTTAAAAATGTAACAGATGGAGGACCACACCAAATATCAATGAATGGGTTATGGCTCAAGATTATGGAGAAATTGTTGAGATAAGAAAGCATGCTCACCTCATTGTACTCAATAACTAGCACTGTAACAAGAATGTAGATCTCTTACCTTCTGTAACTTCTTAAACGAAGATGCCTTCATATTGTCAGACAGTTTTACAGAAAAATACTGAAAATGTGTTAAGGAATATAAAGAATGGAAACCATTTGAGAAAGGCTACTTGTCCCAGCATATGGAAGTACAACCCACCTGTGTACTGCCACCATATGCTAAACATATCTTTCTTCTAATTTGAGAAATCTACATCATACTACTCCCATTCCTCACCCTACAGAAGTTGTTAGGCTACCTGCCAATTCTTAAAATGCACCAGGATCTCTGCCTTCCTATGTCAGTAGCTCACCAACCCTCATTAATATTAGCCCTCCGGTACTCTAAAACCATAACCACAGTGTGTAGTGGTTAAGGTGTCAGAAGTCAAGAGGTGCCATACTACAGTAAAGTGTTAAACTGTTTACAAACAGCTTGATACTTACCTTGCTGTGTTGGGTGGGCACCAGAAAGCCCAACGGTCTGAGGTAATATGAAATAATGCAAATTCATTCTTCTGCATTATCACATCAACCTATCCCAGCTTTAGACAGTATTCCTTGGGTGATAGGAGAAGGTTAATAAGCCACGTGAAGCAAAGCAGGTACAGATAAACATGAAAGCAGTGCTCCTTTGGGTCGTCGGGAAACTGTTAGCAAATAATTTACTGCAGAAATTATTATTTTTTAAAAACCCTTACAAAAATCCTAAAACCCCTTAAAGAAAAACCCCATGAGTGTAAAATAAATGTGATTGTATAGGATACAAAGTCTCTGAGCTGTCCAAATATTTCATCCACTTTTCCAATTTGTTCTTTGTTCTCCAGATAGATGGGAGCATTGAAGTAAGGCACTTTGTTTTCATCTGTGGTGCATTTCACTACTGCATCATCTTCACAAGGATGCACAAACTCCCCGGCCACTGCAACACACATACAAATCAGCATTGTGTTAATTACAAGCTTGAGTCTTCGGAAGCTCAGGAATATCAAACTGCCAAGTATGTGGGTAATGCACGAGCACACCTTACAGAGGTAAAATTAATAGAATAACCAAGGTGAAAAAAAAAAAAAAAAAAAATCAAGCATCTCACATACCAACAACACTTTCAGGGGGTCCTTGGTCATATCCTCCTCTGTTGAATCCCCCTCTGTTGAATCCTCCACGTCCTCCTCCTCTTCCAAAGCCACCTCGGCCACCACCTCCTCCTCTTCCACCCCAACTGCCGCCGCCACCACCTCCTCGATTAAAACCTCCTCTCCCTCTGAAAGACATTCTAGTAGAAAAGAAACAAAGAACACTAAATCAGTGTTTGTTGTTATAAGTCATTGAGCATCACCACTACACACAGACTAACAAGTGCAAAAAAGAAAATGTGTTAAAGAAAAGATGGAAATTATATGAAATGCATCAACACTGCAACAGTGTGAGCTCTGGAATATTAATGAAGCAGGCTATTAAGCTGGAAAATAAGTTGGCATTTTTTAAAGGAGCAGTAAACCTAAAAAACATTAAAATGGACATGATGGGGGCGATATTGACCACTGTAGGCAGATTACGCATCGTACCAAGAATTAATCGTCATATGCACGGACTAAATTGTAAATAATATTAAACTGCAACTCTATTTGCCTATACTATTTTGCCTATTTTATATTTTGCCTAAAAGTATGCCTATTTTGCATACTAATCATTTTAAAGGAACGCTAACACCATAACCACTACAGCAGCGATTATGGTTGTAGGAGTGCCCTCGCATCCTCCCAAGGTAGACAAACTTCTTCAGTTGACAAATTACCTAGGTCCTGCTGCCAGAAGTTTGTAGTTAACCTAAACTTGCCTGCTTAGGGCTGTGCTCTTAGGCAGAGAATGTTATAAGGGACACCACTTCCAACATACACGCACACACAACTTTGTCATAAACACAATGGACATATGAAGCCCTCAAGCCATTCCCCTGTATACATATAGCACATTACAAGCAGCACCCACCCCACTAACTACCTGACACACACCCCACTAAATACACACTGTGACTGTGTGTACATTTATCAGTGTGTATTTGTGTGTCCATGTGACCAAGAAGGCAACATGGCTGCAATGTGATGGCGATCTAATATGGGCAATGACATGGTAATGCGATACATATACATACTGAAACGAAAAATATATTTAAACATTACATTCCAGGACACCTACAATAGATTCTGGTGGTGGGTTTTGTATTTCCACAAATCACTTGGCAGTGATGGAATTAAGGTAATATTACATGAATGTGATATATATGTTAATTTAATTAATAAGGATTCACATTTGCACCACGAGCCCTTCTTAATACACATTGTCAGATCCACTAGGTTTAATGGATAAACAGCACTTGCAAGTGTTTATGACGACAAATTTTAAATGCTATAGGAGGTTAATCAGAGATCTAATCCCATAGCCTTTGCATTCTATAAAATGCAGGGCAGCAGTTTTCATGTGTTTATGGTCAACATGGTGAAGTGATATGTGCCCAAAAATGCATGTTAGTGCGACAAACATAGCACACAACGATGACAGATCTTTAAAATACACCCTATATTGACAACTTTTTATATTAGCATAAGCAAATGTGGTGAGATTAAGTATTTATCTGGACAACACAGTTGAGATTTTAACTGAGCAGGAATGGCGCAGCCCTAGAGAATTCTTAAAGGACCACTCTAGGCACCCAGACCACTTTAGCTTAATGAAGTGGTCTGGGTGCCTGGTCCAGCTAGGGTTAACCCATTTTTTTTAAATAAACATAGCAGTTTCAGAGAAACTGCTATGTTTATAAATGGGTTAATCCAGCCTCTAAAGCCTCTAGTGGCTGTCTCATTGACAGCAGCTAGAGGCGCTTGCGTGCTTCTCACTGTGAAAATCACAGTGAGAAGACGCAAGCGTCCATAGGAAAGCATTATGAATGCTTTTCTATGAGACTGGCTGAATGCGCGCGCAGCTCTTGCCGCGCATGCGCATTTAGCCGAAGAGGAGGCGAGCTCCCCACCCGGCGCTGGAGAAAGGTAAGATTTTAACCCCTTCCTCTCCCCAGAACCCAGCGGGAGGGGGACACTGAGGGTGGGGGCACCCACAAGGCGGGCACTATAGTGCCAGGAAAGAGTGTTTTCCTGGCACTATAGTGGTCCTTTAAAAGGAGGGCATCAGGGGTGCAAGTATGAACAGAGTATAGACGTAGATCTTCAGCATATTGTGATCTGGACGGAACATAGCTTTATGTAGAGATTTCTAAGGAACCGCCATAATCTTAAATTGAACCCTAAATATTACAGGAAACCAATGTAAGCACTGACAGGGTGTGAGGCTTGGTTGGTGTGGACAGGCAGGAATATGGAATATGAACCTTGCAACCGCATTGATTGTAGTTTGTAACGGGACATTAATGGGAAGTTTGGCAGAATATTGGGAGCGCTGTAGCAGTTATGGTGCAGTCCCTTTAAATATTTTCAAGTATACTCTTTATTCAAAGCCTGGCAGTGATGACTTTACGTCATCCATGTGTACAGATTAATAAAATGAATCAACACAGTAAAGGAGGAGACTATATTTAAAAGAAGAAAAACTACCACAACAAGAGGACAGTCTTAAATTAGAGGGACAAAGGTTTAAAAATAATATCAGGAAGTATTACTTTACTGAGAGGGTAGTGGATGCATGGAATAGCCTTCCAGCTGAAGTGGTAGAGGTTAACACAGTAAAGGAGTTTAAGCATGCGTGGGATAGGCATAAGGCTATCCTAACTATAAGATAAGGCTAGGGACTAATGAAAGTATTTAGAAAATTGGGCAGACTAGATGGACCGAATGGTTCTTATCTGCCGTCACATTCTATGTTTCTATGTTTATATTGATTTAATAACACTCGTTTTAACAGGAGATATATATATATATATATATATATATATATATATATATAAATAAAAAGTTACACACACATAGCATTTCCTAGTGTATAATACAGGGATATTGCCATTGTAAAAAGACAGATACCACTCACTAGAAGATGTTTGTTAACGAATATAGTTGGGGAGTTTTAAATCGCAGAATTAGCGCTTTCTTCAGAGAAAATATCGAGATATATATACACATGCTGGAAAAATATCCCCCTACGCAAAATTGTGGATGACTTGCCGGGCAATCTAGCTTTAACAGGATGTTCACATGATAAAAGCGCTATCCATACCGCGCACGAGCTTTATTTCTGTGGCTGCGACCCTTTACCTGTGTGCCTACGACCAGGGATCCGTGTCTTGCCGTCTGGGTCCTGAACACGTGGGAACGCTTTCCATCCACACTTCAGCTACAGTGGGCGCACACAGTTTACGTCATCACGCTGCAAATGTGATAAAACTTTATTGAAACCTTCGCGTACAATCACAGTGTGTAAGCATGCTAAGGAGCCGCACAGGATAGGAAGACATGCGGAGTGACCTCCTGTTACATGTTACATGGGGTGGGATGGGATTGGCCTAAAGATGACGGGTTAGGTTAGCTACTAAACCTCGAATACTCTCTGGAATTCACACTCCAGTTTATTCAAATATGAGATTTTTATGTATGAGGCATGGAGGTCACATGTGGTCCTGTAACTAACAAAATCCACAGCAAACCTGTACATTGGGCATTGTTGTCAAGGGCAGACTGACAGCCTTTGGGGTCCCTGAACAAATTTAGATCCCAGGCCCTCTGAAGGCACACCGGGCCCCATGATAACCTAATCTGAATGGGCACTTTCAGAGATTAAACCAATCTTGTACTCTTTAACCCCAAAGTTGCCTCCAGCACTGATCTCCGATACCTCACCTAGGTGGCATTCAAGCCAGTTTAGTGAATAGGGAGTCACTGATTGGCTGAGAGCGTCACCTGGCCAGTGGCACAACGTGCCAGATGCTGCCAGGGGATGAGTGGAATTTGGCGCTGGATGCAACTTTGAGGTTTAACCGTCTGAGTAAAGTTTAACCCCTAAAGGTGAGAGGTTGCCCAGGGGCTTCCTGGCACTATAGCAGCTTTAGTTAGATGAAGTTGTTATCGTGCCTTAAGTAGCCTAAACTGACCCTTTAAACGTTAAATGTAACTTTCATGTAATACTGTATTCCTTTGGATGTGTACATTGTGAAGACCTGTTTTTATTTGATTGTGTAAAATCTGTGTGAATGCAGTATTTTATTGTCTGGATGGATGAATGTGCTTTTTTGCATATAGTGTCAGTATTATTTATTTATTTATAAAATATTTTACCAGGAAAGATACATTGAGATTTCTCTCGTTTTCAAATATGTCCTGGGTTCACAAAACATTGCATTGATAAATGATGGTACAATAAAATACAAAAACAATATTAATACACAATATATACAAAATTTAACATAGAACGGGTAGGAAATATATAATCAACCATGACACGTGCATTCTCTTTTGAGGTATGTAGAGAGGGATCTCTTAAAGGACTTTAGGCTTGGGGAAGATTTTAAAGTGTGCGGCGCTCTGTAGGAGAAGGCGGATCGGGCTGCTTTCTTTTTGTATTGAGGTAGACTAAATAAAGTGCTGGTACTGGATCGGAGGTTATACGAGGTGGGAACAGCCGTGGAGAACATTTTGCTCAGGTAGGGTGGGAGTTTCCCAGAAAAGCTCTTACACACAAGGCTGGAAAGATGAAGGGTGCGTCTAGATTCCAGCGACAGCCAGTTTAGTTCTTTTAGCATGTGACAATGGTAGGTCCTGTAATTACATTGTAGCACAAAGCGGCAGAACGAGTTATACAATGTACTGAGTTTAGTAATGTGGGATAGCAGTGCAGATGCATATACTACATCCCCATAATCAATGATTGGCATCAGCATTTGCAGTGCAATCTTTTCCTTTACTGTAGGGCTTAGGCAGGATTTGTTTCTGTACAGGGCACCCAGTTTTGCATAAAGTTTAGATGCAAGTTTCTCTATGTAGAGGCAAAAAGATAGATTGGGGTCTAACAACATACCCAAGTATTTGAAAGAGTGGACTGTGGTCAGTGTGCTATTTGAATTTGTTTTGATGGATAGGTGGAAATTGTGTAATTTAGGTACTGTTCCAAAGATCATTGTGACAGTTTTGTCAGTGTTTAGGAAGAGTTTGTTTATTGTGATCCACTTTTCTACCTCTGTTAACTGGTCTTGGAGCACAGCCTCAAGCTGCGGTAGATCAGATTTGCTTGCATAGATTACTGTGTCATCTGCGTACATGTGTACATTTGAGGATTTGCAGACATTAGACAGATCATTTATAAATAATGTAAATAGTAGGGGGCCGTGAATGGAACCTTGGGGAACACCACATGTGACTGGGAGAGGGAGGGAGCCGCTGTCAGAAATGGACACATATTGCGAGCAATCCGATGCATACGATCGAAACCAGGTTAGCGAACAATCACCAATACCTGAGTTTGTGCAGCAGAATGTCGTGGTCTACTGTGTCAAAGGCCTTTGCAAAATCAAGGAAAATAGCTCCAGTTAGGTCTCCTTGTTCAATGCCAGTTTGGATGTCATTGCAAACTTTTAAGAGGGCAGTTGTAGTGGAGTGATTCTGGCGAAAGCCCGATTGATCAGGGGTCAGATAGTTTGATTGTTGTTAATACTCACATAGTTTGGACACATTTTTCTAAGATTTTTGACAATACTGGGAGCAATGATATTGGGTGATAGTTAGAAACCAAAATAGTGTCACCACTTTTATGGATAGGCACTACTCTCACAGTCTTCCAAAGTTTGGGTATGTATCCAGACACCAAAGATTCGTTAATTAGGGTTATGACAGGTTTAGCAATTGCCGGCGCATTGAGCTTCAAAAGCATTGCTGGGATTTGATCAGGTCTAGACTGGTTTTTCATTTTTAGATTATTAAGGCATTTTTTTAATGACACTAATAGGTACAGGTCTAAAAATGAACTTGTCTATATTGGGCCTTTGCAAATTTAGTGGGGTCTGATCCACATTTGTAGTTTCAGGATGCGTGTCATTTATTAGCTTGGCAATCAGGGCAATGGAGCATCCGACAAAATAATTGTTAAAGGCATTTGCTACATCTAAGGGAAGTTGTAGGGTTTGGTTATCCACTTTGACACTATAATGTCTGTTTATATTGCTCTGAAACAGTGTTTAAACTCATCTTTTCTACAGCGCCACCTCCGTGGGTGAGATCATCATTCTTGATTATCTCTGTCTTTTCATCCTACAACCCCTGTCTTTCCACAAGCCCTTAATTTCACTCTCCCCATCCTTTCCCAGCATCTCTATTTCTCTTTTCCATTGCTGCTCTCATATACTGTAGTTATCATGCACTAAATTTATTTATAAAATATTTTACCAGGAAAGATACATTGAGATCACAGAGAAGAAAATTCACTACGGTAACAAGCACTCTAAGAAATTTAAATATAAAATATTCCTGGGGACACCCTATCAAGATCATGACAGAGGGTCAAATTAAGACTTTTGATTCCTTAAAACAAATTAAAGATTGGCTCAAAAGGAAAAGTAAGGTTACAGAATCCCCTGCATAATCAATAAAAGCGAATAGGACATGGAGAAAGAGAATGGAAGATAGAGATACAATGTTAATGATATAAGAGAATGGAAGAAAAAGAGAGGAATCAATAGATGGACGATTTGGGAAAAGAGAAGAGAGGAGGATAGAAAAATAGAGGACTTTTTAGTTATTTATGTTTTTTATTTATTTATTTAGTCCTCAAGACAAAAAAATTAAGATATGGTTACTGACTTTAAGGAGCAGGAGTGGTGAGAGGGGCAGGGGAGAAAGGTAAAGAGGATGGAGGTAAAAAAGCAAAAATTAAAGGGGTCACGTAATTTATCGCTCAACACTGAGATATCTAAAAATTACTTTTACCCCTTGTACAAAGATGTTTCTTATGTTTCCACGTTTTTTTATAGTCTCCGCCTGGCTCCTGTCTGCTTTTTTGGAAGAAAGGTGGAGGAGGGAAGGATAGGGGTTAGTAAAGATGTACATGTGTGTGTATGTATATGTGTGTGTGTGTGTATAGACAATTCGTCTTACCGTGGACTGATGAACAGCAAGGCTTTTGGAGATACTTTTATAACCCTTTCCAGCTTTATGCAAGTCAACAATTCTTAATCATAGGTCTTCTGAGAGCTCTTTTGTGCGAGGCATCATTCACATCAGGCAATGCATCTTGTGAGAAGCAAATCCAGAACTGGTGTGTGTTTTTTATAGGGCAGGGCAGCTGTAACCAACACCTCCAATCTCATCTCATTGATTGGACTCCAGTTGGCTGACATCTTACTCCAAGTAGCTCTTGGAGATGTCATTAGTCTAGGGGTTCACATACTTTTTCCACCTGCACTGTGAATGTTTACATACTGTGTTCAATAAAAACATGGCAACATTTCATTCTTTGTGTGTTATTAGTTTAAGCAGACTGTGATTGTCTATTGTTGTGACTTAGATGATGATCAGATCACATTTTATGACCAATTTGTGCAGAAATCCATATCATTCCAAAGGGTTCACATACTTTTTCTTGCAACTGTATATTAGCACTGGCGTACATACCGCGGTTGCAGCTGCGACCGGGGCCGTCACTCCAAGGGGCCCTGCGGACCCCTGCGACCGGGTACCTACCACCATGTTTTGCGGCCCCTGCCCTCACGGAAAACCACCAGGGCCACACATAAAATAAATAAATATGTTCACTCACTTGCATTGATAGAAACCCATTTTAAATTGATCAATCTATGGTATATGACTCCATCAAGACTATCGAAATTCTCTCCAGGATCTAGTGAGGATTGTTGGACCTGTAGAGCGGAGAAGGGTAGCTATGTTCATATGTGGTGGACATGTAAAAAAGTGTCAGTCGTATGGCAGTGGGTTCAAAACATTATATTTAAACTATGTGATGTCAAATTATCAATAACTCCAGAAATAATGGTACTACATATTTACTGGCCTAATCTAAGGAAGACAGATCAATTTTTGATAACTCATTGCTTGTTGGCTGCAAAGATAGTGATAGCAAGTGTAATGGCTACCCCAGTGTAGAGGGGTTATCAGCCATTGGAGATGTCCTTCTTCCCGACAAGATGCTGTGCAGTAATGGAGTAGCCTTCTTTCTATCAGCTGGATCCAAGTAGAGTGGGAGAGGTAGAGCTCTTAAAAGAGCTAGTGATTAGCTGAGCAGATTCCCTTTCAATAACGAGACAAAGCTACGTTTTGAAGGGTAAAGTAGAACTGAGGTTTTAATGACAGGTACTCTCCTTTTATGCGGTGCTTCCATGCAAGGGAGACACCCACAGACAATTAGACATTAACCAATCAGACAATGGTTACAGTGAATAATAACAGTATCCCAGTGAGACACACAGAAAATAATAGATACTCAAACACCTTAGTGAGTTTCCCTTTGTCCTCACAACAAACTAAAAATACATACAGTATAAGGTGGAGTATCTTCTTATTTTAACAATGGTTACAACCAACAGATTCCCTCCCCTCTGCTTGGGAGATAGTTGAGTTTCTTACTGTATCTATTCAATTATCTCCAAGCTAAAACTTATACGTTTTATGCATTTCTATAACTTTCTGATTTTTCTTCATACAGGAATAAAACTTATATTTTTATGAACAACACAACTCGGGGACAAACATATTCAAAATTCATACAAATCCGTTCAGAAATATTAAAAAGTCTCTTTGGACCGACCGCACACCTGTTTGCATGCCCAAAACAGTTCCACAGATTCAGGCTGTGCGGTCGGTCAATTTCTGCCCTGAAAAATAACAAAGTCCCATCCGAAGGCGCCATTCGAATAGTCCAACGCACTTCGACTTCTGTCGAAGTGAAAACGGGGTTAGGTTTCAGCAGTGTTCGTTAGTTAAGTGGAGGTCTATTTTACACTAAAAAGATGACAAAGTCCCATTCAAACATGCGTTCGAATCTTCGAACGGGACTTAGTCTCCAGCCGCAGTGTCGAAGGGTAGGGGAAGGTACAGGTCAGCGGTGTTCGTTCAAATATGTGGCCGATTTCCGTTCCAGGGATTTGACGGCACACACCGTTGACTGCGTTCGACTGAATTAAAATGGCCGCCGCCACATGTTCGATTGTCTAATGGCGGCCACTTCGACTACTTCGGCTGTATCCGAAGTGCCATATCAAAGTACCAATCCTTTGCACAAAACAGTTAAAGAGCCAGACACAGTCTTTGTTCTTAGGTACAGGGCAATGTGGATGATGGCAGGAAAACAAAACGTAGAGGTTCCCATGCAACATGGTAGGGGGTTGTTACAGCAAGAACATGGAAAGGAGAATATGATTTTATTGTTACTCAATTAAGCTCACAATTATTATATCAAATAAAAATGGAAAAGAGTTATTCTAAATGCCCAAATAAGACTTCCGGTTTATGGGATAAATGGGAAAAAGAACTGCATATCTAAAAAAGACCAGAGATGAAAACATAGAAACATAGAAACATAGAATGTGACGGCAGATAAGAACCATTTGGCCCATCTAGTCTGCCCAATTTTCTAAATACTTTCATTAGTCCTAGCCTTATCTTATAGTTAGGATAGCCTTATGCCTATCCCACGCATGCTTAAACTCCTTTACTGTGTTAACCTCTACCACTTCAGCTGGAAGGCTATTCCATGCATCCACTACCCTCTCAGTAAAGTAATACTTCCTGATATTATTTTTAAACCTTTGTCCCTCTAATTTAAGACTATGTCCTCTTGTTGTGGTAGTTTTTCTTCTTTTAAATATAGTCTCCTCCTTTACTGTGTTGATTCCCTTTATGTATTTAAATGTTTCTATCATATCCCCCCTGTCTCGTCTTTCCTCCAAGCTATACATGTTAAGATCCTTTAACCTTTCCTGGTAAGTTTTATCCCGCAATCCATGAACCAGTTTAGTAGCCCTTCTCTGAACCCTCTCTAAGGTATCAATATCCTTCTGAAGATACGGTCTCCAGTACTGTGTACAATACTCCAAGTGAGGTCTCACCAGTGTTCTGTACAATGGCATGAGCACTTCCCTCTTTCTACTGCTAATACCTCTCCCTATACAACCAAGCATTCTGCTAGCATTTCCTGCTGCTCTATTACATTGTCTGCCTACCTTTAAGTCATCAGAAATAATCACCCCTAAATCCCTTTCCTCATATGTTGAGGTTAGGACTCTATCAAATATTCTGTACTCTGCCCTTGGGTTTTTACGTCCAAGATGCATTATCTTGCACTTATCCACATTAAATGTCAGTTGCCACAATTCTGACCATTTTTCTAGTTTACCTAAATCATTTGTCATTTGGCTTATCCCTCCTGGAACATCAACCCTGTTACATATCTTAGTATCATCAGCAAAAAGACATACCTTACCATCAAGACCTTCTGCAATATCACTAATAAAAATATTAAAGAGAATGGGTCCAAGTACAGATCCCTGAGGTACCCCACTGGTGACAAGTCCAAGCTTCGAATATATTCCATTAACTACAACCCTCTGTTGCCTGTCACTCAGCCACTGCCTTACCCATTCAACAATATTTGAATCCAAACTTAAAGATTGCAGTTTATTGATAAGCCTTCTATGTGCAACAGTGTCAAAAGCCTTACTGAAATCTAGGTAAGCAATGTCTACTGCACCACCCTGATCTATAATTTTAGTTACCCAATCAAAAAAATCAATAAGATTAGTTTGGCATTATCTCCCTGAAGTAAACCCATGTTGTCTCTGATCTTGAAATCCATGTGTTTTAGATGTTCATCAATCCTATCCTTTAACATGGTTTCCATCACTTTCCCCACTACTGAAGTAAGGCTTACTGGCCTATAGTTGCCCGACTCCTCCCTATTACCTTTCTTGTAAATGGGCACAACATTCGCTAACTTCCAATCTTCTGGGACTACTCCTGTTAACAATGATTGGTTAAATAAATCTGTTAATGGTTTTGCTAGTACACCACTAAGCTCTTTTAATAGCTTTGGGTGTATTCCATCAGGTCCCATTGACTTATTTGTCTTTACTTTTGACAGTTGAAATAGAACCTCTTCCTCTGTAAACTCACGTGTAATAAATGACTCATTTATCCTTTTTCTCAACTGAGGTCCCTTTCCTTCATTTTCATCTGTAAATACAGAACAAAAATATTCATTGAGGCAGTCAGCTAGACCTTTATCCTCTTCTACATACCTTCCTTCTTTTGTTTTTAATCTAACTAATCCTTGTTTTACTTTTCTTTTCTCATTTATGTATCTAAAAAATGTTTTATCCCCCTTTTTTACTGACTGTGCTATTTTCTCTTCTGTGTGTGATTTGGAAGCTCTTATAACTTGCTTAGCCTCTTTCTGCCTAATCTTATAGATCATTTTGTCTTCCTCACTCTGGGTTTTTTTATAATTCCTAAATGCTAACTTTTTGTTTTTAACTATTTTGGCCACATCTGCGGAGTACCACAGTGGTTTCTTGAATTTTTTGCTTTTACTGACAAGCCTAATGCAATTTTCTGTTGCCTTCAATAGTGCAACTTTTAAATAATCCCATTTCTCTTGGACTCCATTTAAATTGCTCCAGTCTGATAATGACTCCTCTACCCATATTCTAATTTTAGAAAAGTCTGTTTTTCTAAAGTCTAAAACTTTTGTTTTTGTGTGGTGTGACTCAGTCACTGTTCTTATATTAAACCACACTGACTGATGATCACTGGATCCTAAACTTTCACCTACAGTAATATCTGATACCAAATCTCCATTTGTTAACACTAAATCTAGTATGGCCTCTTTACGAGTTGGCTCCTCAACAACTTGTTTTAGAGACAATCCCAGTAGGGAGTTTAGAATATGTGTGCTCCTGGCACAAGTAGCTAATTTTGTTTTCCAATTTACATCAGGAAGATTAAAGTCACCCATGATGATAACTTCCCCCTTCATTGTCATTTTAGCTATTTCCTCAACTAGTAGATTATCTAACTCTTCAATTTGACAAAGACAATTAAGAAAGGGTAAAAGATAGACTGGGGAATTCCCTTTGACAAAAATAGGTGGAGGTTCACTTTTGATGGAGGGTCATGTATGACCACTAGCATGGTAATAGGAAGGATGTATACCGATCAACAGATGTATGTCTGTTTATCTTTTTATGTATTAATGTAAATGTAATGTTCAGTTTATTTATTTTTGTACGTATTGTCGATGTTTGTCATTTAATATTGAAGCAAATGTAATAAAAAATATTAAGAAAAAAAATAAAATTGTGGTTACTGAGAATTGGTGGGATGAAACACATTATTGATCTTTTAATTTAAGTAGATATTTATAATATTGGCACCTTGATTCTAAAATAGTACTGGCCATGCTAATTTACATAATTTTGTATATGCATGACATCACAGGGAGTAACATAAGACAAAAAATAAAACAATACATATGAAATGGAGAAGATAGCTTAATCACTAGAAAACTTCCTAGAATTTGGTTTTGCTGTATAGAGGAATTGCACACTAGAATTGGGAGATAGGACTGAGAAAACTGCACTCCTGACTGCTCACTCGAAAGACATTGTAGCCCAGTCTACCCAGGACATTGATATATTGAAACATCTCGGGACATCTCTGAAGATTTCCTGAGACTCATGTTATGCACATTCATGGATGGCACTTCCCTGTGATAACAAACATCCTGTTGTAGACTTATCTCAGGTAAAGGTGCAGCTGCAGGTTGTCCAATCATACAACCTTTGTAAGCAGATCTCACACTTCACAGCTATCTTAATACATTAAATAGATTTCAAAACTACACTCTGGTTCTATTAGGGTTATTCACTAAAGTCAGAATGGCCTCGTATCAAATGGGCAAAATAATCCAGTTGCATATGGGGCCATTCTCACTTCAAAATCCAGACATTGTTCACTGAATTCAACAACGTCCGGATTTTGTAAATCAAGCCTTGAACGGACCTGAACTTGGTCCGGATTTCAGATGTACTGAACGCCGCTTTACAATCCACATCCAGACTGACTGAATTAGATTTTGGCCCAGAGGCTTTAACATGCGGATCTATGTCTGCCTCTCTGCTGTTATTACTCAGGCCCCAACCCAGGGCCTTTTCTAGTGACTGGGTGGCAATGGCTGCCCTGTCGCTATTTTTTAACATTTAGAAGGCATGCCCCCACTTGCTAGATAGCAGGTGTGGAGATGTGGAGATAAAATACCATATGTAACCCCAGAGGATTATAATTTATTTTTACTTTTTTAATATGGTGGCTGTTTAGCAGGCACTGGCTAGCTACCACATAATACCTGTTGCGACACCAAAGGTTTTCTTTAACTAATAGCCCACTAGCTGTAGTGCTGCCAATGGAAAAATAGTACTTCAAAATATTAATTCATTGTCTTAAAGATAGAGTGCAGAGAGTTATAGATGGAATATTTCCAAATTAGACAAATGTGGTAAGTGGAATGCATCAGAGTCCTGCCCTTGGCCCACTTCTTTTAATTTTTTTTATAAAGGATCTTGAAGTGGGCATTGAAAGTCATGTGTCGGAAAAGGCAGTGTTTACAATTATCAGACTGTAGGGATAATGTCTTTGCACCAAAACTACTACATTAAATGACACCACTTTGAGACCTTTAGCTTTGGATATGGCACTCTGCGAGTTGAAAAAAGCTGGTAAACATTACTTTTCAATCAGTGTCTTATCCCCAGGAATGCCGGATAAGTGCATTGGGCATTCATGACAGATTTACACATGTGCAGTTGGAAGATTCTGGCAGGGCGATCAGTGTGGTTCAAATAGAACAAGCTCCGGTGCCCAGTTTTTTTCTCCTGCTGCTGCACAATGATCCCCTATTTCAGTTGTTAGTGAACTGGTCTGAAACTAAAATGAAAAGGGGGAGGGGATTGAAGTAACTATTCTAGCGTACATATTAAAAAATCTTTATTCATTTTGATTTGTATATATTTTTTAAATGTTTGTTTACTGGTTTAAAAAAATTGTCAAGTGTTGCATATCCTTTTAAAGTGGTGTAGCGGCAGTGGCGTACTAAGGCGGGGGCGGGCGGTCCGCCCCGGGTGCCACCAGGGTGGGGGGTGCCATGACCAGCCCCCCCATGCTGCAGCCGCCCGAGCGCTCTGTAGAGAGCCTCAGGCGGCTGCAGCTTTGCCCGGGCGGTGCGTCCATGAGGGCGGACCGCACCGCCCGGGCGCAGCCTGAGAAAGAGGGGCTGACAGGAGGAAGACTCAGCGCTGAGCGCTCCCTCCTGTCAGCTTCCTTTGCTGTAGCGTGGCCGAGCCCTGCAGCATTGATAGTCCGCAGGTACAGAGAGCAGCTGTCTCCTGTACCCGGCGGTTGCTGAGGAAAGTGCACATGGTGTGCACTTCCTGTAT